TTTGTCTCAGAGACTAAATCACTTGTGTAACATTTGTGAAGCAATATTAATCTATATTAGTTTCGCGCTGGGATGAAAGCAACCGGTTAGAACTTACCAGCGGCCGATAATTGTGCAAACTACAATTTACGGCCCGCTGATCATGCGTAGGCAAGTCTTGAAAAAACTATAAATTCGCAGAGACCCATTCGATAACAATCTTTAAAGCAATAGACTGTTTTGTATAAGCAATAGAAAGGCATTTTAAAACACCTACTCTACAACTGATGCTATCAAAATTACAAATGCTCAAAAAAATAACAAGTGTTGATCACTTATCGAACTGATTTGTCATGCAGTGTATTTGCGGAGGGAGGGAGGGAAAGAGGGAGGCAGGGAGGGAGGGAAAGAGGGAGGGAGGGAGGGAAAGAGGGAGGGAGGGAGGGAAAGAGGGAGTGAGGGGGGGGGGGGAGAAAATGAGTTAATTTGATTCTACTGACATACACTACTAGTTTACTACTGTGGTCTTTGCTGCTGCACGAATGGACAGTCTCCACAAGCGTGCCACGGCTCCGGAGGAGAGAGGCGTAAACAGATAAAGTAATTAAAAAAATATTCCACAAAGTCCGGCAACGCATTTGTGACTCCAATGGTGGTGCAAGTGTCCATGGGCGAACGTGAACACCAGGTTACCACCAGGTGGCCTGCCTGCTCGTTTGCCACCTTTTTCCATAGAAAAAAAAAAAACTGGCAGTGCGTTTCGTCTGGCGTTAAGTAGAAAAAATTATTTCGCGTTCCGTCTGATGAATGAGCTAACTGGAACGTTGTTAACACTTAACATCAGGTTACGATCGCTAATAAAAGAAAACAATTTTTTTTTAACTTATTCTCTCCGCGAAGAATAATAAAAATTATTGAATCAAAACAAAATGGCGATTATTGCCATGAAGATGAACGCATACAGTGTATGCATTGTAATCCGACACAAAAGCCCTTTTTAAATAATAAAGTGCTTCATGCGATATAATAACATTGCCTTTATGGGGATGTGTTATACTTTCATCAGCTCACAGTGCGGTACAGTAGACCTTTTGCACATCATTACTTATTCTACCTGAGTGATAACATTGAGGCTGTCTATTGAGCTTGCATTTTTATGAACACAGTTTGTAGGATGTATTGTACGTAGTACAGAAGACTAAAAAGCAAATAACTTATTCGGGATAAAAGAGGAAAGATAAAGCCCTTTCCTTGTAAGTTATATAAATTCTACTGAATACGGAAAAACCGAGGGGCGAACTAATTTATAGATAGTCGATATACCTTAATCGTCAACTTTATTTAATTTTTTATAGAGCTAATCAAATCTGCATCTTAAGATATTTCTCATTACATTATACTTATTTTTTTATAATATTTCATAAAAAAAGAAAGAATATATGTCTGAAAGTCTCTGGCCAGTTCTTCAATCGGCCGGTCAGAGATAATCAACAGGTTTTAGGCTCTCATGTGACTTCGAAACTAGTATAAATTTGATGAAAAGCTTTGACTTTGAACATGGACTGTAGTTCGAACTACATTGACGCAATGTGTATAAAAAATTATAAATTTGATTATTATGTTATGTTTAATCTTAAGACGACCCGAATGGCGTAGTTGGTAGTGTACCTGCCTCCGTCGGTGTGGGTGCGATGCCAGAGGGTGTGGGTTCGATCCCCACTACTGGAAAAATATTGTGTGATGAACATGGTGTTTTTCTGTTGTCTGGGTGTTTCTATATGTATAATATGTATTTATTTACAAAAGAAAAGTATGTTTAAGTATGTTTATCAGTTTTCTAGTACCCATAGTACAAGTTTTTCTTAGTTTGGGACTAGACTATGTTGTGTACCAATGTGTCCTAAAAAAATTTATTTAATTTAAGTGCAGGGATTAGCATTATAAAAAAAATTAAATTACACGTTTAATTTTTTTTAACACTATTTATACATAGGTACTTCTTTTTAAATTACACATCTGATTGTTATCGATATGCCTTCGGGAATTTCGACTTCGCTAGGCTTTGTACGCAGTTAGAAGGATACTTCATCTTTGCTACTTTATCATTCTATATGACTCCGCGTGTTTCATTTTAATTTTCAGTAACACTGTCACTTGTAAAATCAATTACAAGTTTGATATTATAATATTATAATAGTACAATAGTACCGTATCTGTAAAAACGGCAAAAATATCATATCTGTTGTATGGGAGCACCACTTAATTTTTTTTAGTATTTGTTGATATACATCTACTACTCTACATTTTGCTATTATACATCATCTGTGAAAATAGCAACTGTCTAACTATCACGGTTCATGAGATACAGCCTGGCGACAGACAGACAGACAGAAAGAGAAGTCTTAGTAATAAGGTCTCGTTTTACCCTTTGGGTACGGAACCCTAAAAAGAGGAGAAGTTTTTTCGTAGAGAGATTTTTAATACAGCAAATTAAGTGTATAACTACCTACGAAGCAAAGAGTAAATACTGCGTGATTAATTTTTGAATTTAGAATGTTAATCAAATTAGACTCGTTAAACTATCTTCTTGATCATAGAAATAATCCTTATTCATATTACAATTTGTCTGTCTTTACGTCCGATTACAACTTGTGGTTTATTATTAGATATACGATGATAAGAACACCAGATAATAAATGTCGGGAATATGACGATTGCACCACGAGGATAGACTCGCCGAATAAACTATGCCACGAATCGATGACGTCATCGGTTACATCATCGAAGTGAAATGATTACGTCACGACAGATAATGCATCTTTACAATACCGATCCCGTTGCGAAAAGCTTGTTTCCGCGAGTTAAACTTTATTTATGTATCTTGTATTAACTGATGTTTTTGCTTTCAGTCCCGAGACTATTAAGGCTTCATCTGACGCAGAACCGGTGGGCTAGCCGGAACCCATGGGATTGGATTTATTTATGTATTTCCAGGAACCAATTTACCTAACTGTTTACATTGATAGTAGGTACCATTAATTTACTCTGTTTAGTCGGCCGGCATAAATCGTATATTTTCTGACTTCTCCAAAACCATTAGTCAGTAGTTCAAACATAAAAAAGCGTACGCGTTTACTCCATACCTGCAAAAAATCTTCACGTACCCTGTCATCCTATACATACACACACAAATCGGCAAAACACTGAAATCCACGTAGTAATAGTAAAGTTATCAATTTTCTTCACTAAAAGAAAAAAAACTTAAAATCTTACAGCCTTTTCTAAGGCCCCAATGGATATTATTTAAGTGACCTGTTATGTATCAAAGAGCTGTGACAGCTCAGTATCCGGGCGCTCACCTTTAATTCAATATACTCGAGCAATCAGAGTTCAATCCCCGGTGCCAGCACCAGAGATATTGTTTATTTTAAGTGCTGACTTATCACGTGCTTGGCCGTGATGGAAAACATAGTGAGGAAACCTGCATATTTTCGAAATAATAACAAAAAAAATATATATATAATAATTCGAAAATATGTGAAGTCCGCCTATCAGCAGTGGGGTCGCGTGGTGGTCTATGTCCTGATACCCTCTTTACAGAGGATGCCTTTGCACAGCAATGGGACATATATAGGATGTTACTTGACCTCTTATGTTATTGTCAATCAATAAGAGAAATTGATAAGTTTTTTTAGTGCATACCCTGTCTAAAATCTCTATGCACTCAACTGTATAAAAGAACTTCAACAATGGAGGGAGTCACAGTTGCCTACCCCAAATGTTGGAGTAGGCTGCTCGAAGATCCCTAAGTCATATCGAACAAAATATACCACTGGCGATTATGATGTTTTAAAGGATCGGTGATTCCTATGATACTCAAAATTATGTTATGACCAAGTCGTAATATTTTATAATGTAACAACGCAAACAAAAATAGTTTCTGTCAATTAACAAATTGTAACATGCACTTTATCCAATTACTGTCTTTGCAAAGTTCAATACCTATATTTGGGTTGGATTTTTTAAAGCTAATCTATAGTTACGAAAATGAGATTTTTTCCGACCCACTTAAGCTATGTGCAACAGTAGCATTAACAAAAAGTGATAAGGCAATCTATCAGTGAGATTAGAATATCATTTAAAAAGTAGAGATATGATTTTATCAAACTACATGCGACGATACAGATATATCATGCATTGTTTAGGTCTCTAGACCACAACCATAAAATAATTAGGGCTAAAATATCCAAATCATTTTCATAGATTAGGAATTTTTTGGGCCTAGGCATTTTTCTAGGACAATCTATTGTTATTTGTATGGAGATACCTTTATGAAGTGGATTAGTGGAAACTTTACACACAAAATTGTATTGCCCGTCTATAATTTAAAATAAATTGTTCAAAAAACTTTTTCTACTTTATGTTGTTTTTAAGTAAAACATTTCTTTTCTGTTTACCTGAGCTTATCACTGAAGCAGCTCAAGTGACTTTTATGGGAATTAATTTAAGTTGAATAACATTTCCAAGAGCAATTAAAGTTACTTCTTGTAGCGATTCATCAATATATAAAGGATTCGCAAGAGACTTTACATTGTCTGAAAGATTTTTTTAAATTTCACCTCAAGGGTTAAAATAGAATATAGAAGTTTTAAAGTTTTGAGATTAAAACAAACAAATAATTAAATAAGCAATGTGAAATTGAAGTGAGTTTATACACAGGCAAATATTTTGATAATTTTAACAACAAGCATATCTTTCTATCTAACATTAAATACCTCTGTCGAAGATTACAGAATCTATCTCTGTAATCTTTTATCTTATCATTCATATGTATATTATGAGTGAACAACATTTTATAATTTTATCTTACAATTATGATATCAATATAAATTCCCAATGTTTTCAAACCTACATTGCGACACCAATATAAGAATATGAACCGAACATAAAAACTGGAAAACGCAGCAAAATTTTTAAATAAATAAAAAATATTTTCCATCGAGCGATAATCTTTAACTTACCTCTGATAACAACGGTGCTCTGTCCAGATGCTCCGATGATGCAAATGCGGATTCGAAATACGCCCCCCGAGTATGGGACTCGTACCGAGAGCCTTCATCATCCCACATTCGTGCTTCAGGTTCATCAGACATTCTGGCGCCTAGACGTCGTAAGCCGTAATTAGATTTTTTTAAATTTACTGAAACATATCTTTATAACGTCTCCGCAATTTGGCACAAATGTACACGTGAATCACTAGATTTATTTTAAGTCAACATTTATCACAAATTTAATGATTTTAATTCACTACTTTTAGCAACACTGCCCTACAGTAGACATCATCGTACATATTCTTTGCAATGCAGCAATGAGCAAAGCTAAGCAAAAGCAAGCAAACGTCAAACGACTCACAAAAAAAATATCACAGCGTTCTAAAACTGTTTAAAGATCTGTTGCGTTATTTTAAGTTCATATGTTAATCATTTATTTTAAGTTATAATTGTTGCTCTTCTGTTTTAAGTTATTAAATTTTCATATTTATTACAAAATCAAATATTATAACAAATTCAAATATTATGTCAATTGGGTTTCTGCACGAATTTCGTAAACTTCAGCGGGAAATTTAAACGATTTTAGTTTTTAAGCCGAATGCCGAATGGTTTAAATATTTCTATACAAAAATTTCTACTGTGTGTGTGTATCTCACTGAACTCTTCCTAACGGCTGGACCAATTGTAATGAAAATGTTTGTGTCTTCAGGTAGATTCGAGAATGGTTTAGATTCACAACAATGTGTTTTGAGCCAGTATTAAATCGGTACAGGACAACGTTTATCAGTCCACTAGTAAAATATAAAAAAAATATTATGTGTATAAAACAGACATGTTGGTACCTATGTTGATTGTGCTACTCGTGAGAGTAATAGTGTTTTGTGGTTGGTACTACAACAAAAACAAAACTATAACAATGATCGTCTGCTTACTTTTTTCACCAAACGATGTCTGATTATCAAAGGATTAAAATCGAATGACTTGGGACAGATTATAGGTTCCTACGCCCTACGGTACATACAACTTTGGTAAACAATTTGAAATTATATCATCAGTTTGAGGAAAGAACATACATGCTCTGCTTATCGCAGTGTGGGTACAATAATAAAAAAAATCAGATAACAATTACTTTTTAATATAATAAAATCACAAATGAAAATTATCCAGATTAGACAGTTAATACTTAAAAAATATACACGATTAAAAAATTTATCACAAAGCTATCGCCAGTACAACTATATAAATTATGGTGCTGTGCGAATGATGTAGATTAGTTTTAAGAGGTGTGATAATTTAGATAAATTATAATTACTATTTGTGTTATTATTTGTAGATAAATCCACAATTTATTTATGATTAAAAATTAATAATGCCCATTGAAAATTACATTACTCCTACCTAATACATTGGTGTTATAGCAAGATTATCGAATCGAAACAATATGAAAAATGGATAAATATTCAATATTCAGGCAAATTTCTTTTACTTTATAGAAAGAAAAAACATTTGCCACCAACAATTACATCTCAAACAAAATATATTTATATTTGTATTTACTATGTATAAACACATTACACTAGAAGTACATATACAGACATCAAAATGTATATTTTATGGTCACTGATATACAGCGTGTCGTTACCATCGCGACAATAAATGAACACACGTCTAACGCTACTTGCCAATAATCATAAAAAAATGTTAACGTTAAACAAAATCCATAATTAAAAAAAAATATTTTTCAAACAAACTAATTAAGTAAAAAAGAAACAAAATTTGTAACATCCTAATTCGCGCCACAGCGTCGCATTATAAGCCTCTCCTTCTAACAGTATGTTTTGTCTCTTTTAAATTCATTCAACCCATTCATATGCTTTGTGACCTTTACAAATGAACTTTACGTTAGTTTTATACGTAAGGGCGTTCTAAAATTGTTTGTTTTGGAAAATTTAATAACTCGGTAAATATTGATGTTTAAAGAATGTAAATGTTTAATACAATTTTAAAAAGTTACCTCTATATGTGTGTTCATTTATTGTCGCGGTGGTAACGACACGCTGTATATTAACTGCATTTTCAAATTTAAAATAAAAAAACCATTCAGCATTGCACCAATTTTGGTATAAGTTATTGAGACAAATATTCATTCACTCACTAAAAAGCAAAAACTATATTATTAATTACTACTGCCTAATTAAAGAAAAAATTGAGGCAGAAGGTAAATTCCCATATATTTTGATTAGCCAACTACCTTTTTTCTTACCTAATGGACGATAAATCTGCTATTGAGGTAAACTATGACCTAATAAACAAGCTATTATACTAGTGAAATGTGAGGTAATAACATTAAATAAAAAAAATTATATTTCTTCGTCTTTATTGTATTTTTTAAGTCAATGTTGCACTTCAATGTCATTTGAAGCACCGTTTTAAAGAAAAATTTTGAAACATAAAAGTCATAAAATAATATGAATTTCAATGTAGCCAGCATCTTTATATTTCACTTGCAATGCAATACTTTCTTTATCTATCTTGGTAATGGGTGAATTTTAATAAAAAAAAATATACAAGAAACATTATTTTTAAAAAGGAAACAGTGTTGTATTTAAAAATAAACATGTGAAATTTACAAATCGAATTCTGAATCAAGAACTTTCAGATTTAGAAACTGATTTACACCCACAACAGAAAAAAAAATTCTATTTGAAAGCTTCTTGGCTTCTTCATTGCTTCCCAAATTGTTTAAAAAAATAAATCAGCTCCATTTTTATTTTTCACGCCCTACTACAACAACATAATTGTTATACTCTTCTACAATAAACCACGTTACTAGCCGCCAGATACTAGGTATTCTTAGTACATACTATAATCAATAAAAGTATAATATCTATTACTTATCATAAAATACATGTATGTAGTATACAGTGCAAAAATTTTATCATGATTTTTTTATAAATTGCTATAGTAAATGAATAATATATACATATAGTAGATGAATAATTCACATTTCCATAGGTGTTCAATACAAAATTTTGTTGTTAGTTTTAGCAAAATGTTTTATACAAATGGTTTCATTTCATAAGAAAATTATAAAACATAATTATTAGCCTTTTTGATATTAAATTTTTAATATTTTGTTAATAACCTTTATAAAATATCGTAATGTTTTGATGACCTCAACATAGTCAATCAGATAGTTTTTGAAAATTCTTTTCTAAAAAAGAACATGTTTGAAAACAGTTACTAGAAACAGCGGTAGAGGGATTAAAATGCGCTTTTATAATTAAAAAAAAAAACAACTTTTTGTTACAATATTTAATAAATAATTTGATAAAACAAGGCCAAATGATTGTCACTATTATGAAACAGAGGAAGAATTCTACTGTAACACAATGAAATTGCTAATTAAGTTGTAATTTTAGAAAATGTGGAGGAGTTTTAACTTGTAATGCCAGCTTATTTATTACATGTTTTGTTGAATACTTGTTTATTATTAATTTATTATTTGTTTAATCAACACAATCAAAAAGAAAAAAAAAAGTTTATTTGATATTTAACATTTTCATGTGGTTTCTATTATTACAATACATATAAAAATTATAGTTACTCCTCACTTTATAATGCACTCTTGAAACCGCTTGAATAGAACAATTTTTAATAATCACTACAGTAATGTACAAAAAAAGGGTAAAAACTCTTTACATTCTATCCATAAGGTTTTCGATGTAATGGGCAGTTTGTCTCTATTTATTTAAACAACTATTAGCAAAAAAAGGCTTAATTTCAGTAAAGAACATACAATTGCTGTGCATTTTGGAATGCTATCGATACGATACGATCACACTACGTTGATATTAAGAAGAAATGCACATTTTCACATAGTATTAATAATTAACTTAAGATTTCACTAAACATAAATTTAAATGCAAAATATTTAATTCGACCTACGCTCGCGGACGCCGCCACATTTTGAAATATTGCTAGTACGACTATTTGACACAGATGGTTAAACAACACAAAACTATATTAATGAATGTATTGAAATCATCTTATTTTTAAAAATATAGGTTGCTTTTATTTTCATCTCAAGCTTCGAATTTTAAGCAAGATTAAAATATTAAAACATTGTAACTATTCCTTAAATAACATATTAGTTATTGAAATAGAGCTCGGCTAGTATATTATTAAAAAAAAACTATACTTGGTCCTTTGGATACTGGACTTTTTTATATTGAAATGTCGCTTTAAATATTTTATACTTGGAAACTACTTAAAATGATTATGTCAATGTTACCAATCAAAGTTGAGTAATAAAGAAAGCAAGTTTTGTACTAAACATTTTAAAATTCACTTAGTTGCGATGAAGTAACGATCGTGTGGAAAGAACGTTCATTTTAAAAAGTACAACACTCTTACCAGATCTATTATTCTCATCTGCTAATGTCAATTGACGCTACCTTTTATTATGCCCTACTTGTGAGTACCACAGTTATCTGAGCCACGTGGGTTAGGGGCACATTAGTTGGGGGCACGGTGGTTGGGGGCATCGAGATTGAGGGCACGGTGGTTGGGGGCATCGAGATTGGGGTGGATGTTTCGGGCTAAACGACGAGCACGAGCGGATCGCCTATCATAACGAGGGCGGGGGCCCGCGGGGGCCCACGAGGGCCAGCCCCGCACCATCCAGGCGGGGCCACTCGACGAACTCCTTGCCGTGTCTGTAATGTTTGCAAGGTGTCCTCATGAAAGATGTTGGTTGTTCTGATAAGTAGCGAAGAAAGTATGATCGGTATTTTCCTTTCAATGTTCACCTTATGTTGAGTGATACACAAAAGACAGGCTCGTCTGAGAAAAGACCGGCGTGGGGTGGAATTATTACACTTTAGTGTTTCGTCTGAAGTAGTTTTAGAATTGTGAAGTAACTGGGGCCCATTTTTAATGTTAATGTTAAGCAATGCATCTGTATTCGTTCAGGCTTTTTTGATGTCAATTTCGATTAAAAATCAGGTGAACCTCCTGCTCGTTTACCATCGTCGTCATCGTCTTGGCCAGTTCTAGTCCACTGCTGAACATAGGCCTGCGAGCAGACTGCCACGAGGCCAGATCCAAAGCCACCTGCATCCATCATCATAGACATAGCACATTTCAGAGATCACTCCATCTCGTGGAGGGTCTTCACTCGAACACCTTAGTGTTTTTCTTGTGAGAACGTGGCAAGCGAGCTGGTGATTCAGCCGATGTTAAGTGATAACCTCCACCCATTGATATTTGCAAAACTCGTAGCGTTTGCAGATGGGTTGTCACCTTATAATGAAGTGGGCCACACTAACACATCCACTTCACGCCCGTCTTCCGAGATCGCGGTGTTTACTCGAACGGACCTGCTTATTCGCAACAGCGGAGATTGTTGCGTGGCTCTACCACAGCTATGACTTGGTTTGTATTAGTGGCTGTGCATTGTTTCCACTTCCTGACGCTACCTGAATATGAAGGAGAGCGTGGCGCCCACCGCCGCGCCCCAGAACATGAGGTAGAGCAGCACCTCGCTGCTGTAGCGGGACGGGAGCACGGCGCTCGCGCAGAACATCGACACCGCCACCATTAGCACCGAGGGGAACTGAGAAGTATGGACGGTTACACGTGTAAAGATTTAGTTTGCTGGCCGTGGTCGAGGCGTTATCCTGGATAGATTTATTCAGAACAAAGGTATAAAAGCCCCGATGGCTAGCCACTTTGTGTTGAGATTTGTAGAGAATGTCGACTAGAAGTGGCCCGAGTCAATGTTCTATCATTGTCATTGTATTAAAAATCAATGATTTTTATATACAAATACGGGATAAATATGGCATTAGCGCACCGAAACTGAGTAGAAAACTACGGCAATTGGATTGGTGTAATTAGATTAGAACTCTAGACTGCTAGCTCTTTCCGTATCATACGTTCTATATAATCTGTCACATTCACTTATATTTGTCACATAATAATGCAAAGCGAAACAATTTGTAAACGCCGCGCAGTATGGACATGCGACATCTTTAACAAAACATCATTGAATACAATAAGGATTTGAACCATGAGAAAATCAAACTCTTATATCCTGCAGGCAGTTAGAGTTTTAACTTTTGTAGTTACTTTGAATGATGTCTATGCTTTCAGTCCATAGATTCGAGCAATTTAAGCTTCGTCAAAACCTTGTAGAGGCGTCTTATCTATGCGGAAGAATGTCTTACTGGCGAGGTTTCGTACAGCCCAGGTCACAGTATGGCCGCTGAATGTATTGTTCATGGCTTGATTGTTTGTGGTATTACACTGGTGTCGGTTTTTAATAACAGCACTCCCAATCATACTCACAGTAACATACTTCCAGTCTCTGTCTCTACGAAGCGGGCACGGCACTGTGTTGCCCTCGCCGTCGACCACGACGTATTTCCCGAGCAGCAAATCGATCGAGTCCTGCAAACGTGAACCGTTACTTAAGCCCGAGAAGGCAGGAGCGTCTGAAATGATGCCTAGGAAATTTTAGACAGGATCTGGTCGTGCGGATGAAATTTTTTTTTCATCATTGCGTTATTAGCACCAAGTAAGCCATTGGATACTATAGTACGGTGGTAGGGCCATCCAGTAGCCTCGGCTGTTGCAGGAATGGGCAGGCCCGTCCGGGTAAGCACCACAACCTCACAGAAGACCAGCGTGAAGTGGAAGTATGACAAATACTTTCGCGTTTCGTCTGGTGAGTGAGGTAGCCGGAGCCCAATTTTCAAAAGGTTGTCAACGCATCTGCAACCCTCGGGTGTGGCAGATGTCCATGGGCGTTTGACAACTATTCGCATAAAAAAAAATTATCACGAAATCTCGGATGGGGGATTGAGTACTATAGTACCACGGATCTCTTATATCACTAAGATCGTCAAAGCTTATAGCAGAGACCTTTTTTTAATGCTAAAAATCGTAACTACAAAATTGTAGATCCGTTTTTATCTTCTTACTTAGCACGTCGCTTGTAACAGTGGTTTATCACCACCGCTTTTATGAACATTAAGGAAGTTTCCTTGCGTCCAATATAATAGAACTGATACATTCGAACCGTCGGCTAGAGCGATCAATATTACTCGAATCTCGCCACCCACCCCCCGAGCACTATTTTCATATTTTTCTAAACAGTAGGTGACAATATTGTTTATTTATTAATTTAAAACTTCATGCACAAAAAAAACGATCTTTCTACCAAGGCGGACTTAATGCCAAAGGCATTTTCGGGCAGTCAACCTAACGGGCGATTCGTAGAAATTGTCCTTCTTCTGGCAAGCGCCACGTCACCCCTCTCTCGAAGTCAGTAGCGAAGCAACGAAAAGCATTCGTAAGCCCTCGGGTATTGCGGTAGTTCGTGGGGATAAAAAGAAAAGAAAAAAAAAAAAAAACTAATGCGACCAACCTGCCGCGAGCCGTCGCTGAAGTTGTTCTTGTAGTATCTCGTCAGCGAGTTGACCCCGTCGCGGAGCGCCCCCAGATGGGTGCGCTTGCCCGTGCGCGTGAAGTCCGTCTTGAGCGCGCCGGTGCCGGAGTACTGGAGCGAGATCATGTCCGCGTGGTCCGCCCACACCTGGGGGTGGGGGGGGGGGGGCGTTATTGGGTTTTGGGTTTTTTTCTTAAAGTGATTATAGCCGCACGTGGACATCGACACCTGAAGTGCAGATGCGTTTCCAACCTTCAAAGTCGGCCCCGGTTACCTCGCTGGCCAGACGAAAGACCAAAGTTAATACTTTCACTTCACTTCACGCTCTGAGGTAACGTGCTCATGCGTTGCAAATACAAGGGGTTTATGGGTTTTTTCGTGCGAAGTATCAACAAGCGAGCGAGCGGTTCACTCGACGTTAAGTGACTACCGCCGCAAGTGGACATCGACTTCGCCCGAGGTGTAGCCGCGTTGCCAATCTTCAAAAAACTGGGCCCTGGTTACCCTCGCCAGACGAAAGACGAGAGTTAATACTTTCACTTCACGCCAGTCCTCTCTGAGGTACAGTGCTCATGCGTTGCAACAGTACAAGCAGTTTTTCTACAAGTTTTAACAGTACAAGCGGAGTGGACCTACTACAATAGAGCAAGAGGTCTAATCGAGCAGGTCATTCAGTATGTAAGCGTAGCACGTATTGAACTGAATTGCTTTTGGAGTCAACTTTGAAGCATTATTTACGAGCCGTGATAGCTCAGTGTCCGGGCACTCGCCTTTTATTAAATATGCTCGAGCCCCGGTGCCGGCACCAATGTAATTGTTAATTTTAAGTGCTGACTTGTCACGTATAAGCGTAATAGACAACAAGAACGTTCCCATAGAATACTGTACCGGCATACTGACTCCATTTAGGTAGACTATTCAGAAACGTCTGCTGTTGCAAGAATGGGCAAGATTGTCCGGGTAATCATGGACTCGCAGAAGACCAGCATGAAATGCAGTTATTATGTATGCGTTCGCGACGTCTGATGATTGACGTGGCAGCGCCTCACACTCTTTCCGGTTCGCAAACCATCTGCAGCCCGTCTGCTGCCAACATCCATGATCTACTAAACCATCAGCGGCCAACTTGACTGCAGGCGGTAAAAGACGGTACATTCGGCTGGTTATCTACCACGAGATACCGTTCGCCGGTGGCAAAAGACGGCACAGTCGGCGGTACTGCGTTGGACAGCTTGTCGAAGGGCGGGTGCTGGTCGGTCTGTACAGTCGATTGGTGGCAAATGCCGGCACAGTAGGCCGGTGACCTGCCACGGGATACCGTTCGCAGCCGTAAAAGACCGTACGGTCAGCACGTAATCTGCCACGAGATACTTTTCGCCGGTGGCAAAAGACGGTACAGTAAGCACTTGAGAGATCGTTCGCCCAAACCCGTGGGTTCTGGCTAGCCCACCGGTTCTGCGTCAGATGAAGCTTTAATAGTCTCGGGACTGAATGCAAAGACATCAATTAATACAAGACACAAGATCGCTCGCCGGTGGCAGAAGACGGTACAGTCAGCACGTGAGAGATCGCTCGCCGGTGGCTAACGACTGTACAGTCGGCGGCGCGTACCGCGTTGAAGAGCCTGTCGAATTGCGGGTGCTGGTCGTCGCCGGTGGTGACCGCCAGCAGGCGCAGGGCGGCGGCGAGCTGTCTGCGCGCCAGCATCGACTGCACCACGTTGGTGCGGTCCAGGCAATCCACGCAGTTGGTGCGAAACACGCCGCCCTGGCGCAGCAGCACGGTGCCGCCGCGCGACAGGAAGTAGCCGAACTCCGTCTGATGGGGTGTAGATCCCGCTCTTTGAGTGTACATGGACCTCGGGACTGGAATTCACAACGACTTATGCCCGGTGCCAGTATTCAACGAACGGCCGTTGGTCATAGTTTCGTAACTTTCATAGCGATCTTTTTTTGTTTTTTTTTTTATGTGAAAAGTAGCCAAGCGAGCGCGGTTCCCCTGACGTTAAGTGAACACCGCCGCCCATGAACATCTGCTACACCCGAACACAACACATATGTAACAGATGTGTTGACAACCTTTTGACGATTGGGCTCCGGCCACCTAACTCACAAGACGAAACGCGAAAGTATTTGTTATACTTCCACTTTACGCCGGTCTTCTGTGTGCTCGTGGTACTTACCCGGACGAGCCTGCCCATTCGTGCAACAGCCGCGGTTGCTGCGTGGCCCTACCACAGTTAAAGACTTGCAGATAAAAGGCGTGTACGGCCGTTCCTATATTCACAAAGCGAGGCGTTTTCCTTACGTACCGTTGCATTACCTACGGAAATTGAGTTACTAGCGTTCCTTTGATCTACTAGTCGTTATGGAAGTTACGAAGCTATCTAACTAAGGGTTCGTTGAATATAATACTGGTAGGACCATGCAACAGTGTTCACTGTTGCACGAATGGGCAAGTCCGTGTCGGTAAGTGTCGCGACCTCGCGGAAGACTGGCGTGACGTAGAAGTGTTGCACTTCTGCGTTTCGCCCGGTGAGTGAGGTAGCCGGGGCCCACTTTACGGCGTGGCAACGCATTTGCAACCCTACGGGTGTTGCAAATGTACATAATGTTGTGTTACAAATGTACATAATGTTGTGTTGCAAATACGTAACATCAGGTGAACCGCCAGCTCGCTTGCTACTTTTTCACGTAAAAAAAAAACATAGACCTCGGGACTGGAATTTACAACGAACACAACCAAGGCGGGAGCTTCTGGTGGTGTCTTTGAAATTGCACTTTGAACAGGACTTGGGACTGGAAGTGACGTTGAACAGGTGAAAGACGAGAGCGTTCTTCTTCAACACATTACATACATTCAAACGACGATGGCCCTTTTGAGGGAGGAGACTTATGAGAGATTACTGCCCACTCTACACCCAGCATGGCCTCGGTAAGGTAGCATGGACGGGAGAAGGGGCTACGAATATAAACTTGGAGAAGACACATTATTATTCATCATCACTTCAGCCTGTTCTAGCCCACCGCTGAACGTGGGCACCACGAATCACCTGCATCCACCGCGTTCCCTCACTTTTGCACGGGTCGTCTTCGTCGTCTTTTGCACTCGATCTAGCGCGGGGGGAGAAGATTGGATTAAAAGGAGGATCGGACCTGACTACCTAAGTCCTGGTAGCTGCGCCTGCGTGGAAACCCCAATGTCCTCCAAAAACGAAGCCCCTTGCTGACCCCTATCGTATACATATAAGGTTAGGACCCAACTTCCGGAGTATCCACATATGTGCCGGCGGGAAGACCGTAACGTCCACCTCACAAGAGCACTCTCACTCTCCCCTGTCCCCTGGCTCTCCCCTGTCGCACGTGTGTCACGTTCCTACTGCCGGCAGGGGGAACCACCTGCTCGTGGGCGATCCTGTCCATCAGCACGTTGAGCCTGTCGTAGCGCATGCCGCGGCACTCCGCGTGGAAGTCGAACGGCTCGTAGCGGACCCCGGGCAGCGCGGCCGCCGCCACGGCCGCCCTGTAGCCGCGCTCGAGCGACTCCTCCTTGCCGTGCTGGTCGATCTGTTACCATATTTGTTTGTTTTATTTTTTTTTTTATGCGAAAAGTTGTCAAACGAGCAGACGGTTCACCTGATGATAAGTGAGTACCGCCACCCATGGACATCTGCCACTCCCGAGGGTTACAGATGCGTTGACAACCTTTTGAAAATTGGGCTCCGGCTACCTCACTCACCAGACGAAACGCGAAAGTATTTCTCATACTTCCACTTTACGCTGGTCTTCTGTGAGGTCGTGGTACTTACCCGGACGGGCCTGCCCTTCGATGCACTACCACCGTAAACTTGATGCACTCAAAACGATTCGCGACTTTGGAATTGTAGTGGCCTATTTAGGTATACAGCGTGTCGTTACCATCGCGACAATAAATGAACGCACATATAGGGGATAACTTTTTAAAGTTGTATTAAACATTTAAATTCTTTAAACGTCAATATTTACAGTTATTAAATTTTCCAAAACAAAGAATTTTAGAACACCCTATAAAAGCGTAACGTAAAGTTCATTTGTAAAGGTCACAAAGCATATGAATGGGTGAATGAATTTAAAAGAGACAAAACATACTGTTAGAAGGAGAGGCTTGTAATACGACGCTGTGGCGCGAGTTGTATAGGATGTTACAAATTTTGTTTCTTTTTTACTTAATTAGTTTGTTTGAAAAATATTTTTTTTTAATTATGGATTTTGTTTAACGTTAATATTTTTTTATGATTATTGGCAAGTAGCGTTAGACGTATGTTCATTTATTGTCGCGATTCACATTCACTGACACACATTCCTGAGCCACATGCATTCGTCGACTTCCCGCAAATGAGTGACCATATTTTGCGGTGCCACGCAAATCATCTCGTGGGGGGTCGCCCTAAGTTATATGACATTTTTTTATGCGAGAAGATTGCAAGCGAGCTGGTGGTTCCTCTGATGCGTTGCCACCTTTCAATAAAGTGGGGCCCCGGCTACCTCACTCACCGGACGAAACGCAAAGTGTCGCGCTTCAAAAACGCTTCTATTTTTTTTTAAATTCCACGCGGACGAAGTCCCGGCCACAACAAATATCGAATAAAGACACTTTGACACTTTGACACTTCAAAAACTACCAGCGTCTCGTGTTCTCATCGTCTGCGGGGGAGCACTCACCAGGTTGACGAGCACCTGGCCGCCGTAGCGCTGCGTCTGGTCGCGCATGTGCCTCGTGTACGCGGCCACGTGGTCCTCCGGGGACAGCGTCATCGGCGGCTTGTACCTAAGGTCCGGGTGCTGGCACCAGAACAGCGGTATCGAGCCGCGGGTCTGCACGAACGAGGACTTCTCGCCGCCGCGCTCGATTATCTGCTCCGTCTCGACGAAGTTGGCCACGTTGCCCTGGGGGGGGGGGGGGGGGGGGGGGGGGGGGGGGGGTGACGTCGACGGTTAACGCTCGGCCGCCGCAGGCTTATAGGCGAAGCCGTGACGTCATCGGTTAAAAGATCATCCAACGCAGGCTTATGGACGAAGCCGTGACGTCATCAGTTGAAAGATCATCCAACGCAGGCTTATAGAGCTAGACGAGAATATCAGCCCCTACACAAAAATCAGAATGATAGTGTTGCTCCGTCCACGTTGCCTTGGACGGGGGTGACGTCATCAGTTCAGAAGGATAAAACTATCCCGTGTTGTAAGGAAGTTTTGCGTAGATAAATTTCACGTGGAGATACACTCACGACCCGAAACAATTATCTCTGGGTCACACAAATAGTTGTGGGATTCGAACCCACGACCCCTGGTGACGAAGCCAATGGCTTAGCTGCGCCACCGAATCCGAAACAATAGCTTAACTGCGCCACCGAGTTAGCTATTCAAAATGATGAGATGCTATTGCAATCATGATTATGTTAATTGACTTGCGTTTCGATCTTCGAGTCTCATAGATTTTTTTCTTAGCCCAACCAACCTGAGCATCGACACCCCTCATGAAGAACCTCGTGCCAGCTCGCTCCACGCAGCGGCGCGACACCAGCGACCACGTCAGCTGGTGACCGTTCACCGTCACGCGATTGACCGCGACAACTGAGCTTTTGTTTAGGAACATTCGAGGTTTTCTTACGCAGCTAGTGATTAGCATAATAAACATTATGTAATTATTAATTGTTACAATATTTAAAACATTAAATCTGTATTAATTACATATTATCTAATAAGGCTGGTCAACGCGGCTTCGTGCCAAGAACGGTTGCTGTGTTTCCTTGCAGAATAGTTATGTTTAATCTCGATTTTTATTAAAGCCGCGACGTTAATAAAAATTATATAATTAATAATTTGATATAGCGGCTAAACAAGTACCACCCAACAAAATTAAACAATTTCTAACATTTACACACGGAATCGGCGCTTTTAGAAAGCAATTTAATTATTGATGCATTCATATTCAAAGGAAACAATAATTGTTAAATTAAACGATTATAACATTATGTGTAAAAAGACAGTATTTGTAAACATAGTCTAAACAAGAAAAAAATTACCTATAGATAATATAAAAATGTGACATGTTCTTCATTATATCTTATCACTAACAAAAGATATTGCAACAAAAGAATCAATAGAAAGATAGTGTTGAATTGTTTTAAGCCGACCAGAAAGTAACATAAATATATAGTAGGTATTTACTTGAATTATTATAATAACAGAACACTACAGTCAGCGAAAGCTACAATAGAGTACACATTGTAGTAACGGGGTAGTTAAAAGGATACAGCCCTGGATAAGAGGTAGAGCAAATCTCTGGAACTGCTGCTGAGAGAATTCCTTGAGCAGGTGTCCGTTCCACAGGAACCGGGAGTCAGCGCGACTTGCCAGCGACATCTATGAAGCAATACTCTGATAATTGAAAACTGCAGGAACAACATTGTGAGAAATTAAATTATATTGGCATCATAAATGGATATTGTTGTGTAATCCAAAACCAGCATTCGAGACAGATTACAAGTATTAGAATTTTTCACATGTAACACAAAATTACTTAATAATATAAATAAAACTTTATGGTGTCGTCATTTTTTCTGTCATATTCAGAGTATTATAGAATCATCAAACTTGGGTCTCGCTAGGATATGAAACTTTGATTATTCAATGAGTACCAAAAAAGGGGAGAAGAGTAGAACATTTAGAAAAGAACACAGTGCCTATATACAAACTAAAGGTTACCTTTCTCCTTTTATAAAGAACTGCACCAAAATCTGACTCTCATTTTACCTTCTGAAAATCAGCTGCTACGGAATGCAACCTTTGCATGGTGTGTGTGAGATCATATCCATAAGAGAAATATATTCCGGGTGTTTCGAGGGCCGCACGAAGCAGTCGTTCATAAGTATTATTATCTTCAATCTAAAAATAAAGTAAAAAATAAAAATAAAACTGACTAATTGACTAATCTGTCATTCTTCATGGTTACAAGAAAGCCTAATAATTTAAAGATAAAATGGAACATGATAAAAATTATTGAGTTTTTTGTACCTTTTACTATGATACACTGATAATTTTTACATTACCTGTTTGCTTGTAAGATGAGTTGTGGAGCGAGCATAGGGTATGATATCAGTGCCTGCTAATTGGTAAATATCATGGCCATTGATTTTACCAACCTAAAAATTATATTAAGATATTGTTAGTTCAAATTCACAAACTTCTTACATCAAGCCAATTTTAACCCTTAGTTAAAGAACACTGACTAACTACTGATCTTAACTAACACCTGATCACCGCCTCTTAAGTGCCATGTTTAAAACTTTAGGTGGTTAAGAAACGAAACTAGCCCTTATTTGTTTTAGGTGTCCCTTAAAGTTAGGGATCAATGGTGAAAACAGTCATTAGGGACTTAATAATTGATAACAAATAATTAGTCATAATTTTAATGACACATTATTTTTATTAAAAAAAATACATTTTATGACTGTAAGTAGAGGTTACGGAGAAATTTGACCTTAGCATATTTATTTATTTGAAAACTTTTTGCACGATAACATACAGGGTGGCTTTTTTACAGAAGTCATTCATAAATGCGTCGTATATTTTTGAAACCACATTGTCAACAAGTTCTGCTTTTCAGGGAATGGAATGGAAATTTATAGGAAAAAAAATGTTTGTTTTTATTTCAATAAACAATTATACTAGCAAGTTTGAACCTCCTGTATGAATTTGGGCACTTTAGAAAAGCCAACCCTGTATAGTAAAGGATCCTGTAATCATACTGAAACAAGATTTTAGAGTATTTTTTAAATAATTAAAAAATTACCAAAATTCTGTATTTCGCCACCACAAGGTATAGTCCAGATATCAATCTAATAGTTCCTAAGAACCCACATACAGGTTTGTATGCATGTACAGGAATGGGAATTTTCACATATTTTATATCTGTAAAAAGTTTTATAATTAATTAACTTGTTGAGAAAATACTATTTTTCATTGTGAACGATTTTGATTGTTTAAGATTTGCCTAATAAGAATGCTGTAATAAAAAATATTTACATAAATGTTGCTATTGAGTTAACTTATTTCAAAGTATTTTAGCCGTAAACATGCTTTATATATATTTTTAGCCCCTAGTAGAAAATAACAATCTCAGTAACCAGAAAGAATATATTGTTTTGTCAGACATACAGATAATGTCTTATAATATTTCATAAGAAACTACATCAATAGTCATGCTTATACTTAGCTACAAAAGCATAGCTAGATTTCATACTCCAAACCTAAACCTGGCTACACCTATGCTTTTCAGTGACATTATGATTACAAATAATTTTACCTTTAACTGAAGCTTCTCCTGTAATTCTATCAATTACTAAGACCTCAGTAGGATTAATGTGTGGCTCTAGAAAGAACTTATCGGAGGTAGTATATCTAAAACAAAAAAAAATATCCTTTTTAAGTCATATAAGGCACAATTAGGTATTCAGGTAAATGCCAAGAGAAATATTAAGAAATATTTTCTAAAAACGACACCATGAAAATTAAATGATATTGTAAAGTTTCAGTATATAGTCACATTTCTTCTATTCTTTTATCTAATGCTAGGGACGTTGTAGATAATATAGATATCCAAAACAAAGCTAATTTCTCTTGACCTATTAAGATGACAATCGTGATTTATTCTAACTTTATTTACATAAGTCGGTTAAATTACCTTGATAACAGTGTGTGAATAATGAATATGCAATGACTCGAGGTTAGGAAAATAGTTCAAGTTAATAATGTCTTGTAAGGTTTCTAAGAAAATATTTTTTTCCGGCAAGATGTTCAGTCCTACCAGTTTAAATCGAGTTATGTTTAAATATTTAAAACACTTACAATTTGATATCATCATGGACAAGTAACACATCTGCCATTTTGGAACAGTTTCTATTAAATTCGTTCTATTTCTTGTTATATCATAGCAATTAGAAAAATCCTGTAATCTGCACAAGTAGACAAGACAACTAGTGACGAATGACGATAAGATGACAATGACAACATGTAATGAATGACAGCTTCTTGACGTTACTTGATTGTGCATTGAGTTTTATTCATTACTATTACTTTTTTTAAAACAAAACACTTAAAACCATAATTTTCCACCTCGAAATAGTAAATTCGAACAAAGAAAAATTATTTCGGCAGCATTCATTTTATAACTTTACAATTCCATTTCTGGATTGAAAAACAAGGTGAGTTTAAGCCATTAGTATAAAATTAAAAAAGGAAACCCAAAAACTAAATATAGTGCATAAAAGTTTTACTAAAAGAAATATAATTTTTGTATTTCACGCTGAACGTTTCATCTTATTTCAATGATCAATATATTTTAGACACTTAAAAGAAGTTTGAATACGTTCAATTAGCCGTTACATAAATTATATTAATACTACCTCTAAGATGATATAGTATTAAAATGGTAGTGAAAACAGAAAATAATAAAAGATATAAAAATAAATTCTTGTAAAAAGTACAAATTAATATACTTTGGCTTAATAACATGTGACAGAAAAGTCAGATGTTTATCTGTGTTTATCAAATCGAAACATTAAAATTTCAAACAAAAGACATGTGTGTGTTTTGAAAGCTAACCTAACTAAGCAAACTAAGAGACTATAACCACTACATTTAAACAAACTAGAAGAGCAAACTAAGCTTTAAAGTGCGAGTCTAGTAAAGCAATTTAACATACTGAAAAGTATGTGCTAATTTTAACCTAATAATGGAAAATAAAATGGAAGTTCCGGGATATCCCGGTCTTATTAAAACAATCGAAGATGGTGAAGAAGTTGAAGATTTTTCAGAAGAATCCGATATAGAAGAGGATGTAAGTATTTATATTTATTATCGTATGTTTATTTAATGTGAACTGGTCATAAAGATAAAACTACACTTGCGTTATAATAGTACAAAGCAGTGATGATATTGAACTAATTTAGTAAATAAATATACCAACAAACAGTGACATCTAAATAAAATAACCATTTTAAATTTATTTTGTCATTGGCTTCAATATAAACCGCAGTATCATTACTCTATAAATAAATACAGAAAATAATTTTAATTTAATTATGTAGAGTTTCTAGTAATATTATTTTAATATTTAGAGAATTATTATTGAGATCTATAACAAGCGTGATATGAACAGTACACAAACACTTGATACAAATAACTTGATACAAATACAGAAACACTTGATACAAATAGGCCTCTATGAAGTATAGCTGTTCTCCCCAGTCAGTTAACAGCTACCGATCGAGCCGAGGTCCGGCCCTCTCGGGCACCCTCGAATCGGAATGCTAAACGCGTGTTGAGTGACAGCCCAAGCCGAGGACCCTTGAGCCTGATCACTCCATGGAGCGTCCGCCAAAGCGCCCTAAGGGCTTGGCGGCCTCCCAAACCGGTGAAACTAATAGCGTGACGGCCCGAGCCGAGATTCCTTCAGGAACCCTCAAGCTTAGTCACCATAACGCGTAATAATAAATACGCGAGGTTCAGGCTAGGCGCCTCAAGTGCCCGGCACCCTCAAGTCCGTCGGATCTGTAAAGGCCCCTAAGGCCAAAAGTGGCTCATCGATAAATAATGTGGCTCTTTTCGTTGTTTCAGTACCAACCTTCAAAACAAAAGGTGAAAAGGAAAAATGATTTTGATCCTCAATTCAAATTTGTAGCGTCAGTTGAGGAATACAACAAGGTGAGTTGAGAAAAAATGTTCTCTTTAGTTATTCCCTATCATTAATATCATGAAAATGTATGATATTCAAGTTTATAGTAAGTCTGTTACAAAATCATGTTCCCTTTTAGAACCCATGGGACAATTTACAAAAATATGTGCGAAGAAATGTTAAACATACATTGGATGAGAAGATTGCAAAGAGGAGAGCACAAGTGAAGGTTGAGGGTAACAGTGGCGATGTTGATACGGACTCTGAAGAGGAAGCTAAAGGTTTGGTTATGATTGTACTTACTTGCTTGGCTGGTTCAGCGACCCAAAGAGGATCTTGGCCTCCGACATGAAAAGACGCCATTACTCTCTTTTCTGGGCTGTTTTTTGCTTACAATTGTATTGATTCTTGTTTAATTCTTTTGCAGTACTTTCCTAAGGCCTCTGCCTTGTTCTAACTGTAACTACTAACATAATAAAAACCTAAAAACCATACGTCATTATTACTATTAGTTTCCCTTGGTTTTTTTTTTTATTAGGGATTGTGACGTCAATCTCTAATATCATAAATTTATGGATACAATTTTTGCAAGATAAAATATCCAAGATTGAATACAATAAATTTTATCTATACTTTTGAATTATTGACTAGTATCCTCCAAATTCAGAAAAATCATATGTTTATTTTATGCTTATATAAAAATTGATAATTTTTAAAAGTGTAATTTTTATTTAAACAGATGAGGGTGTTGATGAATTGGAAATATCAGATGATGAACTCAAAAGAGATGAAATAAAGACTAAAGAAAAGAAGCTCACCAAAAAACAGAAGTTGAAAGAGGTTAGTATTTATCAATATATTTCTATTATATTCAGTTCATTGCAATATAATTGTTGACTGTTCGTTTTTCTGCATTATTTGCTATGTGATGCACAAAAATAATACACAAAGTAGGGAAAGAAATGAAATTGTATTGTTTAATATTTTTCTTACTATTTCCTTCACAATACAATAAGAAGATAAATTGAACCGATAAATGAACTGAAAATATTAGTAAATATATTTTTTCTGAATGTGTGTATTCATGAATACAGACATACATACTACATGAATACAGATATAAATACAGACCAGAAATGTTGGAAACCCTATTTGCTTAATCTTTTTGAGTTATTAAATCCAAGTCTTCTTTTTTTAAGGAGCTTAAAGAAGATGATGGGCTAGGGGCCCGCATTGAGTATGACTCTGATTTCTTCGAGGAGCCACCACCATTTGATGAACAGGCCTCTTTCTATATGATGAATCTTTCACGGCCACTGCTGAAGGCAATTGGGACACTGAACTATGTCCATCCTACACCTATACAGGCGGCTACAATCCCTATTGCTTTGTTGGGTAAGTCAATATTGATACAGGTTAGTTTATGCTGTTCCCCATTTTACACATACACAATTTTTCCATATCATCATCCTCCTGCCCTTATCCCAAGTAGGTGGTGTCGGCACAACATGGGAATCATGTTGTATGCGGTTTTGGCTATATTTTTTCGACTTCCCGCCTGCCTCACGTCAATACTCCTTGGAAAACAAACACCCAGATCTGGAACAATTATCTATTGGTCACACAAATACTTTTTCCATGTCGGAATCGAATCTACGACCCCCGATGTCGAATCCAAAAGCTAAGCAGCGGCGCCACTGAGTCATCAATTTTTTCATATCTCTAAGATAAAACAAAATCGAGATTATCTCCATGTTTGATAAAATGTCTCTTGTTAGCTCATGGCTTCACTCAGCTCCAGATACAGAATCTCCGCACAATGCACAAAACTATTGTAATATTTCACACTGATCTTTGCAAATTCTCAGCAATGTAAAATAATATAAATGTAGTAAAACCAAGAAAGTAACTTTTTCTTTATTATGTGTAGGCAAAGACATATGCGCTTGCGCCGCAACGGGTACTGGCAAGACAGCGGCTTATATGTTACCCATTCTGGAGCGACTCCTGTACAAGGCTGCTGGTGGAGACAGGGTTACCAGAGTATTGGTGTTGGTGCCTACCAGAGAGCTGGGTGCACAGGTGATAGTTCTTTGATTACTTGTTGCCTTAACTTCACCTAATAGCAACTAAACCATTGCAAAATAGTGCACAAAAACGGTGTGTGTTTGATCTACAACTGATGACATAACATTTGAATTTTTCTGTAATATAAGTATTTGAAAATGCTAATGTCTCTTCCGCTTTTTAAAAAGAGACATCATCGTCCTATCCTTATCCCATCTAGGTGGTGTCGGCACAATATATGAACTATGTGGCTAGTGTTATTGGCTAGGTTTATTATGACAACTCTAAGTACAAACGCACATTGTTTGTTAACATATTATTCCACGAGGCGACGGAGCGAAACCGATGGAGACAGCTCGTTGACCAATAAAATAAAATTCACGATCCCCAGCAGTGAGAGAGAACTGAGAAGAAGAAGAAGAAATTATCATATTAATTGACCAATTACGTACCTAATTTGTTCAGCAAATGTATCCATCATGTTGTTAACGATATTGGTTATGCTTTTTTTTTTTACGACCTGCACCCTGCTTATATTCTACATTCCTTGGGAATAAACACTCCAATCAGGAACAATTATCTGTCATCGTCATCATTTCCTCAATCTCAGCAGGGACATAAATCTCTTAACCGATTCGTCCAATTCTCTCCGGCCTGGGCTACAGTTCCAAGGTCTCACGAACTGTCGCAGCCCAGGCGAGATGGTTCCTTTTCGACTCGCGCCGCTATGCAGTTCTTGGCCGTCCTCGTCTATGGCTTCCTGTAGGTCGCCAAAGCAGCTGTTTAGTGAGGTTGTCATACCTTCTCAGGGATAGAGATATCACCCGACGCCGAAGCCTGGTCATTATGCCACCATTGAGCAATTATTGCTATAAATAATATATGTACAGAGTTTGATGTTTGATAATTCTTCCTTTTTTAGGTTCACACTGTGACCAGACAATTAGCACAGTTCACCTCCGTCACAATTGGCTTATCCGTTGGTGGTTTGGATGTAAAATATCAGGTAAGTTATTATTACTTTGGATCTTTTCAGGATAAAATAGCAATCGTTATTTCAGACAAATTAATGCGATGTTCTTAATTAAAATCAGTTATTATTTTCCACTATAGCTTTAACAATCAGAGTTACCTTCAGTTCTTATAATTCGAAATTTAAAAAATAATCCAAAATGTAATTGTAAAATAATTTGGATTCACATTTTCTTCTTATATTTTTTTTAATATTAATATTTTTCATCAACATTCTTTTGTTATTAAGAAGAACATTTTGTTTTTCTGTTTGAATACGCGTAATATAGGAGATATCACGCGTATTCAAGCATATATACATATGTATAATAAGAGAAATGATAATAAAAAAAACAAAAAAACCTAATATTTCGTGAATAGAGAAACTGTGCAGATTGTGCAATTGAATATAATTTGTCTGAACTCTTCACTTATTAAGAATGGTTTTCATAATTATTTATTAGCATACATTCATATAGGTTGACTGGCAGAGAATGCCTAAAGGCATTAAGTCCGCCAATTGTGTTCCGTAAAGGAAATGTAATAAAGACTAAATAAATAAATTGTGATTCATTTATTTGACTGGCCAGTAAGCAATTTTTTAGTAAAGTATTTCAACAGTTACAATTATTGATGTAATGTTTAATATTTGTATGCTTGCTTGTATGGTATTGTATGACATCGTTAGGAAAGCGTGCTGCGACGCAATCCGGACGTGGTGATAGCGACCCCGGGGCGTCTGATCGACCACATAAGGAACACGCCCTCATTCAGCCTGCACTCCATCGAGGTGCTGGTACTCGACGAGGCTGACAGGTGATTGTCACAGCACCGGTCATACAAACCTCGTACAAGGTCATACGTCCGGTCATACAAACATGTCTACAGCCTGTGCGAGACGACTGCGAAACTCGCGCGGCGGTACTGTTTACGAAAAGATATATAGATTTCGTAATTTATTTTTAAAGAAACTTACAATAATCGCCGTGATAGCTCCGGTGTTCGGGCGCTCACCTTTAATTCAATTTACTCGAGCAACCTGAGTTCGATCCCCGGAGCCGGCACCGATGAAATTGTTAATTTTAAGTGCTGAATTATTACGTGCTCTGCGGTGTAGGGAAACATCCTGAGGACACCTGCATATTTTCGAATTAATAATAATAATAATAATAAAAAATGTTTTGAAAAATATGAAGTCCGCCAATCCGCAGTGGGGTCGCGTGGTGGACTATGATATATATAATTTGTACCCTATACTTTTATAACCAAATGTCACGTTTTAATTATTAAGGGATAAATATTAATTATGAATGTACATACATACATAAATGAATTCCTAGAAATGTGGTCGGCTAATGGAACACCGTTTCCGAAACCTTCCATATGCAATGTCCCCCAACAGGATGCTGGACGAGTACTTCGCGGAGCAGATGAAGGAGATCATCAGGCAGTGCTCGGCCAAGCGGCAGACGATGCTGTTCTCGGCGACCATGAGCGACGAGGTCCGGGACCTGGCCGCCGTATCCCTGGATAAGCCGGTCAAACTCTTCGTGGACTCCAACAAGGACGTCGCCTTCAATCTGCGCCAGGAGTTCGTCAGGTACGCTCCACGAAGGGAACCACAAAATTATTGTTTGTTTGATTCTTTGATTTCTTTATTGTACACACAATATAAAATATACAGTTTGGAACAAATGACAAAAACATATACATAACCCTAAAGACAGTTCTCTTCCAGCAGACCCTTGAAAACAGGAAACTATAGTAATGTTAGGTAACTAGGTGAATAAAGGTGATGGCTCCGTGGCGCAGTTGTCTAGGTATTGGCTTCGGCATCGGGGGTCGTGGGTTCGATTCCCACACGGGACAACAATTTGTGTGACCCCCAATATAGTTGTTTCGCATCTGGGTGTTTGTCCGGGTGAAATTTATGTTTGTAAAACGTCCTTACAACACAGGATAATGTTATCCTAAAGTGAGGGCAATGTTTAATAAAAAAAAATAATAATAAAATAAGCGTAATATACAAGTGAATAAATAATAAAATTACTTTGTATCATTACTGATTCGATAAAGGAAATCACGGTGGTAGGGCCACGCAGCAGCCGCGGCTGTTGCACGAATGGGCAGGCTCTTCCGGGTAAGTACCACGACCTCACAGAAAGCCGGCGTAAAGTGGAAGTATAATACTTTCGCGTTTCGTCTGGTGAGTGAGGTGGCCGGAGCCCAATTTTCAAAAGGTTGTCAACGCATCTGGAACCCTCGAATGTAGCAGATGTCCATGGGCGGCGGTATTCACTTAACATCAGGTGAACCGTCTGCTCGCTTGGCAAATTTTCACATAAAAAAAAACCACAAAATTACTGTGTATCATTACTGATTCGATAAAGTAAACCACAAAATTACCGTGTATCGTTACTGCTTACATAAAGGTAACCACAAAATTTAAGCATGCTGACCGTGTCGTTACTGATTATCACTGCATATTTTTATTGAGGTAAACAAATAACATTTCCGAATACCACAACCTTACGGAAATAGACGCCTTTATTAGCAACGCATATGCTAAAGGAACGCTATAGGTGGCAACGCATCTGCAATCTCTGCCCTAAATAGATATAATCCATATACCTGGCTGATTTGACCCTCCCCCCCCCCCCCCCCCCCCCCATATCCCCCCAGGATACGGAAGGAGCGCGAGTCCGACCGCGAGGCGATCCTGGCTGCGCTGGTATGCCGCACCTTCCGGGACCGCGCGGTGGTCTTCGTGCAGACCAAGAAGCAGGCGCACAGGCTGCACGTGGCCCTGGGTCTGCTAGGGGTCAAGGTGCGCGATAACTTTTTTTTTTGGCTTCGTCCAAGACTTATAACTAACTTTACTTAGTTATCAAAGTGCGGAAGTTGTTTCTGATTAGCGGATCTATCGCATCGTTAAATATATGTTTATGTGTATGTATGTAATGTAATGCAATTATTTATGTGTATGTATGTATACAGCGCGTCGTTACCGCCGCGACAATAAATAAACACACGTCTAACGCTACTTGCCAATAATCATAAAAAATATTAATGTTAAAAAAATCCTAAAAAAATATATTTTTCAAACAAACTAATTAAGTAAAAAAGAAACAAAATTTGTAACATCCTAAACAACTACAACTGACTGATTTATACATTCTGAGACTTTTTCATTCGTTGCCGCAGCGTCGCATTACAAAGTTCTCCTTCTAACAGTATTTTATTGTCTCTTTTAAATTCATTCAACGCATTCATATGCTTTGTGACCTTTACAAAATGAAAATGGAGATTTCTCAATTCGACCGTATATATATATATATATATATATATATATATATATATATATATATATATATATATATATATATATATATATATATATATATATTTTTATGTGTGTTCGCGGATAACGTCATCGTTTATGAACCGATTTTGATGTTTATTTTTTTGTTGGAAAGGAGATATCCCAACGGTGGTATCATGATAAGGAAACTACCCGGATCTGATTATGGCATCCTAGAGGAATCAAGGGCAATCCTCAAATGTTATAGTTATCAACAATTTTTTTAGTTTCCGGTTTGAAGTTGGTTTTTTTTTTGTTGAAAAGTATTATTTGAATTTGAATACCACCGGCCGTGGACAAACACAACTAGGCACTAAGTACTGCGAGCTCGCGGTAATTAGCCGTACGGACCCAACTGTGCACTAATACACTGAATACATTTCCAGCCTCCTTCAATCACATATTTTTCTCGCCACGTTATCTGGCAGGGAACTCATGCATTGAGTTAAGCTTACCTGTTGTATGTTACTTACATCCATCATTTTAAGCGATCCGTACCCAAAGGGTAAAACGGGACCCTATTATTAAGACTCCCCTGTCTGTCTGTCTGTCCGTCTGCCATCAGGCTGTATCACATGAACCGTGATAGTTAGACAGTAGAAATTTTCACAGATGATGTATTTCTGTTACTGCTACAACAACAAATACAAAAATATATAATAAAAATAAAAAATACTTAAGGAGGCTCTCATACAATAGACATGATTTCCTTGCTGTTTTCATAGATGGAACCCTTCGTGCGCGAGTCGGACTCGCATTTGGCCGGTTTTTTTTGTATCTTGTGTTTTGTGTATAATAATAAATAAATAAATAAACGAATTAAAGATCCTGGATCTATCCGCAGGTGGCCGAGCTCCACGGTGCGCTGAACCAGCCGCAGCGGCTGGACTCACTGAAGCGGTTCCGCGAGGAGCTGGTGGACGTGCTGGTCGCGACGGACGTGGCCGCCCGCGGGCTGGACATCCCCGGCGTGAAGACCGTCCTCAACTTCACGCTGCCCGCCACCCTGGAGCACTACATCCACAGGGTGAGGAGAGGAGTCTCCCTTGTTCCTCTAGTCTGCACTGTGACCGTTTCTTTTTTTTCCACCGAAAGTTATAACCATTTTCTGCGGCAGTATATTTAAACAAGTATCGTAGAGTTCCATGTGTTCCCTCCTGATTCTCTCTTCATTAGTCAGTTGCTGTTATTAGTGTTAAATTTGTTTGTTAAACATGCCTGCGATTTGATACAGGCAAGCACTATAACCGTTGGGGAAGAAAGGTTCTTGACCTTGGCGGCCTCGCACTGGCCATCCTAGTGTTGGGCGACCCCCCACTAAATGCAAGTGTCGGGGAAGTCTATGGATGCAGGTGGCTCAGGATCGTATTTCGTATAAAACTATAGGGATGTTCTATGTTCAGCAGTGGACTCAAACAGGCTGAAATGATGATGACATATCTGAACTAAAGGTGAAATTTAAAAGTGAGTTTAATTGGTAAATTGTCTAAAAAATATTTTTCGACAATTTTACCAACTGTAAGTGCCAGGTAGCAAGGGGCGCCAAAATTCTAATGCTAAAACAATTTTCATATCTAAATACATTGAAAATAACAACAAATACTAATTTAATTTAATTAGTAGCAGCATTTGAGTTGTAGATTCATGTTGAAGATACAGGAGTGTAATAATTAGAACTAATTCTATTTTAGATGAATCTCACAATAAATGTGGTATTATGTTTTACTTCAATTATGTAGTTATTACAATAACTGCATAAATAACATATTTAATTATTGAGTGACTAAATGAAATTAATATAAAATTCAAAAAAATCTAAATGTCTAATAATTTTGAACAAAAAAAAAACAACTTCAAAGCAGGAAATTAAAAAACATTGTCAACACCTATAACATTTGAGGATTGCCCTCGATTTCTCTGGGATGCCATCATCAGATCCGGGATTCCTTATCATGGTACCACCCTTGAGACATCTACTTTGCAACAAAAAGAAGAATCGTCAAAATCGGTTCATAAATGACGAAGTTCTCCGCGAACATACCCACAAAAAATTAAAAATATATGTGGTCGAGGTTTCTCACCTCTTCTTTTTTGAAGTCGGTTAAAAAAATCACACATCGACCATAGGGCTGTTTGCACGCTCTAAAATCACGCGTTAGTCATAGAAACGCGCACGTCGCAGGTGGGGCGTACCGCGCGCGCGGGCAGAGCGGGCGTGTCCGTGTCGCTGGCCGGCGAGGGGGAGCGGGCGCTCGTGAAGGCGATCGTGAGGCGGGCGAGGAGGCCGGTCAAGTCGCGCGCGGTGCCGCCCGACGTGGTGGCCAAGTACCGCGAGCGGCTCGCGCGCCTCGAGCCCGAGATAGGTGCGTCCCGCTCTAATCCTTTTGTGCTTTGTATCCCTCTCTTTCCCACCTTCTTTATTGTAAAACATAATTATGCTCTCTCCTGCCGCTCGCATACTGACGTGGTGGCCAAGTATCGCGAGCGGCTCGCGCGCCTCGAGCCCGAGATAGGTGCGTCCCTCTCTAATCCTTTTGTGCTTTGTACCCCTCTCTTTTCCACCTTCTTTATTGTAAAACATAATTATGCTCTCTCCTGCCGCTCGCATACTGACGTGGTGGCCAAGTATCGCGAGCGGCTCGCGCGCCTCGAGCCCGAGATAGGTGCGTGCCACTCTAATCCTTTTGTGCTTTGTATCCCTCTCTTTCGCTCTCCATTTATCGTAGGATATATGCTCTCTGCTCCGGCCGCCCGCATACTGAAGTCACGCCACGTATTGCGAACGGCTACGCGCCTCGAGCCCGAGATAGGTGCGTCTCGCTCTAATCCTTTTGTGCTTTGTATCCCTCTCTTTCGCTCTCCATTTATCGTAGGATATATGCTCTCTGCTCCGGCCGCCCGCATACTGAAGCCACGCCACGTATTGCGAACGGCCACGCGCCTCGAGCCCGAGATAGGTGCGTCCCGCTCTAATCCTTTTGTGCTTTGCATCCCTCTCTTTCCCACCTTCTTTATTGTAAGACATATGCTCTCTCCTGCCCGTCGCATAATCAAGGGCGGATCCAGCTTTGGCCCCAGGGGGGGGTCACGTAGTCGTGGTCAATTAATAAGAAGTTATAATTTAATTTTTATAATCATAGATACAAGTAAAAAGTAGGTATTTTAAACGACTTCAAAAAGAAGGAGGTTATCAATTCGGATGTTTACATTTTTTTATGTATGTTCGGGCATAACTTCGTCATATATAGACGGATTTGCAAAATTCTTTTTTTGTTCGTAACAATTCGTTGCTCTTTATTATCATATATTATACAGGGTGGCTTTTATAAAGGTGCCCAAATTCACACAGGAGGTTCAAACTAGCTTGTATAACCGTTTATTGAAATTAAAACAAATACTTCTTTTTTTTAATTAAAATTCGCATTCTATTCCCTAAAAAACAGAACTTGTTGACAATGCGGTAGTCATTCATAAATGCGTCGTATACTTTTGAAACGAACTTGTCTGCGTGTTAGTTATGAATGATCGCGCATAAAATACATGAGTTGCCCATAAATCACGCACTTTCTGAGATAAGTTCAAATGTTTGTAATTAATTAATTACGAGTGATTTTAAATATTTATCATTTTTATATAACTTTATTTATGTCTAGAATTTAATAAAAAAAAATGGATACACTCAGAAAAGCCTCCCTGTATAGCTACTTAAAAAAAGACTAAACAGGGGTATAGTATTTTTTTAAGTAGCTATTGGTAGGCTTACTTATTTTTTAAATTTCTTTTTATTTATTTCTTCGTTACCAGATTTTATGTAGTTGTATTGGTTATAATATTTTTCAATTCCTCTACTCCGCACGCTGGCTCCACTTCAATGACAAGTAGCCTAAGACGGGATTAAAGGGACTGTTCAATAATAATATATAATCAACCCAAATGAAAACTCCTAAAATAGCCGTACACTAAAAATTACATCGTCCACGTTAAAAAAATGTTCATAAATCACAAAAAAATATTCATTCAGTGATTCATTCATTCATAATATTCAGCGCTCATCCATCTAATCCATCTAATCACAGACAGAATTCACATTCATAACAAACGGAACGAACAAACTTTATTCCCAAAGATGGGGTCGCATACTCACGTCCACTAAACCACCACCTCTCACCACCCATCAAAAACGGTCCACCCATTAAGACGAATCAAACTCGACGCAGTTGTGTTCCTTAATTACTGCGTTCCTATGGCCACATTCCAGCACTAAAGAACTCGTCATGACGAATCAAACAAGCCGAGACACAATAGGGTTGCGTCGTTTGTTTACTGAGTACATATGACTATCTTCCAGCTTCATCATCAGATGAGACCCTGGTGACCATCTAAAAATTAAGTACTCGCCAAGACGAATCCAACGAGCCGCAACTCGATGGGGTTCAGTCGTATCATTACAGAGTGGTCATAGGAACCTCACAGAAGATCGACGTAAAGTACTTCTGCGTTTTGTCTGGTGAGTGAGGAGCACACTATTGTAAGGAGAAAACGTATATGCAACCCTATGCATATGTCCATGGACGGCTGAAGATGGAGCTCCATCATAAGATCCTGGTTACCTATGAAATTAATTAATTAATTTATTTGTTTATTTATTTATCTAATTGAAAGATAAACGAGAAGTAGATCAAATTTAATTTGCAAGATTTGATGACAAACATTAAAATATTGTAAAAATGTTCATTAAAATAAAAACTACTTGGCCAAACTATGGTAAATTTTTATGGGACAAAATGGCAACTATTCTACATCAAACTAAAGAAGAATCACGTAAATCGGATCATAAATCTCAACGTAATGGGTGTACATACATCGAAAAAAATATACCGATCGAATTGAGAAACTCCTCCTTTTGAAGTCAGTTTAAAATATTATATTAATTTAAATTAATATTGGAGGTACTTACATAAAATCTATATTGTGGCAAAAAATATATAAAAATATTATGTTTAACAATTTTAATTAGTGGTCCACCTAGGTCCTGGAACCAGCCCAGGGGGGGGGGTCATAACCCCCATGACCCCCTCCCCTGGATCCGCCCTTGCGCATAATGACGTATGGTCTAGTACCGTGAGCGGCTCGCGCGCCCGATATAGGTGCGTCTCGCTCTAATCATTTTGTGCTTTATATCCCTCTTTTCCCTCCTTTTTTATTGTAAGACATAATTATGATCTCTCCTGCCGCTCGCACACTGACGTGATTACCAAGTGCCGCGAGCGGCTCGCGCGCCTCGAGCCCGAGATAGGTGCATCTCGCTCTACTCCTTTTGTACTCTACATCCCTCTCTTCCCGTTTCTTTATCATAGGAAATATGCCCTCTCGTACTGCCAATAAATATCGCGTCCCTTTTTCTTCCTCGTGCTTTCTTGCACTATTACGAACTTGTACAAAATAGTGTTAGTACACTATTTAATAGATTTCATCATTTTGTAATATTATCCTTTTGGAGCGGGGTCGAGTCGAGACTATTACTCATTAACCTAGATAAATAATAGTGGCTGTAAAAGCCAGACTTAACAACTATATCAGTCTATAATGTGTTCAATTCGCAGCCGCAATACTCGACGAGGAGTACGCTGAGAAGCAACTCAACAAGATGGAGAAGCAGACCTCCAAACTTGAGAGCAGCATCAAAAAGGAGAAGGGGCCACTGTTGGAGACGAAGCGGCAACACGACTGGTTCCAGACCCCGAAAGAGAAGAGAGAGGAAAAGGAGAGGCTAGCGTTGACCCGCCACCAAGGAAAAGGTGCCATAATAATTGCACATTATGTTGACCCTTGCGAAGTTTTTGTACAGTACCTTGATCGTTCACAGAACAGTGATTCGACAGGATTTTACATTTAAGGCTTCATTGATTGCCTTAGTTCTGTTAGTTATATGTACATGTACTATGAATAATTATTAATTTTAATAGGTTTTGGGGGCATTATTTCATAATAATAATGTATATAGTTTTTAGATTTTTTGGTTTTCACCCCTTTTTTGTTATTTGTTGGGTACATAGCCTTTTTTCAAGTTTGAAAATAGCCAAGGAATGGGTGAGATTATGCAGCGGAATTCTATTGTTTTATACTTTTTAATAATTTGTAAATGTATTTCCCGTGTATGCTGCTAATGTATACATGGGTAATTATTTTATATCCTCTTTACTAAAATTATATCACGACAGAAAACCCGAAGGCAAAAGGCAAGAAGCGAAAGCGCGACGATGGTTCCGACGATGAAGACGACAAGAAGAAGAAGAAGAAGAAACAGACTAAGCACACGCCCAAGGACACAGCCGAAGAGCGAGTGAGAAGGGAGATGGAAAAGGTAATATAGCTCCACATGACTGACTATATAAAATATCTGAAGACATTACAATAAGAATATCTAACTGTAGTAAGGCCACGCAACAGCTTCGACTGTTGCACGAATGGGCAGGTCCGTACACCACAGGTGTTGCAAATGTCCATTGTCCGGTTATCACTTGACATCAGGCGAACCGCCAGCTTCCTTTCAATTTCCCACATCAAAAAATCTAAAAGGATAGTTACATTTGAATCGCTGATTCATCATCAGCATCATTTCGGCCTGTGAGAGTCCACTGCTGAACATAGGCCGCCCCCACAGACTGCCACGAAACACAATCCTGAGCATCACTCATTATACTTATATAATTAAAAGTTGACCTTTCACTTTTAATATAAACAATAGCTAATCATTAGTACATAAGCATAAGTTTAGTACATAAGATATGCCATACAAAATGACATAGAAGCATAGAATATTTTTCTCAAATAAGCAATTATTTTCATATATCTAATATATCGCTTGAGTGCTTAGCAACTTCCAATGCAATTTGGATTTGGTTTACATTACATTATCAAAATTTGCGTGTATACTTATTAATCTAAATCCTAAATACTTGCTTTATTATAATGTTATAAATGGACGCATTTATTAACAATACTTTTTCTTTAGTTCAATATTCCGGATTTGAAAAGAGGCAATAAGGCATCATAGCATACTATCTTGATGGAAGCAAATAGAGACCTAATATTCTCATTAAACTTGTTGTTCACAGTTATAAAGTTTTTTTATAAAGGATTCACTATCACAGTTTAATTTATCAAGTCATAAATGTCGTAAAGAAAACTACTACCCGCAAATGTGAAAAGGTGTTCTTTTTTATTTAATGTCACGCTGATACTATTTTAAAAAGTGGGCGCGCTATATTTATTTTATCTAATTAGAAACAAACATAAGTTACAATGAGTTAAAAATAGTTGGAAATGAAAATTAGAATACAAAATATTGTAACTAATAAAGTACGAACCACCAACAATGGCTCCCAAACTAAGCTAAGCAAACTAATATATAATCAATTACCTTAGAAAATACCGTTATTGCGTGCTCTAACCGAACGTCACTTCAAGGTGGCGCTGCTCCAATCGAGGATGGCCAAACGCAAGAAGAAGCAACGCAGGATCAGGGCGGTAGACGACGAGGACGATGGGCTGACGGCGAGGAGGAACAACGCGAGGAGCAAGAAGAAGCAGACCAACTTCGCCACCGACCTGACAGACACTTCGAGGACCGCCGCGAAAAGACTCCGCTACGACGCTAATCAAGCGCAGAAGGGCAAGGGATTCCCCCTTAAGGCTAAGGCCAAGGGACCCAAAGGGAAGGGCTCCAAAAAGAGCAAAACGTTCGGCAAACCGCAGGCCCCAAAGCAGGGCGGGCGGAGGAAAAAATAGAAATAAAGTTATTGGTGATTTGTCTGAGTTTTCATTTTCATATGATTATTACATGCCGTCGTCGTTCATATCAGAAACAATATTTTTTTCAAATTCCAATCCGGGACGCAGTCCGTACATTCAAATATTTACTTTACTTTCGGCATCCACTCAGTGATTAATCTGCATATAAGGGCGAACAGTCTTAGCATAATACACCTGCCTGATATACCCCATGCTTATTGATGTGAATCAATCGACTCGAGTCTATGCTTAAGGAACTTAAGTTTACAAATGAAAGAATTTCACGATTGCGCCCGAAGGATTATAGTTCCCAAGTACAGTGGGGGGCGTACGGGGTTTCATACATTCGACAGTAAATCAAACGTAGTGATTACATTCTCTTTGGTTCGTAGATACAGTGAAGCGAATGGCGTCACGAGTCATCGTTGTTCATCAGATAGTTATGTTGTTCTCCTTATTCCGCGGCAGTCCTGCGAATGTCTTTCAACGAGTTTTTCAAAGTCAACTGGGCTACACTACACAAAAAATGTCAATATAATTTAATTTCAAAATCATTAAAAAATCGTATGAAATGCATTTTTATTTAAAAAAAAAAACACTTTTTAATCTGTTATGGCATAGACAAACGTTGTGGCGTCGTCCGGGCGGATGTTGTTTATGATCGACATTTTCCTTTGGATATTAGATGTGAATAGTAAATTCAGAATTTTGTTTTCAAAGAAACGTGTATTGCTGTAAATAAAAACATTTTATGATGGCGATCGTTGTAAGCCAAGTGTAGGTGCCTTCTTAGTGACGTAACAATTGTTCTCTGTACAAGTTTAGCTGTAGTTTTTTTTTCTAAGAAATATAGCGGGAAATCTTCGCAGTGACGCGCACAAACGTTGATAAATTACGGAGTGGTTTGCTGAGGTGTCGTGACAGATTGTTATGCGGTTATCTACACTTTGACAGTGGATTCGTATTGTATATTTAGAATTGACAATGTCAGCCGAAATGGCGGTGGGCGATAACGCAACCAGCGACGAGAGTAAGGTAAACAGCGAGGATACGGCAACAGAAAATGTCGAAACTGCTGTGGATACAAGTCTGAAGCTGCCAGCTGCGCCCACGATTGAAGAGAAAGAGGAGGCACCATTGCCAAAGGAAGGTAAAACATTCACATAACCTAGCAACAAATTGATGACATAAATTTACTTACAAACTTTTTTTTTGTAGCTAAGTAACCCGATAGTATAACATAAACTAATAAGGCCAATAAGAAATTATTTCGTCCTTAAACACATCGTTATTTTAGATAATTTGACATGTTTTAACTCATTTACAATCTTATTTATATCATAATTATAACAAAGTATTTGGACAGTGTGGCTTTTGCGAGTTTACAGTGTCTATGATTACAATATTAATAGCAAAAAAATCAAGAGAAAGAGATAGTTTTTCTAACAATCTTTAATATTTATATAAATTAATGGCGTCCATTGATACATAATGTCTAATGTGTATAATTATATATAAATCCTTCAAGTCTGAAAAGGCGAGGTATTAGGGCATAGTCCGACATGCAACTCATGGATCTTCAGTTACACTATTTTTTTAACATTTCTTATATATACAGGTTCCTACAGTCCTCCTTTAACAGCAAATGTGAAATTATTACTAGGATTCAAAGTTGGGTTGCTCTGATAGCTCTACCTGATTTTAACTAACCATGCATTTCAATATTAAGTGCATTGGTTAGTTTTTTAAATTCATAATTTCAGATGTTTTTGCTCCATAAGTCATCATCATTCTCCTGCCCATAACTCACCTAGGTGAGTTCAGCGCAAAAAATGTATACAATTAATGTTTCATGAAGGTATTTAGGCTGTGTTAATGATTTCTTAACTTAAAATACAATGGAAACTTCTGTTATCACAAAGTCCATTAAGAGCTTTTAATGGGACCTGTGTTCCTATTTAAAATATTATATATATTTTTTTAATTTGAGACATTCATAAGCAAGCAGGCTACCCGTGAGCATCTATTACAATTGTGTGCTGGCAGATGGATTGCCAATCTCTAAAACAGTATGACCAGTTATCTTACCAAACAAGACTAAGCGCAGAATTGAACTGCTTCCACATTTCGTCACTCTTCTATCCAGCCATGGTGTACTTCCCTGGATGATTTTACTTCTTTTTGCAACAGCAGAAGCTAGTGTAATTATTTAATATTGATAAAATATAATTGATTGGAATGTTGTGCATTTCAATTCATCTTACTAACAGTTCCAGTAAAGTTCCGATCCAGAGACAAACTATGAAGAAATGTTTTTATGTTAAAGAATCAAAGTTATTAATTATTATGCTTACAAGTATATGCTGTCATGTATGTATTTATCTTTTAGCTAGCTCTGATTTAATCATATATTGATCTGTGTTGTTTGAAATAAGAAAGTAATTTTTAATTGATTTTGATTAGATTTGAACCAAATATTTTTCTATTTTTTTTTTATTCTCGACTCGGCCATAGATATTCTAGAAATTTGAAGGTAATACTTTATGCATGCATGTTTGGGACAAACTATACCTAACTGAATGAACCAGTTTGGGGCGCTCGCTCTTTAATATCCATCCATCCATCCAATCAGCCCTTTGCAGTCCACTGCTGGACATAGGCCTCCCCAAGAGTACACCACAGAGTACGATCTTCCACTTTGTTCATCCAGCCACTACCAGCGACCTTTCTCAGGTCATCGGTCCACCTGGCAGGGGGACGTCCGACACTATGTTTTCCGAGACGTGGTCTCCATTTGAGAACCCGTCTGCTCCAGCTATAGCATATAGCATAATTCCGTCCATCTTTAATATAGCAAACCTTAATAATAAGCAAACCTTATTGTTCAAATCTAACAGACACCAATGAAATTGTTAATAGCAGTTATAATTGAACAGTGAGGGAAAACGTGATAAAGAAACTGGCATGTTTTCTAAATAATAATAAAAAAAAAATCGAAATGAAATTGCCAATCCAGTGCGTCCACATGGCGGGCTATGCCCTAAATCTTTGCTTGGCTCTGGGACATATATAGGCTGTTATTTTACTTTAATACGCTGAAATGGTGCAATTAATTAATCCTAACTGCTTCTTGCGGACTGTATTATAAAGCGATAAACTTTTGATGTACTTAAATAATTTTCAGCAGCTGCAGTTTTATTTATACCAAATTCTATATTAAATATGTGCTGACAGAGAAATTTAAATGTTTGATAGAAACATATCACAATATAGTAAATCTTAATACTTTATAATGGATATGTCTTTAAATGTAAGCCTGTAAAAGATGCTGCTTTGCTCATAGTCATCTGTAGTCCAAAACTATTGTGGATTTGTTCTCCTAGTTCTTTTTCTTAATATAAATCTTATATACAGTTTATGACAACAAAAAAGCTAATTTCTGATACAAATTTCATTCAACTTTATTCTAATTTTGCAACATAAATATGAAACCATCTTCTCTGGTAAACAAAAATGTGTAAATCTTTATATGTAACTTCTAAGTATGCCATTTTACAAGTCCATTCCAAAAATTGTTTAACAAAAGATGTAATGAATTTTGGATGTATTAACTATTATTTAATAAACTATTAAAAATATTAGGGAGTTTATCATCAATAAATAATAATTCGAAAAATGTACTTTTTAATTTGACCGCAGATGCAGAAAGAGAAAAATTCGGAGAAATGGAAGAAAAAGAAGATTGTATAAAAAGCGAAGAAACCGAAGATGTTACGAATAAAGCTGCTGAAGGAAAGTCCGATGAGGAGACACGTGGCAGCAAGCGTCGTGCGTCATTTGCATTCAGTGATGCCGGTGAAGAATTTAAAGGGTTTGACCTTATGAAACATGAAGATTTATGTGGCGACTATAATAGAGTTTTGGGTAAGAAACAAAGTTTTCATTATCAATTGTTTCTCAGTAATAATAATAAGTTTTAAGCACCAAAAATTTCCAAAAGTTGAAGAACTTTAATAACAGATGTGTTGCCACTATGCTGTCAATAATGTGGCCTCACACACCAGACGAAGCGCAGAAGTATAATCCATTCCACTCCAGTCTTCTTTAAGCTTGTGGTACTTGCTCGGATAGTCCTGCCCATTCATGCAAATGTGAAGACTGGTGTGTGGCTCTACCACAGTTAAATATGTTTTAGTTGTATGTTTATGATGTATGTTTTTTAAAAAAATGTAATAATTGTTCATTTTTGCTTGAAAGAATAGTAATAGTTATTTTTTATTAAGATGAATAAATAACTAAATAAATAATGGTTGAATTAGTGGATCATTTTAGGTTTCATTGATTATATTACATATTTTTCAGAGCGGTTGGAAGCAGAAGTTCAATCGGCCATTAAGGACTTGAAGCCTATTAGGAGTTTGAAGGTTTCCATTGCTGCACGAGCAAGCAAAAGACCTAGACAGGATACAGGTATTTTGTAGTTATTTATGAATACCATTTGCTATTCTATTTTGAGAGGGCAGATGGCATAGTTTTACTATTGTCTGCTCCCAATTAAGAAGTGCATTATTTCACCTCATTCAAAGGTGTACAGTTTACATTGTTATTTAGAGGCCAAGTGTGTTATTTATATTACTTTTGAACATAAAATGAAACCTTTTTCTATGGTATTATAATATGTTCTTTATAAAAATCACATGAATTGTTAAAATATGTTAAAAGATATTATTGTTTATGACCAATGTTTTTATTTTTTTTATATTCTTACGTTAAATAGAGCTATGTTATTGACAGATGGGTCCAGACCATCTTCGGCATTGTCATCAAGGTCAGACGGTGAATGGACAGAGGTATGCTTTGATTTAGTTTCGTTCGCCACCGAAGTTTACACTATTTACTCAAACTTTGACCAAGCCAACACGATGAGCTTGTCGCTTTTTTGTTGTGATTGCTTTGGTAATAAAGTTTATTAATTCTTTCAATTTACAAAGGTTAAGAGTACTTTTGAAGTTGGCACATTTTAATTGCATGTATATGAAACAAAAGCTTTTGACAAACTAACAGCTCAAATAATATGTTACGTTTATAACAGTTCTAATACATTATTTCCAATATTGTTCAGTTTTCACCTCCGACGGTTACTGTTGGAAATGTTTTACGGGTATGGTATTCCTAACATCATTGATGTTTTTATACTATTTTATAAGCAGAAAAATGTTGATACTTAATTGTTTAATACGGCAAATATTTACATATACCTAATATGTGCATTCTTTCAAATGTAATTGTGGTTTACTAACGTTTGTACCATGACTTATGTACAATTATTAAATTAAGCACAACAAAGTTTCTCTTAAAACATCTTTATATTGAAATATAAACAATTAAATGTTCAATTCTATAATTATATTAATTCATACATATCACATCTTTCATGCACAGAAAAGTATATATTATTTGTAACATTTATATAGATTCAAATTGCAAAGGTTGAAATTAGAATAAATAGTAATTATTGTATTAAATGAAACAGAAAAAAAAAACAGTTTAACTACATAAAATATATCTAACTGCTAATTCATAAACTTTTCACTGAGCGATATGCGAGAAGAGAACTCAGAACTAAGCGCACAAGCTAATCATTTTGGGGTTGGTAACGCATCGTGTTAAGGCGGAGTTGCTAAGCTAATGGCTTGGGTAATAGGCTGTCGTGGACTCCATTTCAACATGGGACGAGTATTTGTGTGACACAAAAAAACGTTGAAAATCAAAACCAAAAATAAAGGCGATAAATCAGCAAACATAGTTTTTTTAAACACAATGTAACACATTTAGTAATGTGTAATCGCGTAAATACAAGAAATTAGATGTTGACGATTGTATATTCCCAAGTAGAGTTGAGTAATATTGAAGTCAGACAGGCGATAGGTGTTAAAAAAATTACTGTGCCAATATCATTAACAAAGTGATATTTTGTGCCCCCTTACCTAACTTGGGATAAGGGCATAAGCAAGAAGAAGTTGTGGCGGTTCGCCTGATGTTAAGTGATAACTACCGCCCATGGATAGGGCCATAGAGTAGGGCGCTCCAAACCTCAAAACCTAAAAGCTGCTAGTTTTATCTAGAATGAAAAATTATAATAGTGTTGCAGGTGTGCAGACCTTTTAATAAATTGGGCCTGGCTATCTCACATACCATTTCCGAATTGATATACAAAATTGTTAAAAGGAACCTGAAAAAAACTATTGGTGGTTCACTTGATCAACTGGGGGGGTTGTAAGCTTTCAATGAGATTAGGCCTGGTCACCTTATTATTGCATGACTTAACGCTATTAGTTCTCTACAAGTCAACCTACAAATTAACAGATAGAATAAGGAGTTGTGAAAGAGCCAGATGAGATAGTAAAAATATGATATTATATAAAATATTACATACATATTATAAATATACATATATACTATACATATTATAAATATACATATATATACTAATATTCATATAAATATTATGTATATATAATGCATATACAAATATAAATACAGAAATATATACATACCTACATAGTATTAGATATTTTAGAATTATATCGAGAAGGGGAAATTCAATCATCTGTGTTCAACACTGTCGATTATTTCAAATAAAATTTAAAAACGGCACGTTACATAGCCTCATTAGTCTAACAAATTCTGATAGAAGTGGGTTATTTATATATATATATATATATATATATATATATATCTATGCAGCGTGTCATTACAACCGCGACAATAAATGAACACACGTCTAACGCTACTTGCCAATAATCATAAAAAAATACAAAATTTCAAAAATTAAAAAAAAATAAAAAAAAAAAAAATTTTCAAACAAATTAATTAAATAAAAAAGAAACAAATTTTAAATTCATTCATATGCTTTGTGACCTTTACAAATGAACTTTACGTTACAGTTTAATACATAAGAATGTTCTAAAATTCGTTGTTTTGAAAAATTTTAAATATTGATGTTCAAAGAATGTAAATGTTTCATACAATTTTAGAAATTCATCGCGATCGTAAAGACACGCTGTATACGTTGGAGTGGTGACGTGGGTAGTAGTATGTAGTAAGGGCGGGTGCGTGTACCGCAGGCGGGCGGGTCGTCCGGCTCGGGCGGGTCGGCGGGCGTGCGCGGGCGGCGCTCCACGACGGAGATGTCGTCGCCGCTGCTGCGCGTGCCGCTGGAGCGCGGCTGGCGGCGCGAGCTGGTGTACCGCGCCGCGCTCGACGCGCACTCGCGCCGCAACGCCGACATCTACTACTACTCGCCGAACGGCAAGAAGCTGCGCTCCACCAGGGAGGTGGGCCCGCGCTCGATCTGCTGACGCGACCGCTCGTCCCTACCATCATCATCATCATCTGCAAGACGGGCCCGCACTCAATCTGTTGAGGCGACTCTTCGTCAAGCTCCCTCATCCCTTCCATCATCATCTGCAAGACGGGCCCGCACTCAATCTGTTGAGGCGACTCCTCGTTCAGCCTCCCTCATCCCTTCCATCATCACCTGGAAGAAGTCCACTGTTGAACAAGGGTCTCACCAAGCGGGAAGCCTTCAAACACTGAGGAAGAGAATGAAAGATACATATATTTGTTTCAACATGGTACAATATATAGGTATTAAAAGTTGGTGTACAAATATTACATTTTATATGCAAAGAAAACATAATTTAGGAAACTTTTTTACAAATTTTTATCACTTATATAGTCACTTGGGGAATAATAGACTTACATTTATGTATAAAAAAATTAAACTAACTCCACTTAAAAAACTTTAAATTATTTTATTTTCTTTTTGGTAATTTATTACAAATCCTAATAGCCATACAATGACAATTTACTGCTATACATTGTGGTATGATGGTGAAGTGTAATTTGTTAAGGCGCAAATTATGGTTTTATTTGAAAAAAGATTTAAGTTTATCAATAATTCTTAGTAGATAAACTTGAATACTAATAATTTCTCAGCATATGGTCTATGAAAATAAAATTTATCAAAATTTATAATTACATGATTTTTGCTGAAAGTATAGTTTGTTATAAAAAGATACTTGATTTCTAGGTAGCAGAACACCTGGCGGGGACTGGTTTGACACTGGAAAATTTTTCCTTCTTCAAGGAACCACTTGGTGTTGATGATCCCGAGAAAGAGATTATACGGTATGTATTTTTGACAGTGAACTATTTTAGTAATGGCCAATGTTACTGTGGACACATAGTACCTTCTGCTGTTGCACAAGAGGGTCCTACTATAGGGTGTTCCTACTTAGTGTACACTCTGTTTTCTTTCATAAGGGAAGTTATTAGGGACCACTCTTTTAAAGATTGGTCATAAGATTTTCAACACTGCAAGGGTTGTAGAACCATTTTAGATCAGGGTCCAGGCTACCAGTACCAGGCTGTGTAGAGGGCTTTGCCCACCTGTGGGACATGATTGTATAGGCTGTTACTTTAAAGGTTGTAGGTGTAGTACTTCCATGAATGGTGGTAATCATTTAACATCAAGTTAACCGCTTGTTTCCTTGATATAAAAATACATAAGTCTGTGTGAGTGCAGTGAGTCTGTTATTGTTTTTTAATCGGAAGGCATATGCAGTTAATCGAAAATGGATTTCTACATTTCATGTTGCGAAACTTCCATCTTCATCCAAAGAAACATGCTGTTCATGCAGTGTTATCTCTCAATCTGCTAAGTGTTTGGAACACACTATTACTAGTCCCATGTGAACTTGAACCCAAGATTTTCGGTTCAGAAGTCAACAGCTTAGCAAGCTGCCACCAAGTCATTAAATGTTTTATCATCCTTATAGTCATTAAATGTGTTCCGTTTCAGAGACGCCAAGTTTATGCGCCGAGTGGAATCTCCGGTGCCAGCGCCCCCGCCGACGACGGAGGGCAAGCGCACGCCAAAGCCCAAAGCGCCCAAAGGGGCCAGCCCCGAACCGGCAACACCAAAATCGCCGCCCGCTAAACTCAAGGTTAACAATGTGCGCTCTTACTGTGGTAGGGCCACGAAGCAGCTTCTGATGTGATTTTAGAGACATTGCTCGTGCCATGAGGTTCGATTCCCCAATGCGCTGCATGCACCCATTTGACTGTGTGTGTGCTGTTGCACGGATGGGCAGGCTCGTCTGGTGACATGCTAAAGAGTGAAGTGAAAGTTTTTGTAAGTGTAAGTAATATTTTCGCATTAAGTCTAATTTGTGGGGTAACCACTCTTTTAAAAGTTTGCAACACAATCTGCAACTCCTTGTGGCAGTGTTAATTACTGAACATCACGTGAACCTGATGGTCAGTGATTAAAACTGCTCTGAGTAGCCGTACTAGTATATACCACAGATTCCTATTAAAGACGTCATAATCTTAGGTCAAGTCTATGGGATCCCGGCTGAGCAACAACGGCACTCCGCCCGTCGCCAGTGTGCCCAAACAGCCACGACGCCTGCAGCCCGCTGCCGCCTCCGCCCCCGCTTCCGCTACCACTGCGACCGCTCCCGCCTCCGTCGACAACAACAACACCGCCGCCTGGAAGAAGCCAAGGTAAGATGCGAGTTTACCCATGGCAACCCATTAGAACATCTGGTTGCCTTGGCAGGCTATTCTAGAGGTCGCTTTTCGTGATTAGAGAGAGATGGAAGAAGCGCCTTGAAACGATAGAAATAGAGGATCATTGTTTCACTCCTCACAATTTAAAATACTTGCTACTGTATTATATTTCAGAGTAAATTTTTAACAGGCTGGTTAAGTTTTTACTTTGCTAGGGATCATTGTATGATGTACAGAATGTTGTTTGACCACTTTTTCACAATAATGTAATGTTAAGTTCTAGTTATAAGTATTTATTAAGCGTCTATGTGTAAGCATATGATGACAATTATTTTCTAACGCAAATGAAACAGATCTTCCAATGTTAGGACATGATTGTAATCACTATATTTTTAAAGCGAATCGCTATAATGTATGTAGTATTTAGTACGGACTGAGAGATTTGCATTATTTTATATTGTTGTTGTGATATACGATAGTGTGATGCCGGTGCTGTAACCAAGTGCAAATGAGGGGGTTAATTGACAATGGGCAATTAACCCCCCGCTGCGGATACTGAGCGGTCGCGAGTGTAGTGTGCGTGTGGGGCCAGGGCGGCGGGCGCGTCTCAGCCGCTTCCGCTTCCGCACCCGCTCCCGCCCGCCCAGCCGCCGCCGCCTGCGCAAACGCTCCCGCCTCCGCCGCCCACGCAGCCGCCGCCGCTGCAGAGCCGGCCGCTGCAGCCGCGCGCTGAACCCGAAACTAAGGTGCGTTGGAACGCCTCTTATAAGCCTCTATGTCAAACACCGAATATACGAAATATGTATGTCGTTCTGTATGAGGATTGTTCCCGCATATAATTGTTTCGGACCTGGGTGTTTGCTTATGTGAAATTTATTTATGTAAAACATCTTTACAGGGTAATGTTATCCCACAGTAAGGGGGCAATACCTTTGAAGGGAAGACTACAATAGATACTCAAATTGTATGATTGTTATGTACTCATGTCTCCATTGGCCATAAATATATTAATAAGATGGTTTTTTAACAAGACTCAATGAACTGGTTTTGTTCTTGCTGAACAATGATACAGGTTTGATTGGTTTATTAATAGGAATTAATAAAATTATTGCCCTTACATATAAACACAAGAAGTCAGCCGTTCAGTAAGTTTCACAAACAGGAAAGTAATGAGAAAACATACAATGAGACATGCAGAGAGTTTCAAATGCCTCAACAGTTTTCAAAGAAATTAACAATTTATATAGGTAAAATAGTGACATCTTGACAGAAGGATGAAGATGTATTGACATTTATAATTCTTGCGTACTGTTGATTTAATATGCAAATTATTTCAATTATGAAAAATAAACACAAAGTTTCTGTGCTAAATTAGTTTCACTAGTACAAGGTTTAGGGAAGCAGTGGAGAAACCTCAATTGAATATTGAGATTTGTAGTTTTTTTTATTCGCGGTTTGGTATTCGCGGTAGTCTTTGGCTTCGGCGCCAGGGTCGTCGGTTCGATTCCCACACGAGAACAAACTATTTGTGTGACATAGGATAATTGTTTTGGATCTGGGCGTTCATCCAAGCGAAATTTATGTAAGTAAAACATTCTTACAAAGCACGATAATGTACGTACCTCCCTACAGTAAGGGGGCATTTTTTCGGAGGGAAGACAACAAAATATTTCTAGTTCCCATTATCCATCTTACTACCCAACCACAAACAAGGTCCAATACAAGTTAGATGGATAAAGTAACAAAGGTAAAGTAACAAGCTACATATGTCCATAGAGCAAAGGCATAGAGTAAAGACTGAAGAGTTTTAATTGTGGTCCATATGACCACAATTAAAACTCGTGGCGTGGCGTGTGGTTGCAGCCGAGCCCGCGGCAGGTGGTGCAGCCGTGCTCGATGTCGTGCGGGCGCGGGGCGGTGCCGTCGCTGGCGTGCGCGGCCTGCCTCTGCCTCTACCACCCGGCGTGCGCCGGCCTGCCCCACCACCACCACCAGCACCAGCCGCAGAACTTCCTCTGCAAGGTACCACTGGCCGCGGAACTTTCCACGCAAGGTTCCAGCATTGTTAGCCTCTGTATCTCCTATGCAAGGTACTACCACCGCCACCCCCAGAGCTTCCCATGCAAGATACCACAAGATACCGCCACCACTAGCGTCAAATTTCATATGCAAGCTATGACCACCACCAGCCACAAAACTTCCTCTGCAAGATGCCACTCCTCCATTTAATAACTAAGTGATCACCCCATCGAAAAATGTGCTTGATGATGCACCGATGGGCTGACTACTCCATAGAGCTAAAATAGAATTTTGTCTGATGAATTAGCAATGTGTTCGCGTCACTTGATGATTTGCTACGGTTATTATAATTATGATGATTGGTTCTTTGTATTTTAATAAAATTAAATACTTGTAAACGATGGATTTGATATATCTTTCGTAAGACTGGACTGTAAATGCAAGTAAAGTATTCAGAAGCGAAGCTTCACCATGGACACTATCACATCTAAGACCCGACGCCGTATAATGTAACATACTTGTTTTATGCCGTGTAAATATGATTAAAACGGAAAATTTCTTGGACAAAGTATTATGACATATTAATAACAATTTTAATATCTATCATATTTGGCAGAACTGTAAGAAATCGACATCGCCGCCGCTAGAACCGCCTCCGTTGACGCACAAGTCAGGGGCGACAGCGAGCGCGGTGAGCGGAGTGGGAGCGGGAAGCGGGGCGGGTACAAGACGCACGCCAGCGCCCATACCCTCACCCGTCCCAGTGCCCGCCAAAGTGCGGCCCGATAAGAGGGTGCTGTTAAGAATGAAGGTATTCGTTTAACCACATATGGTCAATAAGGTTGCCACCTCCACCAGTAAACATGTTGGCAAAGTCGGCTCAGCTGCAAAAATAGTTTTGGTTGATTGCCAGGCTGATACACTGCCTGGGACAAGTGCTTCTATGATCATCATATAATAGTTGCGGATTTGGATGTTTGTTCATCTACTGTTTGTTTATAATAAGCAAGTACGTACAAGAGAAAAAAATTGTGTGTGTGTTCAACTCACACATTGTATGAGAAATAATGAAAAAAATAACAGAAGTGGGATAATTATAAGCTATTTTAACCAAGTTTTCTATTTTTTTTTTCTTTGAATAAATGACATGAGAGCTTATGGCAACTAAAATAAGAAACAAATGTTTTAATTTCATTTGCCGTCCCTAGTCCTGATTCTTTAAATATATTATGTTTTCGGCATAAATACAATCTTTAGTGGTTTAATACAGTAGGTTATTGTTGTCATGTCCTCAGCCTAGTCGATCTCCAAGTACCAAGCCATTGGCAAAATCACTGACGTATCAGTGGAGCCATAGTAGAGAAAAAAAAAATCAATATTTAATAAATTATAATATAATAAATATATAAAACAAAATTTAAGGAGACTACATATACCTACAAAAATATACATAAATGACACACCGCGCTGGTTAGCACACATACACACGCAATAAACAAAATTTTTTTTGCGGATTTGCAATCGATGCTTGATATAAAGTAATGTTATCATTTGGTATAATAAACGCAAATATGGACTGCACAATATATAAACACCACACGTAATAATTGGACTCCGCGAGTTATGCAAATTGAAATTGTGGAAGTGGATTAATTCGCTCATTAAAACAATAAAACCGAAGAAAATATTTTAAAAAATTAATGTTCACAAACTCGAGTACTACATAACCCGTGTTTTGCGCAATGATTTATTTGTTTGAAATTTGCAAGTAGACAAAAAAGTATTGAAGTTACAATACGTCTGTTTGTTGGTAAAGAGAGGTCTAAGTAACCGAACACTATAGCGCCAACGAATTTGTAATATAAAGACATTGTAACACTTACTCGAGTGTCGGCCGGGTGCACCTAACATTAGCCTTAACACCGACTAAAAAATTATTTTCCTAACATTAACATTTATAACATTTTAACATTAAGAACATTTTGTGGAAACTAAACAAACTATTTTATATCACTTGAACTTTGTAATTGACCTAATGGCAATCTTACTACCTACCGCCAATGTAGTCATCACAACATACTATAAAAAAAAATCGTCCCGCTGTCTGTCTGTCCCTATGTATGCTTAGATATTTAAAACTACGCAACGGATCTTGTTGCAGTTTTTTTTACTAGATAGAGTGATTCAAGACTAATGTTTATGTGTATCATACATTGCAATCAAGTGATGTGGGGGCAGTGTAATATGATTTTCGCTAGGTGGCAGGCGGTGGGGCGGACGGGTCCAGGGTGTGGGCAGTGGCGGCGCCGACGGCGGGTAGCGGAGCGGGCAGCGGGACGCCGCCGCCCGGCGTTAGGCCGACGCTGCCGCAGTCGCTTGCCGTCCTCAACGGCCGACGCTTCATTGTCGTGCCCCGCTCGCTCGTGCACTCGGACCACCACTGACGGCTGTACTGTTTGTTGCGATACGTCGTGAGACCGTAGCCGAATAGCGAAACGCTCTCGCTTGTAATCTTGAACCGGACTTAATTAGTCACATTGGTGTTTTATTGAGTAGTTACGAAAATTCATCGATGATTGTATACTAGTAATGATGGTTCGCTAAAGCAGCAAATATATATATTTCTTTTGCTATCCTTTTGCACGTTAAGAAAGCGAAATATGGCCTTATGAAATCTCAATTGCCATATGAAATTTCACAGGAGTTGCATGAGTTTGTTAGATGTAAGGAATGCTGTGTCTGTTTATGGTATTTATGTGAGGTTTTTGTCCGTAAGTTCAGTATTTTATATAAAAAAAGAAAGTAACTAGTAATAGTGTAATGCCTACTCTAGCCTATTGGGAAGCAGAAATTACATTATTATATTTACTTCAAACCTTATTTGACATTAACAATGCAATGCAAACTGTGATGCTTTACCAATTATTCCGTTAATCAAGAAGGCGCCACTGTCCTTTTGTAAATTTGTATAAAATTGAAGCCTAGGGATGAATTCAGCAGAGTAGTATCATCCCAATTTATCACAATCTCCTCTTTTTACTCAAAGTTAATTTTTCCCTCAATTATTTGTTATCTAACCTTATCTGACCTTAAACTGATGAAGCACGCCTCACACGTCATTGGCAAATTTAGAAAAACACCATAAAAGAAAGAAGAAGAAAGCTAGGCGTGTCAGTGGGTGACATTTTATGCCGTCAATTGTTTGGGAGAAACCTATGTCCAGGTATAGAATAATTGTGCTAGAGTATGCAGTAATAGATGTCCAAAAAAAAATTCACTTTTATATATTTTTTGACTTTACACTTTGATGTAGCTCATTTTATTAAAAATAGGTTTTCTGAAGTTTAATGGAAGTCATATTTGTGTTTGCCTTTCAAATAAGTTACTTCAAGATTCAAGAATTTGCAAAGATTGGTCATAAATACCAAAAGCATACACAACATTGATACAGTAGCATAAGCTTTATGAAACATGTACTTGTGGTCAAACAACATTCTGTATATTCACAATTATATTGATAAGTATTATAGTTTTTATCTTAGCAGATGTTTATTATTTCCATTTTGGAGCTCTGCACATGTTTTTTTCTGTTCAAAAAGACATTACTGCCAGTGAGAAGGAATTTATTGTGATATTTAATGTAAATTCGAAAAAAATTAAAATCACACCAAGCTTGTACCTTGGACCTGTGTAAAAGTAAATACTGAAAAGATTTTTTTGGGACAAACCCACATGAAATAGTAATCTTTCTTAATTGTTAGGTGTGTTCGATTTTAATATATCTGTTAATTTTGTATATTATTTTATTTAAGAAATGTGTTTCTATGTCAAACAAATTGTATAGATTACAAAATTTTTCAAAGCGATTTTCTTTTTGATTTTTTCAACTCATTGATGGAATTTGATCAAGGTAATGTTTGCTTGTATTATTTTCTTATTTTGCAATATGAATACCATTTATGTATGTATCTATAATCGACATGAACTATCGGTAGTAAATATTGTCAGAATGTAAAAAATTACCGATAACATCATGTGAAGTTTAAGGACATTTCAGAAAACTACCTTTTTTGCTGAAATAGTTTCAGCCGATTACAGAATCTATGCACGTGCATGCCTCGCTTCTGCCTTACGTAAAGGACGAGGCATGCTTTGTATACGATCCGTAACATATGCTATGTTCGGCCGATTGCGCAGCGAGAAGGGCCGCGGGCGCGTGGCAAACGGGGCCGCCTCGCCGACTGGCAGCGCGGCCGCCGTGGCAGCCGTGGCAGCGGTGGCAGCGTCGCCGCGCCGCCGCGGCCGCCCACGCCTCGACGAGCTCGACCATTTCACCTCGTTCAACACGAGGGCGCACCAGAGCAACTACAACGTGGCCGTACAGGTGCGAGGCGTGTTTTTTATGTGAAAAGTTGCCAAGCGAGCAGACGGTTCACCTGATGTTAAGCGATACCCGCCGCATATGAACATCTACAATATCTGACGGGTTGCGGACAGTGGTGGATTTGTAGTCTTGGCCGCCCTAGGCCCTACCCATGTACTAAGTTCCAGTCGCCCCTTTCTCAGCGGCCATCGTATATCTAGTTATCATCAGTGAATTTTTTGTCACTATTGGCCGCCCCTAAAATGTGGCCGCTCTAGGCTCGGGCCTATTGGGCCTTAGGGCCAATCCACCAGTGGTTGCAGATGCATTGCCAACCATCAAAAAATTGGCCCCATTTACCTCACTCGCGACGAAACGTGAAATTATAATACTTTCACTTCACGCAATCCTTCTAGGAGGCTGCGTACTGCCTTGGAACAGCTTGCCCATTCATGTAATAGTAGGAGCTCCTGCATGGCCAAATTATTTATTTTTGTTTGGCATATTTCAATCAACCCTGTATTCAATTTAGAATCTTTTTTAAGTCAACCTTTAGTACTTCTTACTCCAAAATTCACTGCTTATGACCCGAGATCATTGAGATCAACAAATAGAATTTGTTTCAATTAAATTTCATGATTCTATGTAGTTTCTAATTGTATTATTTCAGATTTTTCAGTACCTCGGTATGAGGGACTTGGCGCATTGCTCGAGAGTTTGCAAATTATGGCAACAGCTCGCCTCCACGCCAGCGCTATGGCGACATGTGCGGATGAAAAATTCACATGTAAGTTTACTTGTGTTAGCATTTATTAGTTAAATATATTTTTTATTGTTTAAATATATGTAGCTTGTTTTTTAAATTATCCACATGTTAAAGTTTTAATAGACTGTATACCTTGAGACCTGGATTTGTATTAATATGTACTCAATATACAGTTTTAAAAGGAAAATAATGTGTTATAAAACTAGCAGACTTCTCTGGTGAAGTGCCATTGCCTTCTATAAGGAAATTGGCACTCACAACATCTGGTTAGCAAGGTAAACACAAGTCTTTTAAAGGTTGGCCGTGCAACGGAAATTGTTGTCTATGGGTATCAAGCGCTTGCTCTCCATATAAGCAAAGCAGCTTTATGTACCCTGTCATCCCATACAAACATGCCCCAAAACACCTAGTCTTAAAACTCTTGACTTTCCATTTTTTCATTGGTAACATTTTTTTAGTGCATTTCCTCTCTGAAATTTCTGAACCACCAATGTATCAGATTGGTCTGTATAATAAATTACTGATAATATATAATAATCATAGGTTAGTGATTGGGGAGGGCTGTGTGCTGCATTGAAGAAACATGGCACAAAATGGTTGGACCTCCGCAAAATGCTTCTACCACAAAACGACACAATCTTTTGGGACCAATTTTCTGAGCATATCGGCACTGTGGACACATTAGAGAGGTGATTATATTTATGTTTGTATTAGCTGAGTATATAGTATAACTAGTATATAGTGTATTAGTATATAGTATATGTATCGGCATATGAGGTGAGCGTAATAGTGAACAAATAGTATGTTTTGAGAACATAATTTGAGATTTCTATACTAATATTATACAGTATTAGGTGTTACAGAAGAATTTGTTCTTGCTTGTTCTTTGCCACGGAGTCACCGAATAAAGTGCAGCTATTGCCCGTAGGCTGGAGCTGTGCCGCTGCCCAGCGCGCGCGGTTGAGGCGGCGATGTCGCGAGTTCCCTCCCTCCGCGCGCTCGCCGCGCCGGCCATCCGCGACGCGAAGCTGGACCCCTCGCCGCTGGCCGCGCTGCCGCGCCTGGAGCTGCTGCGCCTCAAGTCGCTCGCCGGCCTGGCGCTCACCTCCGACCTACGCCCGCTCGCCGCGCTCACACGCCTGCAGCACCTCTCGCTCACCTCCATCAAGGTAAGCGTTCGCTCCGCTCTCCCATCCTACTCTCACTCTACTTTATCCAAGTCAGCGTCGGCCCCGCTCTCCCACCCTACTATCACTCTGCACCTCTCGCTCACATCCGTCAAGGTCTGCGTTCGCCTCGCTAGGATGGGAGTACTCTCAATTTGCACCTCTCGCTCTACTCTATCAAGGTCACCGTGGGCCCCGCTCTTCCATTCTACTCTCACTCTGTACCTCGGGTTCACCTTCATCGAGGTCTCCATTCGCTCCGCTCTCCCACCCTATTCTCGCTCACTTCCGTTAAGGTCCGCACCAGCACCCAGATATTGAGCTATCACAGCTTTTTTAGAGCCGTGGTAGCAGTTTTAGTAATCAATTTCAATTTTATTCATATATTAACCCATAACAAATTTTATATATACAGAGTGACAATTTTTTTTATTCACATAAATAATACACATAGTTTTATTAAAACAATCCTAAATATTAATGTAAATGTTTGAACAACCTATAATCTGTTACTCACAGGAGCTGGGTTGGTGCGCGTGTGAGGTGGTGGGGCAGCTGGAGCAGCTCGAGTCGCTCGAGCTGGGCGAGTGCTCGTTCGGGGCGGCGTTCGCGGGCGCCCTGGCGCGGCTCTCGCGGCTGCGGCGGCTGCGCCTCGAGAGGGGCGTGGCGCACTGCGCGGCGCCGGCGCTGCTGCGCGCTCTGGCGACGTTGCCGCGCCTCACCAGGCTCGAGCTGGTCAACTTCGACGTGAAGGTCGGTGACCGCTGTCGGTTATGTTGTGATACGAGGCCGCTGAGGTCAACGCCCTCGAGACTGGTGACTGACGTCGAGGTCGGTGAAGGTGGCGCGCGCTCGCCCCGCTGCCGCGCCTCACCAGGCTCGAGCTGGTCAACTTCGACGTGGAGGTCGGTGACCGCTGTCTGTTTCGTTGCGATAGGCGGTCGGCGAGGTCAACGGCCTCGACGAGAATGGTGACTTCGACGTCGCGGTTGGTGACCGCGTCCCCGGTCGGTTCGGTTTCGTTGCGATAGGTCTTTGAGGTCAACGGTCTCGACGAGACCGGTTAATGCTGTTCGGGAACTTGTATGCGACTGGTTGCCGCCTGAATCAGACGTGGTGCCGTCTGGTCATAGCTAACGAATCTAAGGCGGATCAACTTAGATGTTAAGGTCAATGAACCCATAGCTTTCCTTTTTTTTTTTAAATAACTCCTGTAACATTTGTCAAGGTCAACGGCAGACAATCACAGTAGACATCTCAGTTTAAATTCAATCGAGGAATAATAATCGAAATTTAGTATTAAAGACTTACGTGTAACACGTAAGTTGGCAAAAGAATGAATTTAATTCTAGTTAACTTCTAATTGAAACCTCGCAGTCATTTGCCCTGATTTTATTAACTAAGTTAACGATTTAGGCTTTGAAATATAGTCCTCATCACATTTTATTTTGCTAAAGGTTGGTTTCGACGATGCGTTGGCGGAGTGTAAAAATATCCAGAGACTTCTCATCATACCTACCTACGTGTCACAATCGGCCACGACGAATAAGCAGGTGAGTTTGCCTTACAGTCATATAAATTCACCATTTATAATTGACTGAACACTTGACCTTGTTTTTATTTCATTTTTAAACCTATGAATATCTCATTACATCTGATAATTTAAAAATTAAAGAAATTAACGAATTCCATTGAAGTATGTACTAAATACTTGGCGCGATCTTCGAATAAATCACTTGTATGAGCAAATGCAGCAAAATACTTGCTTCTCTGACATATATAGGCACTCCATGAGCGCTGTAACTAAATTGTGTGAGACTGAGGTGCGCCAAGCAATGATTACAATGCGCAAATAAAATATAAATAATCAAATTCAGCGACTTAGCTTATTGGTTGAAGCGCTGGGCGCGATTCGGAAAGCGTGTGTTCGATTCCCGCTGCAGCGAAATCCTTTTCGTCCATTTTACAAACTACTAGCTGGTGCGCTTAGCTTCACCTAGAAATATCTTACGCGTAACCGTATATACAATGCGACCTATGGTTCAGAAGATAAATATCACTGCCACCAGCCCCACCTATCCGTCATAAAACGTCGCCCTTTATATATGTGCCAAGTTTCATATCAATTGGGCTAACAGTTGTCGACTTTTAGGTGAATATACGAACACAACCTCTTTACAGAGGAGGCCGGGACATTGATAGGCTGTTACTTTACTTTACCTCTTTTATTTTTATGTGACAAACGAACTGGCGGTTCACATTAGCAACACAGGTTGCAGATGTGTTGCCACTTTTTAACAAAGAGGGCCACGGCTACCTCACTCACCAGACGAAACACAGAAGTGTAACTTCTACTTTACGCCGGTCTTCTGTGAGGTCGTGGTACTAACCCGCACGGACCTCCCCATTCGTGCAACAGCGAATGCTGTTGCGTGGTCCTACCGCAGTACCTTACAAACACACATCCTCTTTTATATATCGACAAGTTTCAATCAAATACATCTATCCACCCCTGATGCGCAGGTGCTGAGCGGGGTGCTCCGGCTGAAAGACACCCTCACTCACCTGATGTGGGGCGTCACCATCGAGCTGCTGCGCGTCACCGAGCTGTTCATCGACCAGTGCGACCAGGGTGGCGACAAGCGGCGCGACGTCGGCGAGTGCATCCCCGTGCTGAAGCCGGTGCCAGGCTGCCGGCTCCCGGATGAGAGGCACCTGGTAGCCGGGCCACCTCAGGTACTCCAAGATATCTCCCAGATTCATCCTTTATGTGGGACTTTACTGCCAGTTCCCGACCAGCGGCACCTGTCTGCTGGACCACCTCAGGTACTCCAAAACATCTTCTGAGAGTTAACTGCCCGCTGCTCGACCAGCGATACCTGGTTCCTGGACCACCTCAGGTAGTCCAAAACATCTTCTGGGACTTTACTGCCAGTTCCCGACCAGAGACACCTGTTTGCTGGACCACCTCAGGTACTCCGAAATGTTACGGGAAGAGAACATTTTTTAACTGCCCCCAAAATGAGGGAGCAATTGCCCCACGGTTACCCAATAAGAACTGTGTCTAGCTTCGCTGCTCACATGAGTCGCTGGAGCGTTTCATATGTGCCTGAACACAACAAATTTTAGGCATGTTTTAAAGAACTATGGTTTTGTTAATCACGTAGCATGTCGTAAATTGAACGAAGCTAACCTAGTGTTGAATAGGTATACTTTATTGATGCATCATTAATTCAACTTGCTCGTTCAGGTCGAGATCCTGCCGCTGCCGACCCTACAGCGGTTGTTGTCCGCGCAGATGCCAAACACAAAGCTGAAGATCCTTCGCATCCCGTTCCACGCCACCTGGCGACAGTCGCTAGCCGACTTCCAGTAGTGCCACCGTCCCCGAGTGACTGTCCTGGTCACCACTAGCTGCGGGCGCCGTTAAGAGTATGGGTGACGTCATAAGGTAGCCAGGATACCTACGTGCGTCTGATCATCTGATGATCATGCACATGTCACATCATATCGGCAACGTCTGGGTGACGTCAATATAGTTTGCATCTCCGCTCGGTGATGCCTGATGACCCGTGTCATCGGTCTAAGTGACGTCATAATATGCACGCAGTCATAATGTGCGTTAACAACACCTGAGTGACGTCACCACCACCGTTCTTGTCGCGGGCAGCAGTGTAAAATTAACAGGGGAACTTGGTCGCTCCGAGATAGACATTGGAAAACAATTTAAAAACGGATAATACAGTGTGGAATTAGCACTCCATCAAATTTTTTCCTGTTCACTCCTGATTCATGTTAAACACATTTACAATAACTGCAGCTATCTTTATCATCCTGATCTTAACTCGCTCGTGTTGCGCGTCCTATACTTGAGTGTAAAGAGAATGTTATAACAAATGTTAATTCTTTTAAGTTTCTGTAATAAACCACAAGGACTATGATATAGACGAATTTTACGTTTGACTTGTAAAATATAACTGTGGCCTTGTTTGCACAATCATTAACATATGTTGTCTCAACTTTGTGTGTAATTTTATTTATGATAACCATTTTAAGCAAATGCATATTATTGATAATAGTCTATTGTAACGATTCACGAAAAGAATAGCAAAAGGGGAACTTTATTTGGCTGTGTGTATTGGAATAATGTGTGAGTGTACACACACCACAATATATGAATGGCCGAAATTGACTCAAGGCTTAGACCAAATAAAAAGCAATGTTTTTTTCACTCAATTTGTAACTTAAAAAAGCCAAAAACAAACAAGCATATTATAATATCCGGCTAAAGTTGGCCATTGGTCGATGAATTCATGATATTAAGACAGGAGCGAGAATGTCTCATATCTCCTGCCACGCGTGTTCGTCAATATAAATAATTGTTTCTATTTACATACAATGAAATGAATATATATTGTTTAATGATAAATATATGAGACCTAAAATTCGCTTAAATTTTAAGGATGTAAATAAATTCAAAGTTTAGTCTAGTTGAACAGTGCCTATTGAAACCTTTGTTCTTGGTCGCAACCATATAGAGGCATAGACATAGACATTTAACGACATTATTTTATTTGTGTGTAGTTCTGGTTTTTTTTTTCTCTTTCTTTATTATCATAAACATAGGGATGTATGAAGATAATGACCGTTGATAAAAATTATGTGGACATTGAGAGATATATTTTTTTTAGATTTTGTATATTGTATGAAAAGTACAAGATTGTTCTTTTATTTTATTTTTTGTTCTTTTTAACGCTCTACATTCTTTTCTTTCGCACGCGTTAATACTGTTATATTGCGTTCTGATCTTTCGATATCGAATTTGTAGTATTGTTTTCAGAAGAATGCTTTTACGATAAGTCATGAACCAAAAAGTGGTTGGTTAGTTATAATGTCTAAGTTCCAGAGTTTATTCTCCAAATATAAAATAGATACATATTTAAAGTTCTGAAAAGTTGTCAATATGTATGAAGATGTACTAGTATTTAGTGCTATTTGTTGATTTTGTTGATTAGGGTGAATGATTTGGGACTGACTTTAAGATCTTATAATTTAATTACGTAGGCAGCCAAGTTGTTGGTGTTATCACCCTGGGTGCAATACATTGTTCATTAATTTATTATACTAAAGGTAAATAAGAAGCTTGTTTATAATTTGGATAGTTTTTTTTAAATACAACGTGAAAATGAGCACAACATATCATTAACAAAAATATTACTTGTGGACTAAAGTGTAATCTGGAGAATCTTTTAGCTTCTGAAACTTAGACATTGCTGCTAATATATTATTGTGCATCGCAAATAATCATAACATTGTTATATCATAGTATTTTAAGTTTTCTCCTCTACACTTTCGTTTTATTTTAAGAGTCCGAAGGTTTCGAGGCAATTTTATTGACCAATACAAAGTTGCAAGCAATATATACCTTACCATATATAGAGGAGTTTTATTATTCAATTTCTAACCCTGTACAGTTTTAGGTTTAGGATTATGTCGTTAAAAGTATTGGAACGTGAAATGGAAGACCAAATACTAATTGAAATATTGACAATTTTAAATTTGACAATTTTTCATGCAGCACGTTAAATTATTTGTGTATCGTTTAAATATTTCGATTAATTTGCCCTCGAAGCGTTGCGTTATTGAATTAAATTTAGACTTGACCGTCTATTTTTTATCTCTTCGTAACAAATGCTTGGTATTTTTTTATTGTAGTAGTTAATTTTTGTGGGATCCTCGTGGTGGCATGACTTGTGTAAAAATGAGGGAAGGCGCTCCTACGCCTCCGGGGACTCCCCTGTAGGTTAATTATATAGATTTAATACTAGGCGACTACTATTAAATTTGTTGCCAAATAATATGCGTTTCATTTACTTGTTCATTCAATATTTAGACGAAATGTTGTGGTTTTATAACCGCAGATTTTCATGGTCATGTGAAACACTAACAGCACTGTCACAAACATGTTTTAACTTGAAATTATTTTAGGCTAAATGTATGGCAATAATCGTTAAGTTGAAAACGTGAAACCTTTTACAATATTTGTAGGAATAAAAATTCTATATTACTTTACAATAAAAGTAAAAAATAAAAGAATATTCTTTTATTTGAGGACCCTGCTTTTCTGATTTATGTATTATCTGATTATATTATGTCTCATCTGATTTATTGTTGGTAGACTACACAGTAAATTATTGCATGTTAGTATTATTCTAAATTTTTCACATCAAATGGAAAGATCATGTGCTTCATAGTGCACTAGAGATAATTCCCCACACTTGTACAATGATTCACAAATGACACATTTATTGATATACTAGCTGATTCGGCAAACGTTGTTTTGCCATATAAATTATTTCTAGAGGAATCGGAACGGTTTGTATGGGAAAATAAAATTGTTGCTATTTCGATTTTATATGCAATTTTCCCATAATTTTTCATCGTTTAAACCTTCCCTTGACTGCCACGAATATTTGAAAACCAAAAGTAACCAAATCGGTCCAGCCATTCTCGAGTTTTAGCGAGACTAACGAACAGCAATCCATTTTTATATATAAGATTAATGTAATCAAGTGTCAATAAATTAGCTTGCTTCGGATTTCATTTGATTTACTTTTTTGTGAGCATAACGTCCTTCTACCTTTTATAACACTCACTTCATACTATGAGCTAAATGTATATATTGATATTGATGTGTTGTGTTTGTATTGTATATTCATTATGGACTTTCAACTGGGTCAAGCAATTTTTATGGACTTTTTCAGATTAGCCAAATGATCCTGTGAAGTGTGGTTAATTGGATCAACTGATTATATTTGTTTTGATGCTACCCATCCAAAGCCAGATGGCTCCTTAGTAGTAAATAATAATGGCTCCATAGTAGTAAATAGTAATACACGAATATTAAAGACACAATTAGTATCAGGCGAGTCATTAGAATAAATGTTAACGCTTAATGTCCCAAACGAGATTTCCCGTGTGGCCAAATTGAAACAACATTACTTTTATTTTATTTTTTTATTATTACACAACAGCTGTATAAATAGACATAATTGCACTTACAATCTATTTCCCTATATATGCTACGAATGATCTAATGTTCATAAATAGTACATAGGATAACATAGTACATACAGTACTAATTGCCAAGTTTTGACACAATTATTCATATTCTGTTAATTAAATAATTTCCATTTAAGAGAAAATTGTTACAAATTATAAATTTATAAAAAAATATAGTTTTGCATATTGTCCCAGGCTGGATTTATATTATTTGTTGGACTATTACCGTACAGTAGATTAAAAAATTACAACTAACAAGTCTCAGGAAACCATAGTTGATGGAATCGACAATGAGAAACTTATGTGACTGATCTCTTGTGAATGGGATTGTTATTTTATTTAATAAAAAAATATCGCTAGATGGTTGTAGTAAAAAGTCAGATAAGGTAATAATTTGATAATCTGAGTAAAACACTGAAGGCTAAGCAGAAACTCATGTGAATGGGGTAGGCAGTATTAAGGGTCTGCATGGAAACGGATAGTATGTCCCAATGACCACTGAGATCTTGAAGATCTATTGTAGTATTTCCTTTGAGGATATTGTTCCCTTACTGTACAACATAGGATAATGCTATCCTTATCCTGTATTGTAAGAATGTAAGGATCTTCGGTAAGTCATGGGTGTTGGGACTTGAAGCTTGCAACCAGTAATGGTGAAGAGTGCAGGGCTATTTGGGACGTAAGCATCGTGGGGATGCCGAAGGTGTTATAATTTGTAAATTGAGATGAAGGTCATCGGCTAATCTGAAATAATCATGTGAACGGGGTAGGTATTAGTTGAGGGTCAGTGGTCAGTGGGAAGGTCATGGAGTTGGGTCTTGAAGCTCTACGGACAGCGACGGTGGAGGGGCGCAGGCCTATTCGGGTTTAGCGTCGGGGTGCCTCTCGAGCAGCATGGCCACGCCCTGGCCGCCGGCCGCGCATGCTGAGATCAGCCCCAGCTGCCCGTCCTCGCGCACCAGCCGGTGGGCGGTGTGCATCGCTAGCCTCACCTGCGCAGCAACGGAGGTAGTCAGAATTATAAAAGGATTACAATTGACGACCCAATTGGCGTAGTGGATAGTGACTAGCTCTTGCGCCAGAGGGTGTGAGTTCAATCCCCTCCTTTCTAGTTTCTCGGTGTTTAAATCTATAATATGTATTTATTTGCAAAAGAAAAGTATGTTTAACAGTTAAGTGGTATTAAAACATGTAGAAAAAGTACGAAAAGATTGTCGCCGCCCGATCGGCCGCGAATGCCGAAGACGTGGGTTCGATTCCCACAGCGGCGACAATCTTTTCGTACTTTTTCTACATGTTTTAATGTTCAATCTTAAATGCAGAGCACTATAAAAAACTTTAAAAGTTATGTAGTATCCATAGTACAAGCTCAGCTCAGTTTGGGACTAGATAATGTTTTATAAATCGTGTCCTGAAATACTTGTTTCTATTTTTTCAAAATAATGAAACAATTTGTTATGTGTTTATTTATAATTTTAATACTCTTAAGACTGTCCTATGACCATACTGTAAAGGGTTCGAAACCTTAGGAATTCAAATTGGAAATAAACGCGATAAATCCGTAAAAAGAGTAGTAATATATCAAAAACAGAATTGTCTCATTCACTTGGGGATTTCAAAGCTATATGCAGTGGGGAACCAGCAAGGGATAAAGATGTCATGTTTTATTTTATGGATTCACCTTATCATAAAAAGCGCACATAACAAATACACACACACATAAGCTTATAAAAACAATTTCATGATAATTTATTATTTTTAATGCTAGTCGACATGAGTTTAATAGAAGCTCATATAAAGACGACTCGGTTAACTACAAGTAATAAGACACAGCATAACAATTATTGCTATAATAATAATATCGACGATATCTACCTGCATTAGTAAAAAAATGCTCTCCTTTATGATTGAAACATTTACAATAATTTTTTTTTTTTCCATAAGTTTGGACATAAAATGTATAGAAGACTAAAGAAGGAGTATAAGCATATCAAATAATATATTGCACTATAAGAATTTTGCATGAATAGAGAAAGAAAACTTACTCCTGTAGCAGCGAATGGATGCCCGATGGAAAGAGAACCGCCCCAAGCATTCCACTTCTTCAAGTCTGGGTTGCCCACCTATAACACACAATTTCCCCATAGTTTTTAGGAATCAGTCTTTATGTATATGCAGTGTGAAGCAAGGGTGTCTCCACTTTGTATTTATTACAAATGTTACCAAGTCAAATAATGAATATTTATAGAGAAAAGTGTTCAAAAACAACCCGTCCTGTCTCTCTGACCTCATAAGGTAAGCTTTTTCTAAAATAAATACTCTAATAGTGGTTGTCTGAACCAGATGGTATGGCGTGTATCATTTTTAAAACATGTGATAGCTCTGTGTCCATTCTCACTCAGATTACATAATCTCATAATCACTGTTGGTAACCTTGGTGGCAGTAATAATGCCACTGCTAGTTTCTTGCAATTTTAAGTGTTCATTTTTAGTTAGACGACCCGAATGGCGTAGTGGGTAATGGTTCGATCCCGATCCCTTCGAGTCAGTGGACCATGGCCATATACCCTCCGTACAGTCCTCTGTCTGAAGGCCTCCTGGCCTTTACCCAGCAGTTGCTCATGTATAGGCTGTTACTTTACTTATAAAGAGTTTTGTTCAAAATTGAATCAACTCAATGAGAATATAAAAAAGATATTACATACCTTTGATTGCAGCCCAAGGTAGGTTTGAGCAAACCAATCAGAGTCCAGGGCCTTCAGATTCGCTAGGATTTGACCCTGAAGGGATAAAACACATTAGTAAGCATTTGTACTGATTCTTACCTTTTCTATGCAACAGCAGAAGCCGCAGCGTACTCTTTTTATGTGAAAAGGTGACAAACGAGCAAGCGGTTAACCTGATGTTAATTAATAACAAGATCACAGGGACATGTTGGATGCAGGCCGCTGACGACCGGTCGAAGTGGAAGTCAACGGGGGTGGCCTATGTTCAGCAGGGGACGTCGTACGGCTGATATGATGATGATGATGAAGTAATAACTGTCGCCCATTGATATTGCAACACCCGTAGTGTTGCAGACGTGTTGGTAGGTGCCAATTTATAATAAAATGGGCCCGGCTACCTGACTCACCAAACGCAACATAGAAGTATGAAACTTCACGCTGGTCTTCCGTGAAGTCGTGGTAGGTACCTGGACGGACCTGCCCATTCATGAAACAGCGAAGACTGTTAGAGAGTTACTACAGCAGCCTCACCGTTAAGTTTATTCTGGGCAGACTTCTAAGCTTCTTAGTTTTAGTACTCTCATTTAAATAGTATGGCGATTGGTCTTACAGCGAACGCCTCGTGTATCTCCCAGGTGTCGATGTCGCTCATCTTGAGGCCAGCTTTGCTCAGGATCTTGGGTATGCCATAGGCGGGGCCCAGCAGCAATTGGTCCACGGGGTCCTATTGCAACAGACAATAAAACTCGTCATAAAATTCGAAAGTGTACAGCGCACATAAACCAGAAAGAAGTCCAAACTTGTAGATTATGATGTTTTAGTATGCTTATCTATACAGGGAGGCTTTTCTAAGTGTATCCATTTTTTAAAATTAAATTCTAGACATAAATATTGTTATATAAAAAATGATAAATTTTTAAAATCACTTGTAATCAATTAATTACATTCATTTCAACTTATCTCAAAAAGTGATTTATGGGGAACTCCTTTATTTTACGCGCGATCATTCATAACTAACACGCACACAAGTTCATTTCAAAAGTATACGACGCATTTATGAATGACTACCGCATTGTCAACAAGTTCTGTTTTTTAGGGAATAGAATGGCAATTTTTAGAAAGAAAACCAGTTTGTTTTTAATTCAATTAATGATTATACTACCGAGTGTGAATTTGGGCACCTTTAGAAAAACCACCCTGTATTATTCATGACTAGCTAAACTATATGTGTAATGTCATGTGTATACTATACTTAATTATTAAGAAAAATAAAAATTTGTGTTTGGATATTCTTCTGAAAAATAATATAATTATATAATTATAAGTGCATTGAAACAATATTGAGTATACTTAACAATTTTATTTGATTAAAATAATAGTCTTTTAATTTTTTCTTTATATTTGTTTCTTTTTCATAATGAAACCAAGTTTTATTGACTTAATTTTGAATTTTTACAGATAAATCGTCAAAAGCTTTCATTCAGTATTCGAAACTGTTTCGATCCTAATTCCTACTAAGTTTTCCTTCATCTTCTATGTTTTTGTTTATTGGGAAAAAATTATGACGGTAAAAATTTACGATGCGCGCGTATACCGACAGCAAAAAACGACATAAAATACGGAAACAATTTCATCAAACAAAGAGGGGATAAAATTTTTAATTATTTTTCTTTTGTTATTAGACGTAACGCACGTAAGAAGTACAACTTGAGCGTACATAAGTACATGCATACTTTTGTTTTACAAATTTAACAGGGCTTATACAATTCTGTGCCTCAGAGGTAAACAGCATTATGCGACAAAAACAAATTTTACAGGGGACGCAAAAATGCATGGAGTGAATTATTGAATGCATTATTGTTTATGATGTCATATATGATTAAATATTTAATTAATTAGACGTCGTAGGACTTAACTATTGTGTAGAATATGTTCTTGCTTAATGGTGTAAGAAAAATAATTTTGAAGAATGTCAGAATATGCCTCTGAGGTTGAGGTACGAGGGTTGTTTAATACAATTTCAAAAATAATGTCGGTTTCAATTGGTGGTAGAAAAAAGCCCACCTGCGCCACGTATGTGAAGTCACGGACGTAAGCCTTCGGTTTCAGGCCCAACTCCTTAGCCTTGGCTTCGGACATTATGAGGCAGGCCGAGGCGCCGTCGGTCTGCAACGAACGAAGAACTTGTTAAGTCTTGGTATTGCATTATTCATTTATTTCCTTAACATTGGCCAATATTGACACATTAAGCTCGCAAATTAATAAAAAAAATAAAAGGAAACCATAAATGTCCCTACAATTATAGGTGAACAACTTTCTTGTAGTGTCTACAGTTCATTACTCTTACGGTAGTGGTGCGGTTTCCATGGTAACGATGTCTCAGTAAGACACTGCTTGTATTTATAGTTCATATTTACGCTTACAAAAGTGGCCAAAAATGTCTCCATTGTTACCATGGCAACGGGTCATTATGTGGATACATAGTTCATTTAACACTCCTACTGGTCGGTAACTCCCTTGCCATGGTAACGATACCTCACTATCACCAAGGTACCACCTGTATTCATAGTTCACTTTAGCCCTCTTGGCAGATGGCTTCGTTACCATAAAATTGTTCACTTTAGCTATTATACGCGGGCGGTCGCTCCGTTGCCATGGTAACGAGATGTCACCTAGACAGTACCTGTACCCATAGTTCATGTTAACGCTCGTACGGGGCATTCGCTTCGTTGCCATGTTAACGAGGTCTCACCAGGAAGGACGCGTTCGCCGCGGTGACGGAGCCGTGCGGCTTGATGAACGCCGGCTTCAGCTTCTGCAGCTGCTCCGGAGTGGAGACCCTGATGCCGTTGTCCTTCTCCACCAGGGCGTCTTTTCCCTCGACTGGCGGGAGAAATGTCACTTTAGTTTGGTGTAATATCCTAAAATGAACAGTGCAAATGGCGTAGGTGGATTATACAAAAATTTACAATGCAAACGTAAAGGTATATTATAAAAAAATCAACATTGTTAAATTTTGGCATTGCGCTATGGTGCAACTTTAAATCATCGCGAAATAAACTGAACGAAAGACGTTGTATGAGCGACCTAAAAATGAGCAAGATCGCGAGTTTTTCGTGTTTTACTATAAATTAGCACTGATGTATCGACAAATTTATAGAACCATAAAGGTTAAAGTTAAACTAAATACAGGTTAAAATCTTTGCAATAGCGTATGAGTAAGCTGACGTTGTCCATTTCTGATCAGAGAGCAGTCAAGCAGTTCCAAATTAAAAAAATCGAGACTGTGAAGTGGCGCTCTAGTGTAGTAGCAACATTTTTATATTTATGATATTTTTACAGCAACTAAGAACATAAATGTTTGCATTAGTAATCATTTCTTATGCATGTTAACGTTGTTATGTTAGAATATTACACTGCGAAACATAAATACGAAAAATTACCTTCAAAGGAAATATTTTACTAATTTAAATTATACATAGTAAATTAAAAACATTATTGTATTTTTTTTTAAACATTGCCCTCACTTTAGGATAACATAATCCTGTGTTGTAAGAACGTTTTACAAACATAAATTGCACGAGGACAAACACCCAGATGCGAAACGACGAAGCCAATACCTTGGCAACGGCGCCACGGAGTCATCAGTCAATTTTAATTAATAAATTAGTTTTGTATTACTGTTTTTTACGATAGTGTCCAGGTTGAGCTCAGTGAAAGTACCTACGATTCTCGAGCTATTACGATTTTTGAAAGATTTAGTAAAAAGCGGGGCGTGCGGCCCACGCTACCCACCCTTGATCGGCACGAGGTCCGTGAAGTAGCCGCTAAAAATTATTGTATTTTAACTAAGCATAAACTTTTGTATTACTGTTATCCACCATACTGTCCACGTTGTGATAAGTGAAAGCACTATTCTCGAGCTGTTACGATTTCGGTGAGATTTCGTAAAGAGCCCACGCCACCCACCCTTGATCGGCACGAGGTCCGTGAAGTAGCCGCTGTCCCGCGCCTTCGCCGCCAGCGTGTGCGAGCGAAGCGCGTAATCGTCCTGCTCCTGGCGGCTGGCCCCGAAGGCGGCGGCCAAGCGGTCGGCGCTGTGGCCCATAGTCTCCCCCGAAGAGAACTCCGCCACGGCGGGCAGCTGCGGAGACGGTACAGAACGATCACTCACTCGTTTCTTCTATTCATGGTAGGAGTTAGAAAAAACTGAAAAAATAAAAATTACAAACAATTTTTGTCCGGTGTACAGAGTATTTCTGATCTTGTTCTCCTTTCTTTGTTTGTTGCAATTTCATAATTTATATTTATTATAATTTTGAGGCCTAAAGAGATGAAATAAATTAGATGGCAGACCTGTTTAGAGACATTGGCCAACCAATATTAGATTATATATTTGTGTCCAATGATGAGAACATGTTTCTTTATTAATTAATTATTGTATTTATTAATTTTTTCACTTAAAAGAAGTCAACAACATATATAAAATAATTGATGGAAAATAACTTAATAATTGCACAACAACTACCACATTGTCAGTTATCTTGGGATTAATTAATGGTACAAGTGAGTACCAAACTACCAAACTTACTTCCACACAGTACTTCCAAATGTAGTGCATACATTGCAAAATAAATTGTCTGAAAACTCAAAAACTTTGATAATACGAAAAATATTAATGATAGATTCCACATTAACCAAAGATAATTATGGAAAAATGATGACAGAGTGTAAATTAAATTTGGCGCGCTTTTATTATTCGTTTTAATTTTTGCCTTTGTTCAAAAGAAAAATGTTACCAGAGTATAAATTCAATTTTGGCGGACTTTTATTATTATTTTTTTTCATTTCTGCCCTTTGTCAAAAACAACTCCGTGCGGGGTTGAAAGGCAAGAGCACTGGTGACCGACCTCGGGTGCGAAGAAGTCCGGCCGAATGGAGGCGAGTAGGGAGAGGCGCTGCGCTGGTGTCTTGGCGCGGTTCAGACGCAACAGGAGGGCGCGCATTTTGCGCGAGTGCCTGATGGGCACGTCGGACATGAACTCCACGCCACCAGCGACAATCACATCGTACGCTCCGGCTGCGATCATGCCCACACCTGTCGCAAGGAACCAAATTGGTACACGCACTACTTGATTCTACTTTTCTAGTCATCAAACATGATTAAGATGCGTTTACAATGCGGAAACAATATGCATTCAACAACAATCAACAATTGCCATTGCCCACTGCCAATTTCATGCTAATAGTGTTGTGTAAAAACTGTAAAAGCAATTGAAAAAATTATTAAGTACTATAAAAACAAGACCATGGTGCTTCTTGTGATCGGTACAGACTTAATTTAGTGAACAGATATTAGTTTTGATTAAGAGTTTGGAAAAGTCTTAATTGAATAATGAAATCTTGACTTTGAATGCAATATGCCTCCGCTAAATAGATTGAACGCAAACCTTATTTTATGTAAAAAAAAAGAAAAAATACACAACAAAAACTGCTTGTTTGTCATCTTAGTTTTATCTTTGAAACATAAGTCCTAATGTGGGACACTATTTTTCCACATTGGAGAGGCAGAATGTGTCATATGAACAAAGAAGGAAATAAGTTGTAAAGTTTATTTGGTGTGGATAAGTTAACCTACCTGTTGTTATAGCTTGATTCGATGAGATACAAGCCATGGTAACTGTATGCGCTGGCGTGCGGTCACTGAACCCTGCGGCTAGGGCTGCCTCACGGCCAATGTTTGATGTCTTAACCTCTTGGATGACCGTACCATAAACAATGTAGTCAACAACCTCTTTAGGTATTCCAGTCTTTTGCAGCAGGCCACTGTTACCATTTTAAAACATAAAGTTCCATTAATACCTATGTTACAGAATGACAGGAAAGAATAAGGATACATAAATTTAATTTGATATTGGCCAAGACGCGATTGCTCTTTATCTGTAACCGTGTTTAAAATCGATTACTATTTATTTTAATTATTTGCTCTTGAGTTTAACTTGCAGCACTGGAACCAATGATCATGTTAATTGAGATTTTAAATGTGGTTTTACTCAGCGGTGAATCAAATTAGGCCATTGTTAAGAAACCTGCATATTTACAAAAATTTAATAAAAAGTGGACCAAATATATTTGAAATCTATAAAATTGCAGTGGGTTTGCATAGCAGACAGTTTCATAAATGACTCATTCTTTTAAGATTTTTACAGATTACCGTGTTTATTTTTAATTTGAATTCCCGACGTTTCGAACCCTTTACAGCATTCATGGTCACGGGACAGACTGACGATAAATCCGTAAAATTAGTTTCATTTGTAGTGTGTAATCGCGTAAATGCAAGAAATTAACATTCACAAAGAAGAAATTTTTATAAAATATTAAATTATAACATAAAAATTTGTTAAAACACTATGCTTGGTTGTCAATACTTTTATTTATGATGTATAGAATTCACAAAAATACTAAAAATCATTTTAAGAATTCTACAGACCCATAAGATGTATTGTGTTAGTGATGCTAAATATGCATAAATAGAACATGGACAAACTGAAAGTTGTTCTTAGCATATATAAATTGTTCATAATTTATGTAGGACAAAAACAACTTATTTGTTGTCATTGAACACCAACTTGTCATTGTCATTCATTGTCATTGAGAACAACTTGTTCATCATGTATTTTGTGTGGGATTAAATTTCTTACATTGCAACACTTATATCAAAGATGCTTCACCATATTAGTGAATACCCAACAAGGTTCTGTTTGATTGTAAAGTTTAAACTGTTTGATTGTTAAGTTAAAAGTATACTTTTCAAAAAATAAACTTACAGCAAAGAGTGCCTTGCTAATTCATGCGGCATCATCTTAGCATAATCAGTGAAGGACACCAGGAAAGGTGTCCTTACCCCATCAACTAGGACCACATTCTTGCCAGTGCGATCCGGGAGAGTTTTCTTTTGCTGCAATGCTGCACTTACACTCAGAGCACGTCTAGCGGTATCTAGAAGTTGACATGTTCATGTTGTATATGTTTTGAGAATATAATTTATTTGAATACAGCGTGTCGTTACCATCACGAAAAAAATATTTGTCAAACAAACTAATTAATTAAAAAAGAAACAAAATTTGTAACATCCTATACAACTACAACTGACTAATTTGTACATTCAGAGACTTGTCATTTGTTGCCACAGCGTCGCATTACAAGCCTCTCCTTCTAACAGTATGTTTTGTCTCTTTTAAATTCATTCAACCCATTCATATGCTTTGTGACCTTTACAAATGAATGTTACAGTTTTATACATAAGGGTGTTCTAAAATTCTTTGTTTTGGAAAATTTTATAACTCTGTAAATATTGATGTTTAATGAAAGTAAATCTTTAATACAATTTAAAAAAAATATCATTTATATGTGTGTTCATTTATTGTCGCGATTGCAAAGACACGCTGTATACTAATAGCAAAATTGGAGCACTTCAACAGATTTCGTTTTATTTAATTTAGATTTTAAAAATGAGTTTTTTTACACCATTATTTGTTTATGGGTACGACTTTCCATTGACGTCCGTCGGATTAAGGAGTGGGAGTGGTGCGGGGGGAAGAGGGGCAGGAGGGGTATCACCCCCCATTAAAAGGAAAAATTTCGGAGCCCACCGATTTTGGCGTTTTTTAATATTTAATTTTGAGGAAATTTTTGTTACAAAATTTGTGTTAAAATAAAATTGTGCATTAAATTAAACATAAGTCTTTTCTTAACTTTTTCCGTTGGAGTAGTATAATAAATATAGAATTTCATAAATAGCATATTGATGCCAAATAACCAAGTAAGGTCCAAAGTTTGTGCAGGTGTCGAAAGTAAAATTTTTTTTAACAAGAAAAATAACTTTGTGTAACAGTAATCAGTGTTCACTATAATAAGTGAATAAAGTCAAAAGACTCTTGCTGAACTGAAAAAATTGAAGAAATTAAGCAATAAAATCTAGTAATGAATTAATTTAACATACCAAACTTGACGGTAGAACTAGGACACGAAACTTTTAATAAAGACTTTGCTACTTGTGATGCCATATTTTCAAATTGATATGTCTTTTATCTAGATTTTTAAAGCCGACGATTGCTATTTTAAAAAATTGCAAAGTTTTAAACTTATTAAACTAAATGAAAGTTGGACTCTGACCTAACCTGTCAAAATCAAAACTAAACATCGAAATTCGAATCGAAAACTAGGGTTGTCGTTGAGCATCGACTGATCGTAAATGTATCGATGTTTGAATATCAATGTTAGTTATTTTTGTAAGTGAAGTGTGCTGTTAACACTGTTAGCCCGGTGGCTACATCGGAAGACTACGTAGAAACAAAGTTCACAAAGTTACACCTCTCCTCTATTGTACTCTATATTGTAATCTCCACCCTTGTTTTTATCTTTCATTAACAAGGGTGGACATTAGACTACCCAAGGGCCCCAGATTTAGTTAGAACCTTGGTTTGGATCATAATCAATAAATTTTCATAATAAATTTCGAATATAAACATATCTATATATAACAGAAATGGGAATATATCTCGAGATATAACAGAAATGGGAAAATGAATGAAAATAATTGGATTATTATGTGTTTATTACTAAAATTGGTCAAATAATAACATTTAAAACTGTTAAGCTCAATCGTCTGAATGGAAATTAACAAGGGACAGTCTATCTATTAATGCTTTACTTGAAAATGAAATAAAAATTTCCCTCCCCCATGGACTGCTACGAAATACAATCCTGAGTTTCCTACATCCATCGACTTTCACAAATTTACATAGTTTTTGCCGTCTCTCCATCTATTGGGGGTCGTACCTGCGATGGCCAGTATGCGGTGGCCACTCGCAAACCTTCCTTCTCCATCAGTTATCGGTTCTGACCTATATCCGTCATTTTGTTCTACTGTGGCAGATGTCTTCATTGCAAACTCTATCACGCATAAATGTTAAGGATTGTTTAATATAAAATCTTCATAATAGTATATTTCATTACTAGTGCTGAAAGTCTGTCATTGCGAAGATTTACGACAAATGTCTACCCATGCCGAGGCGCAACCGAAGGTGAGGGTTGATAGTCGGAACAAGTTCCAATGACGGTTCCGCATGTGTACTGAACAACAATTTTTAATACAGTTGCGAAAAAATGAAGCAATTTAATAGAATAATAAAAACACAATAAACTCAACTATTTAATCATTTATTTCTTATAAAAGTTATAATTCACATATACATTGAAATTGGTATAGTTTTTTATACAAACTGGGGAATTTTTAGGTTGCATATTTACTGTTTGAGACAAACTATTATTAATTTCACAAACTATTAATAAATACAATACAAACCGTAAAAGAATTTAAGCAGAGATTTTTTTTTGTTTTCTACTCCCATTCTGGGTAGGCAAAGGGTACTATACCCATACAGCCAAGTCTTTAGTAGATTTTTTTATAGATATAAAATGAAAATTAAATTTAATGAGATGAAATGAAATGAAACCTAACCTAACTCATTGGATCAAATCATTAAATCTGATATTGAAACAAATTAGTAGATTCTTTTTAGAAATATTTGCATGAATCATTAAAACTTCGTGGTTGGTTTTTTTTTAATAGACTTTATTTAGACAGTTGGGAAAGATAACGCACGAATGCGGAAAAGGTAAAGAAAAAGCACTGGTGTGTAACCCCACATCCCGAACGCTATACGTCCCTGCAATACGCCACTTTTTGAGCAACTGTATTAAAAAGTATATTTAATATGCCATCGTCGAATAAAATTCAATTTTAAGTGTAAACCACTGAAACATTACTTTTATGACAGTAAAAATTTGGTTTTTGAACGATACTGTTTTCAAATATTAACGATTAAAATAAAGCTGTATGCACACTCTTTTTTATTTATTCACTTCTTATCTAAATATATATTGCACGAAAATAGCTTAGTAATAATATTACGACGAGCCCGTGCAAAAGTTCTGTTTTACTAAATGAAACTGTTTACGGATTTATCGCGTTTATTTTTGGTTTTATTTGAACATGACAATGAACATTGTAATGGGTTCGAAACGTCGGGAATTAAAACATAACAAAAATAAACGCGATAAATCCGTGTACATAGTTACATTAAGTAATGTGTAATTGCGTAAGTACAAGAAAAAGTTCTGTTTTAATAAATATTTGAATTCATAAAGTAATCATTAAAAATATTTTTTGTTTTAATTTAAATTAAATATGTTTTTATAATAGAATTTATTTTTAATGTTATGATATATACCTATTTGTATTACTTAAAGACAACAGTAACTGTTCTAGATATGGGCATTCGTCTATATGAAAATCTTAAAAACGCTCGTGCTACACAATATATACCTCTCAAATAAGACATCAACTGAGAAAGTGGATCAGTTGATGGTATATGAAAACCACCCAGCTCAATAAACATAGTGGGTGTTTCGTCAACTTTTAAGAGAAATATATAAAAAATATAAATAAAAAATCTGTAACGGTGCAACCCTGTTACATTTTGTTACTTTACTTACCCATTGTGTGTTGTGGTATTCTTGCACTAGCAGAATCTATAAATGGACTATATTTTTTGTGTAATAGTGTATACTAGACCTAAACAAGTGACCTAAAAAGTAGGAGGGTAGTAATAAAAATAATTTGCATTTGAAATTTGAATAAAGCTACCAATTTTATGGTTCATTTCTCATACGTACAGCCGCATTATAGCATCGCATTAGGCTGATCAAATTTTAATATATAAACATTTTGTTATGTTTAATCTGATGAAGTGAATAAAATTTTTAATAGGTAAGTAGAATTTTATTACCGATACAAAAATAAATATGAAAGAAATTTTCGTGAACACGTTTACTTAAGAAATTTTTAATTAAGATATCTATAAGATATCATGTTTTAATAACATACAATCACTATATTTTACTATTTATATAATATACATGTATAAAGTGAACACCATATCCATTGATCTTAAGAAAAGTCTGCATGTCCCCAACATCCGACTTTTCTTATACCCTCTTTAGTAGGCATGTGCTATTTTTACAGCGTATTATTAAATAAATATTAAAATAATGTTCTCCTATATCTATATACTATAAATTTCTAGTCGTAACATATTTTGTGAAAAGGGTACTCAAATTCATATGATTTTTTTTGTAATTTTAGTTAATAAACATACATTTTCTATATAATTATACGGTAAGTAGTACCACGTGAATCATTAAATGAAATGAGGTGTGGAAATACTTCTAAATTTCTTATTGTATAAATTTCGAAAAACATTGGTTACATTGAACATCTCAGTAATTATCTGGATGATCCATTGAGTTAACTACAATAGCACAATTTCGCACTACATTTGTATGAGCTGTTTAAAAAAATTAGATAATCTTTAGTAAAGACATCTTTGATTATGTCTCTGCATAGAGGGTATTGGGTTTTGTAGCATATATATTTGATTTATGTTCGTATAATAATATGTACTTTTTAGCTTCGTTAACCACATATTTCTTTTGTAACTTTTAACGTAGAAACCATCGAGAATGATCTTGCGCATTATATTCAAATATAAATTTGCGTAACGTTTACACATTTTTTGAAACATGCCACACCTTAACTGAGAATTAATAAAATTTAAATGCATAAGATGAAACCTCCAATTCCGAAAAACGATAAACGACATAACTTCTATCGATCGATTGGACTACTACGCCAAAACGTTTCGAATCCGATCTGTATTCTAGATGCTCTTTCGTTGTGGCTTGTTTATTGTGGCTCTCGTCGATTGATAATTTGCACGCAGTTTCCGCATGCCATCGGTGTGCTTAGTGCTCAGATATATATTTTTTTAAACTTGAATATTTTTTCCTTTCTATATAAGGAATTGTAAGTGTACACTGTACAAGTTTCTAGTAGCGAACATTTTATTCCAGTTATCTATCATAAAGTTATATACTATCATATCGTCGTATTTTATGATTCGTTGCTGCTCATTGTTTCTTGCGCGTGACCTTTTCTTACTTTACAATTTAAAATATTCAGCAATCAGCACCTTGTAGCACTTGTAGCAATATGGAGGTTGGTTAAAGAGATGCAACAGTCATACAGTATTCGGATTCGAAAGGTTTTAAATTATTACGATAATAATTAGGGTATTATATGTAATTTAGATTTGAGAATGTTTTCGTTTCGTTTTTCGTAGTACATTTACACTTGCGTTACTACGTAACATTTTTATTGCTTATATACACATCTACCTAACTTGGAATGGTTCATTAAATCATCTAATTCGTATACTTACTTTTGGATGTTATGTTAATTTTAAACAACTGATTATATTTAAATAAGCGGTTTATCTAATAAATATATAAAAATTAGGCTTAGAGCTTAATTCGATAGTCTCAAGCAATCAGTGGTCAAAGCCCGGTGAAGCATCAACTAAAATATTGATTTTACTTCAGCGTTATTACTAATTGTAACTATTCATATGACAGACATAACAGTCCAATTTTTTACAAAGTTCTCTAATGCCTGTTTTAACATGGATCCCTAACTTGAAGGGACACTTAAAAAAATGCTGGTATCGTTTTCATTATCGCTTAAATGTCACGCTTAAGACGATAGGTGACTTGAAGTTAGAGATCGATGGTGAAAACGGGCATTAGTTCTTCGTAACATCTCACGTTTTATGAATGAGGCAAACACTAATCATTCGATATCAAGCGTTAAGTAATAGCGAAAGTCCTTGAACGGTTAAAATTATTAACTTACCTTGGTTGCGAAACAAATCTTTGTTTCGTTTTTATTTCTTAACTTATTTAAGTATAGTTTCTCTGAACTGTTTGCATACATGTTATTTTAGACCAATCATAGTCGGCGGAGTTGTTCGAGTTGGGTATGTGGGTTCAATTCTCGTAATTTGTATGCCCTACAAGTAACAGCTCCGTATCTAATTTTTGACTGTACCCTTTTAGAGAAACGATTAGGAATAATATAAAAATCACTCCAGTCGTAACCTATAGTGAGCGTCTTGCTTCAAAATAGTAAAGTGAATATAATGTAACAGCCTGGGTAAATATGAGAGGTAAATATCTCACCCAGGCTGTTACATTATATTTATGCGGTTTATGGTATAGTCCATCACGCAACCCCACTGCGTATTGGCAGGCATATCTTCGAAAATAATTTTTCTTATTGTTATTTCGAAAATATGCACGATTCCACATGATGTTTTTCTTCGCCGATGAGCATCTGATAAGTGAGCATTGAAAATTAACTTTTCATTGGTGGCTGGACCGGGACAAAATTTAAAAACTCAGGTTGCACGAGTATGTAAACTTAAAACGACACATGTACACTGAACTATCACGACTATGTCTTTTTTAAAATATGACATAATTATTGTAATACAAAAATTCGACTGTTTAACAATCATTTTACGCTAAACGACATATATCAATAATACACCATTAATATACCATTGCAATTGTTAACACTGACTAACCGTAGTGTAGTGTGTGTAACTACTACACACAACACTTCTAATGTTTTAGAAAGTTACAGTGTGCGCTCATGAAAAAAACAGGTATACATACAAACACACGTTCGAAAGACATAAGCCTCCTAGGAAAGTTGGGATAAATAAACAAATATTCTCTCAACAGTATGGCGGCATTTTACCTTGTGCTGTTGTACCTCGCGTCTTGCGGCGGTCAGTTTCATGACGAGATGCAGTCCTACGACCCAGAGTGCCTGGGAGAGGACGTGTTCCACTGCGTGGACGGGAGTTGCGTGGCGCAAGCGAAGTACTGCGATGGCGTCTTTGATTGCGCGGACGGCACGGACGAGAATTTCTGCGGTAATTGTCTAGTGTTGAATGCTTTACTATGCTGTTGTTCTTTCAAGTGGTTACTGCCGCATCCAGTGCCGTTGCAGGTAGGATGAATAATAATTATTTCTGAACACGTGGCAATTGTGGTTGAGCCACGCAACAGTCATCGCTGTTGCACGAATGCGCACGTCCGTCCGGGTAAGTACCACGGCCTCGCAGAAGACTCGCGTGAAGTGAAAATGTTATAACTTTGCGTTTCATCTGGCGAGTGAGGTAGCCGGGGCAAGTGGAAACGTATCTGCGATTCTACGGGTGTTGCGTATGTCCATGGTCGGCGGTTATCATTTAACATCAGTTGAACCGCCAGTATGCTTGCCATCTTACGTAACAAAATAACTTTCGTACGCAGTCAACCACCTACCCGACGCCGTCCTGTGCAACCAAACGCACCAGTACATGTGCCAGGATAAGAAACGGTGCGTGCCCAGCGTGTGGGTCTGCAACAACGAGACCGATTGCGAGGATGGAAGCGACGAGCTGAACTGTACCGCTTTGCCGGCTTCTTCGACGAACGTGGGTACCTTTTTTATTCGTTAAAAAAAAATCTTCGACGAATGCACGACGAATATTAGATTTACAACATTAAAATATTACAATTTACAACATAGCTGGGTTGCTATGTTGTAAAATGTAATATTAGATGTGCGGGAAATCGATGGATGCAGGCGGATAAGGATCGTGCTTCGTGGCAGTCTGTTGGGACTGTGTTCAGCAGCGGACTCTAAATAGCTGAAAAAGTGATGATGATGGAGATGAATATTAAAGTAAATAACAATAACAATAACAATTGTTTATTTATTTACTTATTTAGCAAATATAGTATTCGTCAAGTCGAATCTAAAGAACGATGTTATGTAAAAAGGGATATTCGATAGTAAACAGATTAAACTATAACAATATAAAAAATATACTTCATCATCATCATCATTTCAGCCTGTTTGAGCCCACTGCTGAATATAGGTCTCCCCCATAGACTGTCACGGAAGTACGACCTTCAGCCACCGATATAAGCCACAAATATACTTATTACAAATGTATTTATAAAAACAAGAAAAATAATTACTTTTACTGAACCATAACTTATTATTTTAAAAAAACGGAGTATCTAAATAACAACGACACTAAAAGTAGGTATTTGGAGTTTGTGTTAAGTGTAATACTTGAATTTAGTTTAGTCGAATTTCAAAGTATGTTGGTAACTTAAATTGTAATGCAATAAAAGGCGAATGACTTTTCAAAATCGATGCCAAAAGCAGAAATGGATATTTTGGGAGTCATGGAAAACTATTGACATCACTTGACCAAAAAGTAATATCCTATAATCACCTATAACAAATAAGTAATCACCTTCTTCCACTGTGTACTAGGATATGAAACAAAATGTACCACCCACGTTCAATACAACTTTTAATTATAATTTTATGGGAAACATATCAGTATCTCCCACGTTTTCAAACTCCTATATTAACTTTCTATTATATTTTGTAGGGTTTGTGCAGTATTCTTAAAACTATATCCATTTCATTCGCACTTTTCCGTCCTGTTATTCTCTAGTCTTATATAATACCTTATTTCGCAATAAAAAGTAAAGTTAATTTAAAATCACTGCATCGGAGCAAGCTTCATTTCTTTTTGAAAAATCGCCGTTTTTAACGATCGTACTATTATCAGAAGTTTTCCTTTTCCCCAAGTGTCAATTTAGTAAAATGTAAATGTAAAGGTAGTCAGTCTAAATTCAACCTAAATTGCTCAAGCACACGGCTGTCATTGGAACAGCGAAAAAATCATGGCGCAAGACTCGAAAGGTGGCTGAGGGGTGCCAAAAAATTGTCAGTAATATGCTGAAGCGTTGAGTTTTGATTACAAATAAATTAGCGCTTGTTTTTTTTTTTTTGCAGTCGTCGTGCAAAGGGTTCGTTTGCGACGGCGGTCGCTGCATATCGAAGTTGTGGACCTGTGACGGCGTTTACGACTGCAAGGACCGGACCGATGAGGACATAGACAATACGTGCAGTGAGTTTATTGAAGTGAAACTTCTTGTGCGACTTCCAGCAAGGTTGCGTTAAACATTTAATACTACCAGGGAGGGGGTATGAAAGCACTGTTGCGTTAAACGTTCCTGGGGAGGGGGAATAGAAAGAGACAGAGCGAGAGTGAATGCGTGGCACTCAAAGTTTCACTTCTTCCACGCGGAGGGACGCCACGCACTTTTTTTTAATCTTTTCACAGGAAGTTGCTAACGTAAGTAATATTTATTTTTGTATTTTGTGTGGAAGGGGTTGGGAAGTAAATCTCACGTGGACAACCACTCGATCGGAAACCAACAGCACCACATTCAGTAATACAGTCACATCAAAAGTTTTTGTCCTATTATTTATAAAAAAATCAAATTTTAAGTTTAATTTTGAGAATTAAATCTTAATCATAAAAGATATCAAACATCCGGCGTAAAGTGGAAGTATAATACTTTCGCGTTTCGACTGGTGAGTGAGGTGGCCGCAGCCCTATTTTCAAAAAATTGTCAACGCATCTGGAGCCCTGGGGTATAGCAGATGTCCATGGGTGACGGTATTCAACATCAGGTGAATCGTCAGCTCGTTTGGCAACTTTTCACATAAAAAAAATTATAAAGGATGTATAAGTAAAAAGTAAAGTAAAGTAACAGCCTATACATGTCCCACTGCTGGGCAAAGGCCTCCTCTGTACAGAGGGTATCAGGACATAGTCCACCACGCGGCCCCACTGCGGATTGGCGGACTTCACATATTTTCGAAATACATTTTTTTGTTATTATTTCGAAAATATGCAGGTTTCCTCACGATGTTTTCCTTCACCGGGGAGCACGTGATAATTCAGCACGTAAAGTTAAAAACTTCATTGGTGCCGGCACCGGGGATCGAACTCAGGTTGCTCGAGTATATACTGAATTAAAGGCGAGCGCCCGGACACTGAGCTATCACGGCTCTGTGTATAAGTAATGTATGATAATGCATCACACTACTACTGTAATTTATAGTACACAATACAGACAGATACTGTTTTATAACGTTTATTTTCTTCAATCTTGCTTCGTTAAGTTCGGGATTTCCTGGGCAACGCGGGAACTGCTTTTTAATTTAACACTGTTTTGCAGCAAGATAATATCATGTTGCCGTCATTACCAGGTCATTACCCAATGTTGTTCCTACGACATTAAAGTGGTTGCTGATGGCCTGAAGATGTGGGCTTATTTCACTTTCCCGACGGTACACCAAAAGTATTATACATTCTCTAAACTCCAATCTTATTACAATTTTTTTAAGTCTTCGCGCTACCGTATTAGCTCAGCGTATATTTATGCTCTTCGTAAATCGACATTAAGGTTTTGGATTAGATTTAAGATTCTAGAGATAAACAGAATAATGTAGTTCGATGATAATATGGTGTTATCATCGAACTATGGTCCAGATTATTTATTGATGTTATCATTACAGGGCACGCACTCTTCCCGCACACAGTAAACGATGGCCTCGCATGTAACGAATTCACAGGCCTAGGAACCAGGAACTATAAATGTCTGGATTCGTCTTTCTGTCTGTCCCAAGACCAAATGTGTGATGGCATCAAAGACTGCAGGGATGGTACTGATGAAGGAGCATTCTGCGCTAAATGTAAGTAGTAGCTAGTGAAAAAGAGAACAACACAAAGGGCAACGTTCAAAGGAATAGACTTATTTGGTCTCATCGCTATAAAGACGAGAAGATTTTTTTTATGTGAAAAGTTGCCAAGCGAGCAGCAGTTTCACCTGATGTTAAGTGAATACCGCCGCCCATGGACATCTGCCACACCCGAGGCTTTGCAGATGCGTTGACGTTTTTGGAAATTGGGCTCCGGCTACCTCACTCAGCAGACGTAACGCGATAGTATTATACTTCCACTTTACGCCGGTCTTCTGTGAGGCCGTGGTACTTACCCGGACGAGCCTGCCCATTCGTGCAACAGCCGAGGCTGCTGCGTGGCGCTACCACCGTATAAATTGGCAATTGGAGATAGCGAATATTGTGCAATATTTTTTGTTTAAATATTTTCTCGGAGCAGAGATGAGTCTGATATAATTATTTTCCCAAATTTAACCGTTATAAAAATAAGAAAAATGATTATTAATGTTCCGTAAGCAATACAAATACCTAGAAATGCTTTAGGTACATTGTTTAGACCAATTATCATTTCATCGTTTACATACAATTATCTCCTGATAAGACACCAATGCAAATTCAAATTAGAAATGTCCGGTGTAAGTTTTTTTTTGCGTTGAATACCATACCAGTGTTATTTTAATTACTTTCAGGGCATACAATGTGCTTGAACTTTACTTGCGGTGGAAATAACACGTCCTGCAGTCCAGAACGTAATGGACCGGTGTGCATTTGTCTAGGCTCGTTCTCATTGAAACAGTATAACTACACCACACACCAATGCGAGGTAACAATATTACAAATCAGCAGACCACTAAGTAGACCTCAAGTGGTCTGCTGTCATAATCATCTACTGCTTTCATCAGAATATGTCTGTCCAAAAGATTTTACACTGTAAAATTATATGTTGTTTGTCTTTTCTGTCTATCTGAGATGGCAAACTTCTGTCTCAATGAAAAGTCGAAAATAAAAAACAACTGTCCTATAGAAAGGTTGGCATTCTTTTTAGAATACAACATAAGACATTATCAGCTGAGAATTTCCATTTTAAGTTTCAGTGACCATAGTAACTACTACTTACGGTTTTACACTTATAATTTGAACCTGCTTCCTTTCGCTTTGTGTTTTTTTATTTTCTTGCTCTTATATAATTTACTATATTCCAATTACTAAGTACACTAAAATAATTCACAAGTGACTTGTGCACTTTGAATTTTGAAAACATAACAATGCAATTTTCATCCGCAGGACGTGAACGACTGCCAACAAGCGAGGCCACAGTGCTCGCATACCTGTGAGAACAAGAACGGATTCTTCACATGCCAATGCGACTACGGTTACGTGAAAGACGCATTTGGGTATCTCTGCTATGCGCCAGGTAGATAAACTCTTACTTTCCTCACTTCTTCAGCAGCTTCTACTGTTGCACGAATCAGTAGGCTGGTCTAGAGAAGCACAAAGCCTTCACGCCAGTCTTCTTGGAGATCCTAGAAGACCGGCGAGAAGTGAAATTTAATACTTTTGCCGTTTCGTCTCAATCGTGTTTTAATAAAGATGCCTCATTTCCATACTGTACGGTGTCTAAATATTGTTCCGCTTTACATTATATGACATATATAATTGAATATGACAGATGATATAGAATGAATGATACGGAAAGAGCTAGCAGTATATAGAATTGCAATCTAATTACACCGATTGCCGTAATTTGAGCTCCTCAGTTTCGGTGTCTACTTCGTATTTGCATAATATCATTGTTATTTCTATTAATCTCTCTATTAATATCATAATATATTTCGTTTGGTGAGCGAGGTTATCGGGGAGGTTATTTAAGGATTTGCAACGCCTCTGCAGCTCCACAGGATGCCATGAACGACGGGAATCACTCGACATGTAATGAAAGACGTACTTACAGTAATTGTGGGATATTGTGGTATTCATTTCGCGAGTCAAGTAAATGTTTACGAGAAATAAGTGTGGAATAGGAATCTATACTTATTACTTACGTTATGTAATATTTTCTTTGTATAACTTGTTTAATTTTCATGACAACTTTGTAAAAATTATCTATTTGAAATAAGCCACGCGGTCAATTTAAAATAAAATAGTTAACCTTTACAAATTTTTTCAAAGATATTATTTGCTGCATCCAGTGTAACATGTGCCTCTACATCTCCATTAGAGATTATACCTAATTATTTAGTCTAAATGAAGAGTGGGAATACAGTAAACAATATTTTAAGTTCATAATATACCATATAATCATATTTTAAGAATCAATCATACGTATATATAATATATGCATGATTGATTCTATTAAGATCATTTCAAACTTCAAAATCTCACGTCTCAGGTCCAGAGGCGCTACTGTTCTTCAGTACACGGAACGACATAAGATACGTTTCAGTGAAATCGAAGCAGCAGGTCGTTGTCGCGTCGGGAATTAAACAGGTAAAGAAAAAATATAATAAAATAAAAATATAATTACATGTATATAGTGCCTTATATTTCATGTTGTATAAAAATATAAATATCATGCTGGAAAGGATATAACAATAGATGCGCCAAGCATTGCTTCAAATGCTAAATAACAATGTAGAAAGAAGGCGTTAAGATTTTCGTCGCTGTAGCTATCAGCCGTTTAGCTCAGTGGCTAGAGCGTCAGGCCGCGAATGCCGAAGACGTGGGTTCGATTCCCACAGCGGCGACAATCTTTTCGTACTTTTTCTACATGTTTTAATAAAAATATCAAAATAAAGTAACAGCCTAAAAATGTCTCACTGCAGGGCAAAGGCCTCCTCTGCACATGTACAGGGTATTAGGGCATAGACCACCAGGCGACCCCACTGCGGATTGGCAGACTTCACGTATCTTCGAAATATTTTTTTATTATTGTTTCGAAAATTGCAGGTTTCGTCACGCGATGTTTTCCTTCACTGTTGAGCACGTGATAAGTCAGCACTTAAAATTAACAACAGGTTGTTCGAGAACGCTAAATTAAAGGCGAGCGCCCGGACACTGACCTATCACGGCTCATGTTGTATAAAGAAATGCAAATGGGTTAAGTAACGAATGTTCGTCAGGCTCACGGCGTATCTTACGATGGCAGCCATTTATATTGGGTGGAGACGGCTAAAGGCCACCAGTCCATTGTGAGGGCACAGCTAGACAACATCCACGATTCGAAAGAAGTAAGTGGTATATTAAACAGGTTTGGTTTTAAATTTAGGCTGATCGAGTGTAGCGAAGGTCCAGCTATTGCCATGCTCTTGAGTGGAATATATGGAACTTTTATTTTAATGTGAGGAGGTTGCAAGCAAGCTGATGGCTCAATTGTCAAGGGATTACCACCGCCCATGGACATCTGTATCACCGTAGCAGATATACACCTGGCATATACATCTGGGATATACATCTTGATTTAAGGGTTGGGTATACACCCAACCTTTAAATTAAGCAAACTCCAGTCACCTAACTCGCCAGATGAAATGCGATAGTATAGTATTTCACTTCGGCCAGAATGAGGTCACGGTCCTTCCGGGCGACGCAGGTTCTCTCGGGGCATGGCTGTTTCGGGAGGTACCCGTGCCGCTTGGCGGGAAGGGAGCCAACAGCGGTTTGCCACCACTGCGACGTATGTGTCGAGGAGACGGCCCAACACGCACTGGCGGGAGCAGCGACAAAAGCTGAGTGCTATCGTGGGGCAAGATCTCTCGTTGCCTGCCGTGGTTCGCGCTATGGTGGACAGCGAGAGGTCGTGGGGTGCTGTCCTTGCTTTTTGTGAAGACATAATCACCCGGAAGGAGGCCGCGGAGAGGGAAAGGGAGGCAACTGCCACCCTGGAAATCCGCCGCCGGAGACCAGGGCGCAGGAGGCTGGCCTACGCGCGCAACCTTCCCCCCTGATAGCAAGCGCCGGGGCGGCAGATGTGGGAGTAACTGCTGCCCCGCGGAGGGCTTGAGAGGGGGTGCCGTGTTCATTGCACCCACACGGCACCATTTGGCTGGATCGGGTGTCTCTAACACCCGGAGAGAGGAGGCCTGAGAAGGCCACAGTCGCGCCGGGGTTCGCGGAAGATTGCGTTTTTGTGATCCCGTGTCCCCGGCAAAGCGACAGCGCATATGCATCGTGGGTTTTTTAGTGGGTACCGTGTAACTCCCACATGCTGCCTACCCACAAGGTAGCGGGGATCCATAAAGGATTTTTCCCACGTAAAAAAAAAGGATGAGGTCACGGTACTGCTACGGACGACCCTGCCAATTCTTATTTTTTTTAATGTGAGAAAGTGGCAAACGAGCTGGCGGTTTTACATTTGCTACACCGGTTGCAGATGTGTTGTCGTCATCTTTTAATAATTTGGATCGGCTACCTCACTCACCAGGCGAAACGGAGAAGTGTAACACTTCTACTTTACGCCGGTGTTCGGTGAGGTCGTGGTACTAACCCGGACGGACCTGCCCATTCGTGCAACAGCAAACATTGTTAAAAGTTAATGCGTGGCCCCACCACAGTAAACATTCACAGAATCTGTATGTTCAGTTGAAATAATTATCGATTAATCTTTCTTGGATGGTATATCGATTTGATATATCTTAGTTCTTAGCCCCAAATCTTACGAAATAGACAAAGACAACTAATCTATCATATTTTATTCCGATATTTAAAAATAGCGATACAAACTAGTGCATTTAATCTTCTCAATGTGCAACAATGGCGTGCATGCTCTAAAAAACTGGCCAAGTGCGAGTCGGACTCGCGCACGAAGGGAACCATTGTCTATAAAAACGGCAATCTTTTGTATGGGAGGCCCTATTCTATTCTATTTTTTTGTATTTGTTCTTATTGCGGCAACAGAAACATATCATCTATGAAAATTTCAACTGTCTAACTTTCACGATTCATGAGAAACAGCCTGGTGACAGACAGAAAGACAGATAGCGGACTCTCAGTAATAAGGTGCCGTTTTACGCTTTGGGCACAGAACCCTAAAAACTTATCAGTTTCTCTAATTGATATGTGACAAAATAACAGGTCATTTAAATAACATCAAAACCGGTCTTCGAAAAGGATGTTAGACGTTAAGTTTATTTTCTTTAACTCGGATAAGTGACAACTTAGCTATGACTCGTGGTTTTCAGGGTTTTTTGTTTTTGCATGCGTATGATACGTTGAGTCATTCCGACACTCGCCTTTACCAGGTCCTTGTCGGTCTGGGCTTGGAAGACCCGGGCGACATAGCGGTCGACTGGCTCGGCGGGAACATCTACTTTAGCGACGCGGAACGCGGGATCATATCCGCTTGCCGCAACGACGGCTCCGTTTGTGCCACCATACGAACGGAGACTAGGCATCCGAAATTCGTGACCCTGGACGTCAAAAATGGGTAAGTCGGTGACACTTAAGGAGTCTAATGCTCCTTTTTGGCCTGGCATCGCCAGCGTCACGTATATTAAATGTATGCAATAAAATAATCATATCACAATAGAGAATATGAAAAATATTTAACACACAATGCGTTTAGATGCAGTTGAACCCATAATTATCTGATTAAAGACTGTTTTATGGGGAAGGTGCAGAAAGAGTCATCTCATATGAATGATATAAAAATAATTAGTCTGGTTGAGTGCGAGCTTGCCTTTTAAGTTTCATTAGGTCAATTTCAAATTATAATTCAAATATCTTTAATTTAATCTTTAATTTTTCAAAATACAAAAACCACTGACATTAGAAGATCCGAGATTTTTTTTTATGTGAAAAGTTGCCAAACGAGCAGACAGTTCACCAGATGTTTAATGAATACCGCCGCCCATGGACGTCTGCTGCACCCGACGGTTCCAGATGCGTTGACAATCTTTTGAAAATTGGGCTCCGGCCACCTCACTCACCAGATGAAACGCGAAAGTATTATACTTCACTACACTTTACGCTGGTCTTCTCTGAGGTCGTGGTACTTACCCGGACAAGCCTGCCCATTCAAGCAACAGCCGAGGCTGCAGCGTGGTCCTACCACCGTAAATTTTTTTTACCAATAATTTGACACTAAAATATGTTTTCGTTAATAACAATTCTCCATCGCTAACAACATTCCATTCCATTCGAACTAATAGGTTTTTCAAAGCTTACACTTAACATCAGGTGAACCGTCTGCTCGCTTGACAAATTTTTACCAAAAAAATCTTACCATCATTTGGAACGACCCAGTAAAAGCGAGTTTGTGATTTGACATAAAAAACTTACCATCATTTGGAACGATCCGGTAAAAGCTGGTTTGTGATTGGAAACTGTCGTTCAGTTTGATGTATTGGGCGGATTGGCACAACCGAGCGGTCATCATGGAGGCCCGCATGGACGGTACCCGGGCCGAGGTCATCGTGGACAGCCTCCAGGGCTTCGCCACCGGCCTCACCGTCGACCTGCCCAACGGCCGCCTGTACTTCGTGGACAAAACCATCAAGGTGGTGAAAATCGACGACAGGAAAATCTATGTGAGTGTTTCATTTATCACTAGTTCACAGTCCTGTCTCAACGTTTATGAGAATACCACTCGTACATTTTATATGTTTGTAGATTTAGTACTTCAAGTTAATTCAAAGCACCGTTTATCGACAAAGTGCTTAATTCAAAGTTAATTCAAAATGCTGTATGAAAGCGCTCATTTTATATGGTTATGACCGTTGTGAATATTTTACGAAATGGAGCAGAAATGGTCTTTGAAATAAATAATGACAAATTATGGCAATATATGAATGACATCTATCAATAAGAATTAATTTATTATTTTCGGCGTGCATATTATTTGAAAACGGGTAAAATATAACTATCTTCTATGAATATTAAGGCGGACAAATAAGAAATGTATAAATAAAAAAAAAACGTAAATTAAAGTAACAGCCTATATATATTTACCATTGCTGGGGATCGTCCGCCTCTCTACAGTATTAGGACAAAGTCCGCCAAGCGACCGCACTACGGATTGGCAGACTTCATATAACTTCGCAAAAAAATTTTTTTTAATACTTCGAAAACATAAGCCTGCATGTTTCCTTCACCGCTGAGCACGTGTTAAGTCAGTACTTAAAATTGTTATTAACTTTAATTGTTTTAAAATTTCATTGGGAATTAAAATCAGGTTGCTCGAGTATATTGAATCAAAAGCCAGCGCCCGGACACTGAGTTACCAGGGCTTCTATAAAATAAATAAAAATAATTGTAGATATCATAAACTTGTGTATAGTTATTAGGCGCTAAAAGCAATTGCCCAACAACGTCAATCATTTAGGACTTGTTCGGAACTGAATGGTTCCAAGATATGCATAAGAGAAGAGTTTTTTCGAGACTCAAAAGAGATAGTCATCCCTTCCTTTTACAATTCCAGCTCCTATTCGAGGAGCCCTTCCACCATCCGTACTCCATCGCGGTGTTCGAGAACACAGTGTTCTGGAGCGACTGGACCACCAACACGCTCCAGACCATGGACAAACTGCACGGCAGCTCCGAGAAGAGGAACGTTCTCTTGTCTCTGGACGTGCCCGTTTTCGGTGAGCTCGAAGATGGGAACAAATTTTCTCTATCACCCCGATTCTGTAGCAAATTCTCACTTGAGCAGTGGATCTGAATATATTAGGCCTAGAATATAATATTTCTATTGTTATCATATTATAATTATATGCCTTGTTGAATGATCCGTGTATTAGATTTTACTTGATTTATACTTAAAATAAAATAATCAGAGCTTATCAGCTTTGAAAAACCTAATACATGATTATGATGTTACTTCTTCACTATACAATAATGTACTAGGTACTCGATTGTTAAAGGAGAGAAATATTACAAACTCCCCGTCTTCGTACAGGTAGCGCTTATTATTTATCTAAAATATCTTTTGATCCGATTACTCCCAAACTTCACAGATTCACCCGCTGGGCTAATCTTTATTTATGTAAGAAGATGGCAAGCGAGCTGGCGATTCACCTGATGTTATGTGATAACCGCCACCCTTGGACATTTGCAACATTGAAGGGTTGCAGGTGGGTAGCCACCTTTTAATATAACTACCTCACTCACCAGACGAACCGCAGAAGCATAACACTTCCGCTGCACGCCAGGTTTTTAGGGCAATTTTTCCGAAGGCAAAATGCCAATAGATCGTCTAGGTCGCAGTGGTCGTTCGGACTTACCTGTAACACATATGTTGTTTGCATAGATTTTTTCGTAAGCAAATTGTGACTAAATTATAACGCGAAAGCACACCCCCGAAGATGCGCACTCTCATTTAGAGTTTACTCGGGAGACACTCGCAATTCACGGGCGGAATAGCTTTAGAATCGCAATATACGGAGTTATCGAGTAAATCTTTTAATACCGATATATCCTTCCAACAACACAAATAAAAAAACCCTTAACTACCCTACCCCGTTCACACAAAAATACAAACAGCCAATCTTTGCGCCGCAGACATGCACGTTTACCATCCGGTGATGATGAACCGTTCTTCGAACCCGTGCGAGCACGCGAGCTGCACCCACTTGTGCCTGATCACCTCGAACGCAACACACGTCTGCGCCTGCCCCGACGGAATGGAACTGGTGGCCGATGGGAGCTGCAAGCGTGAGTGCTTCATATCCTTCTAGTGATATAGCAATAAGCTTGTATCCAGCCAATAATGTGTCAATTCGGTTTCTAAATTAATCAAATGAACGATTGAAAGTTTACGTCTGTCCGAATTTTGAATCGTTTTAAAGATGCCGTGGACTATCGAGCTCAATACCTGGTGATCGGCGGAGGCGCCTCGTTCACCCGTCTGAAGTACGACGCACTTGGCAACCCGGAGAGTCACGCCACCCACTTCGACATCGGCAGGGTTCAGGCAATGGCCCACGACAACGTCAGGGGTAAGTTTACTCGATAGGTTACGAGTGTGTTACATCCCTAGCGTCTAGCAGAACTGCTGAATCAAGATACAAGCTACAAGCTACAAACTTCGATTCTTGGCAACCCAGTGAGTCACGCCACCTACTTCGACAACGGCATAGTTCAGACCACTACGTTAGGAGTGAGTTTACTCGATAGCTTACGAGCTCGCTAATCAAGCACATTCAACGGCCATCGGGGTCACGGTCTGTACCGAACCTCGATGGCCCGTAGGCGACATGCCATAGTTAACGCACGCATGAGTACATGCGCGGCCCTACCCACTGAGTAGGGCCTCAAACCCGTGGGTTCTGGCTAGCCCACCGGTTCTGCGTTCGATGAAGCTTTAATAGTCTAAGGACTGAAAGCGTAAAAACAGTATATAATAAAAAAACAAAACAAAAGAGTTTCTTCTAAGGACTGATAGCGTAACAACAGTTAAATAAAAAACAAAAAAAAAGAGTTTGTTACAAGGCGGTTACTATAAGCATATAGCGAAAATAATTTCTTGATTTTTACACAAATATTATAGGTGATTAAATAAAACTATTTTTCGGATTTTATCGCGATTTAATTTTAATTTTTAATTCCCGACGTTACAAACCCATTCCAGCGATTAATTGCATGTAATTTCCCCCGTTGTCCAATTGGTCAAATACCAAGTCCGCTTCAGCATTGACGCCATTGGCGAGTGTGTAATGTTAGTTCCAATGATATTATATACAAATGCAGTAGGTAAACTAAAATTATATGGACTAGACTGACTGTAGCGCGTGGACTTGAATAGAAAATAAAATTCTTGACATAGTTTCACTTGTCCACATTATGGTATTTAATTAGATATGCATAATTATAATTGTCATACGACTTCAAGAAACTCCTCTCTTCAGAAAGCTTGTATATTTATATGGGTTGTATTTTTAGGATTCCGTACCCAAAGGGTAAAACGAGACCTTATTACTAAGACTCCGCTGTCCGTCCGTCTGTCACCAGGCTGTATCTCATGAACCGTTATAGTTAGTTGAAATTTTCACTAATGATGTATTTCTATTGCCTCTCTAACAACAAATATTTATAAACAACTAGCTGACCCAGCAAACGTTGTTTTGCCATATAAAATATTTGTAGGGAATTTATGAATCTGAACGCATAGAAAAAGAATTTTCAGAATAGGAACGTACGCATAAATTGTTTGACACGTAGGAACAGTTTGTATGGGAAAATACAATTGTTGCTATTTCGAATTTCCATGCAATCTTTTCATAGATTTTCATCGTTTAAACCTTCCCTAGACTGCCACAAATATTTCAAAACCAAAATTAGCCAAATCGATCCAACCGTTCTCGAGTTTTAGCGAGACTAACGAACAGCAATCCATTTTTATATATTAAAAAGGGCTCCCATAAAACATACATGATTTTTGCCTTTTTTATAGATAATAATGGTACGGAACCCTTCATACGGGTGTCCAACTCGTACTTAGCCGGTTTTTTAAATATTTGTTTCCTCAGATATCCTGCATTTATAAAAACGATTTCGAAGATTATTGTTCTGTTGGAAAGCAGATATTTACAATAAATTATTATAATTTCCTCAGATAAATACAGATATTCACTAAAGTATTATGTTTTATATCGACAGATGTTCTTTACGTTTACGATGGACAGCGTAAGAGCATAAACTACATAGGTATGGAGGAGTTCACACTGGGCGTGACCCATCTGTTAATATACAGCGGCTTGGAGAACGTCGTCGATATGGCCTATGGTGTGTACAAGATTAATCTTAAATTATCTAGAAATTTAAGTTTTTTATAGTGCTAATCTCTGCACTTAAGATTAAACATTAGAATGTGTACGAAAAGTTTGTCGCCGCTGTGAGAATCGAACCCACGGCTTCGGCATTCGCAGCCTCACGCTTAGCCACTAAGCTAAACGCCTGATTGACACCGACGAAAATCTCAACGTCATTTGTCTATATTGTTTTTTTTTTTTTTTCGCATTTCTAACAATGCTTGGCGCATCCATTGTTATATCCATTACAGCTTGCAAACAATTTCGAATATCGTTTTACAATGATAATTCGAACGAGAGATGTCCCATTGCTACTTGAAATTTAAATTTTTATAGGACATATCTCCGCACTTATGATTAAACATTAAAAAGTAATAAAAGTAAAAAAAAAATAATTTGAGCACTTTTACGTGTGACACTAACTAAGCGACACTAACTGTTAATAATAAGTTCCCTTAAAAGTTTTTGTTCAATAAATGTTATTCTCTTCTAATTGTTCTTATGATATTTTTACATTAATTTAGATTACGCGACTGACTCGCTGTATTTCCTGGATTCGGGACGGCGCGTTGTAGAAGTGGTTTCCTTGAGGACCCAACAGAGGGCGCCGTTGTATCGCTTCCGCGACGGAGAGATCCCCGTCAGCTTGTGTATCATGTCCGACTACGGGTAAGTATACTCTAATGAGAGATGGTTGCAAACAATGATGTTTTAATAAAATAACGCATGTCCACACTGCGCGGCGTTCGAAAATTGTTATGCTATACCCGCGTTATCTTCCTCTTGGTTGCAAGTTTCATCTGATGTTAAAAAATACCTCTAAATATTCTTAGCCCATGCTAACTAACTGCCATCAGTTGCCTTGCCACCTTTTTAGAATATTCCAGTTAAATCGCTCACTTATAATCTGTCAGTTGCAAAATTACTGTTTCATGTGAACTGCTCCTAACTTTGTCATGTGAGAAGGTGGCAAGTGGGTAGGCGGTTCACCTAATGTTTGGTGAAGACCGCCTTCAGTAAATTTCTTTAAAGCCTTGGGGTTTGCTGATGAGTTGCCAGTCATCTCAATCACCACTTAGGTATATGTTTTTGATGGGTAACAGACTGCCAAGTATTGGCTAGAGGTCATGGGAGTCTGTAGAGCCAGTCCCGTCACGTAGCAAGCCTTCTGACTGCCAGTGGTGGACCTGGCTTATGGTTCCACCGGTCACTATGTTTCTCTTCCACCACTGACGTTAGGGATATAGCCCCTCCGAGTCGCAAGGGATGAGGAAATTGGCCAAACGCAAAGCCAGCATCCCCTCCTTCCACACGAGACCATCTGGATTGCAGAATACAGGGAGTATGACTATTCCTCTACCACCCGCGATCTGAGCCCGGCATCTAGAGTGGCCCAGCATCTAGAGTGGGCTCAATGAGCCCAGTTGGCACAGAGAGGCGTAATCTTGGCTTCGCTATGGACCAAGCCATGGTTACTAAGCCAGGCGGGAACCTGGTCGAAGTGGACAACATAGTCTTATGAATGAATTGCAGGAGGATGCTTGTGGCACTCGTGGAGAATGAAATGGGCGACGAGATCCACGTGGACAGTTTCGGACTCGACGGCGAAAATAGGAAACACGTCCTGTTGAACAACCTAATGGGTACGTTGAACGAAAATGTCGTTATTTGGATGATTTTCCTTTAATGTTAGTAAATACTATTACAATAATAACAATAAATAAGCTAATGGTAGACGGAGTTTATTTCACAGACCAAGTTGATTGAAAACGTAACACGTGTACATCTCTAAGACAGTATAAGAACCGGCGATCTTTAAATTGCAATCTTTTTAAAATTACCGCATGACTTTTGTTAATATTTATTTTGTTATTCTAAAAGTGTTTTCAACACTTATACACGTACACAAAAATATTTATATAAGAAGACTTCATTGTAGATCCATATGTAAGATCAACTCTATAATCTAACCACCAAACTCATATTTATTAACGGATTTACACACTTGTATAAATTTTCTACTAACAATTATATCAGTTCAGTGCATGGGATGTGATAAGCCAGTTGCTCTACAGCTCATAAAAATACATTAATAATCACCAGGTCCGTACGTCCGTCTTCGTTACGCCCAGAACATGGATGTGGTGTTCGTGTCCGACGAGGGACGCGGCACCATCGATTTCGTCCATCCCGAAGGTGAATTCTTAAAAATAATTACTTAACACATCATCATCACTTCTGCATTCCATCATCATCACTTCTGCATTCCATCACCATTCAAATCTTTCTCTCAACATAGTTCTTCTGCAGAGATTTTATAAGGTTTATTTCTATGTACCAGTAAACATAACTTAGATATTATTATATTGATTATCAATGCGCTAAAAGGTCACCACCTAATGTATTCTTCTTCAGCGAGGAAACTCGGCTAATACATTTGCTTTGTTGTAATTAGATGGAGTGAAACTATTATACTATTATTAAATATATATACTATGAACTCTAATAGCCCTAGCCCTGGTGCCCTGCACCACCTGACCCTACGATAGCGACGCCACTGTAGACGTGGTGAATCTTTTTTCTTTATTTTCTTTTTTTAAAAATTGCACCTTTTTATGTGAAAAGTTGCCAAGTGAGCAGACGGTTCACCTGATGTTAAGTAATACTGCCGCCCATGGACATCTGCTTCGTCCAAGGGTTCCAGATCTGAAGAACCACCACCCAGATCTGAATCAATTATCCATGGGTCACACAAATACTTGCCTCTGTGGCAATCTAACCCACGACCCCCGGCGCCGGAGCCAATACCTTGACCACTGCGCCACGGAGTCTTCAATCCGCGGGATCATTGCACTCTCACAGGAACCGGCAGGGAGAACTTCCGCGAGATGTCGAACAGCATCGCGAGCCTGGCGGCCACGGACAACCACGTCTTCTGGACGGACAGGCGCACCGCCAAGCTGTTCTGGTCTGACGTCCACGAGGTGACGCACAAGATACGCCGGATCGAGCTATGTGAGTACAACAGCGCTCTGTGGTAGGGCCACGCGGCTTCTGTTGCACAAATGGGCATGCTCTCTGTGGTAAGGCCACGTGGCCACTGTTGTATGAACGGGCAGGCTCGTCCAGAGAAGGAATGCGGCCTCACAGAAGACCGGCGTTAAGTGGGAGTGCTTCGCGTATCGCCTGGTGAGTGAGGTGGCCGAGGTCCAGTTTATATGCTGGCGACGCATCTGCAACTCCCCGGGTGTGGTATGTAGCAACCCTAACTTCAAACAATCAATCATGCGCAACCTCTTCGTTATTTCAGCGATCTTCCCCAACAATACGCAGCTGCACGTACTAGCCACGACCGCGGCCCCCAGCGCGGACAGTCCGCTGGTGAAGCATCCCTGTCTGACCCGGAACCTGTGCTCGCACGTGTGCGTCCAACAAGCCCACCCTACGCCCCACCAGTCCCCCACCAACTTCACCATGGGACACCGTTGCCTCTGTCCCCCTGGTTTGCTGCTGAAAGACGGCAACTGCACGAAAGTCGTCAGCTGTAGGGACGACGAGTTCTACTGCCACAGGACGAACGAGTGCTTCTCGATGAGCCAGAAATGCGACGGGAAGAAGGACTGCCTCTTCGGGGAAGATGAAGAAGGTTGTGCGGGTGAGAGACATATTTTCGTTTGGATTAGAGCGTCACTCAAACAGAAGTAGGATATTAATAATTCTGCTAAATCAACTGTTAGTAACACTTAATTAAAAGTTGAGAACATTAGCTTGTGTTGATGATGAAAATGGAAATGTTGAAATTGGCAAATGGGGCAAACAAATTTAGAATCTTAAAGATTTTTTCCGCCTATGACATGGCAGTTTCGAATCTTGTTATGTTTATTTTATGATTATGAATATTCAAAAAAAATTAAGTAAGCAAATCATTTCATAATTAATCTTCACAATGTTATTGTACGTTTTAGTTGAAATTCTTCTATATGAAAAATTTAAATAATTTTATACATTTAATATTCTGCCAGTAGCTCTTAAGTCAGCATATTTTTTTATGTTCATAGTTCTCTCAAATGTTTATCAAGATGACACTGGGAAACTGGGAATAGGGAAACTGTTAACCCCGAAATACAAGGAAATTATTTATGTCCGTTAACTTTTCTGTTTTTCGGTACGCCTTGATATTACAATTACGGTGGTAGGGCCACGCAGCAGCCTCGGCTGTTGCACGAATGGGCAGGCTCGTCCGGGTAAGTACCACGATCTCACAGAAGACCGGCATAAATTGGAAGTATAATACTTTCGCGTTTCGTCTGGTGAGTGAGGTGGCTGGAGCCCAATTTTCATAAGGTTGTCAACGCATCTGGAACCCCCGGGTGAAGCAGATGTCCATGGACGGCGGTATTCACTTAACATCAGGTGAACCGTCTGCTCGCTTGGCAATTTTTCACATAAAAAAAGAAACAAAAAAAAAAAGTTTTTCTTCGATATGTCAGTTTTTCCATTGCAAGAGTCTACCGTCAGAATTACCTGGATTTCCCAGGAGTAGTCCATAATTCATTAGTGCTAAAAATACCAATTGTATTCAGTGCCAGGCCCAAATAAACATGATGAAACAGTCTGCTCCCCGATGGAAACACTCTGCGATGGAGTTTGCATCAGCAAGAACGAGATTTGCAAAGCGCACTCGCCTCCTGATATGCGTGAGTGTGATTATAGTTTTCTATAAAACCATTATTGGCAGAATAGAATTCCTCTAATATAATGCGCCGAAATCTTTTATTTATTCTTGTTTTTCTTCTTTTGGTCCCACTATAGACATAGACCTTGTGTTCTTTGGCTATGATGTTCTTTATTTCCTCGTTGTTCGTTACCACTGAGTATGTTGTGTTATCGGGTTGGACCCCCGGTGGTTCCTAGGAACGAAAAGACGAAGGACGTGGGCGGTTCACAGTCAGTGAGGGGTCCGTTTGTGTTTACAGTGGAGTGCAGCGCCACGCAGTTTCTGTGCCTGGACGGCGCCGCGTGCGTTGAGAGGGCGCTGGTGTGCGACGGCCGCGCCGACTGCCTCGACGCGTCCGACGAGCGGCCCGCCTCCTGCGACACCCTCTCCTGCTTCACGACGGAGTTCATGTGAGCTATCCCATCGCCAACTTCTTCTTCTACCTGGCATTAATCCCCGCTATTGCCGCCGCTAGGGTCTGGCTTCCTAATAACTCCTCTACTTTGCCCGCCCCTTGCGACACTCTCGCCTGCTTCGCGACAGAGCTATCCCATCACCAACTTCTTCTACCCTCTTCTGACCACTTTTTCCTTGACCACGCAACAGTATTCGGTGTTGCACGAATGGGCAGGTCCGTCCGGGTTGGTACCACGGTTAAGTGGAAGTTTTATAATTCTGTGTTTCGTAATGTGAGTGAGGTGACCGGAACCCACTTTGTTAAAAGGTGTGTGCAACGCGAAACCTAGATGTGTAACACTTCTACTTTACGCCGGTCTTCTGTGAGTTCGTGGTACCAACCCGGACGGAACTGTCCATTAGATCAACAGCGAAGCCATACTTAAACATTTATTTTTATATACAAAAGAAAAGTAAACGTTTAAGTATGTTTACTAGTTATCTAGTACACATAGTACAAGCGTTGCTTAGTTTGGGACTAGAGAACGTTGCGAAAATTAATATGAGTCTTAAATATTTATTTAATGCTTCTACATTGCCAGGTGCGCGTCTGGCTCCTGCATACCGATAAACTGGCGTTGCGACGGAAGCGAGGACTGCGTGGATGGCTCGGATGAGGTGGAATGTGGTATGGTTATTATTAAGTTATTTGATGACTATAGCTCCATTGTCCGGGCGCTCGCTTTTAATTCAATATACTCGAGCAACCCGAGTTCGGTCTCCGGTGCCGTCACCAATGAAATTGTTAATTTAAGTGCTGTTATAGACACCTGGGTGTTTGCAATTGCGTGCCCGACCTCCGTCCAGAAGAGATTGGTTCCTCCCTTTTGGATTGGACCTCCGTCTGGCGATTAAGATACCCCTGGCCCAATTTATTAAAAGGTGGCAACGCATCTGCAACCCCACTGGTGTTGCAAATGTCCATGGACGCTGGTTATCACTTAACATAAGGTGAACTGCCAGCCTATTTCACGTCTTCTCACATAAAAAATAATTTCTGTCTTCCAATGGGCGTGCTGACATTCAGTACAGAAGGGCAGCAGTGAGCACTTAAGGGGTCTTCTCCATGGAGACAGAATACCTTTGAAACAGGTAGATATAATTTAAAAAACTAAAAAAAACGCGTTCCTGTGTAATTTGGAAATTATTTTGATATACCCAGTGTCAATCACACACAGTAAATACGAATCTAACGTCACCTCTCAAGCTTAAATGCATCATATCCTTCAGACTGCCGAGCGTGCCAAACAATTATACTTACATACATACTCTCGAAAGACATAACCCTTCTGCTGCCGCAGTCGGGTAAAAAGGCTTGCTTACAATTATCCAATGCGATTTTAGAGAATAGGACCTGTGGCCCTGGCCACTATCAGTGTCGCAATGGCGAGTGCATCGAGCTGAGCAAGCGGTGCGACAACGCGACTGACTGCTTCGACCAGACCGATGAGGATGGGTGCGGCCTAAACGAAGGCTTTGAGGCTTTGGTGAGTTTAATGCAGTTTTTAACGTTATAGAACTTGCTTACTCTGTATACCCCGATGAGACAGAGGATAGAGGTTTGAACTGGTTGAAAATACAGCATAATCTCGTATTATTGTTCTTCGCTAGGTTTAGTTTGTAAAATCTAGTTTGTTTCGATAAACTCTTGCTAGTGATCTATAAATAGCCAAAATTTTAAATAGCTCGTCATTACAACAGGAAGAGAAAACCCGTTGCCAGCCAGGGGAGTATGTCTGCGAACGCAACCAAAGCATCTGTTTACCGCCAACAGCTCGGTTAGATCACAAAACTTTGTTGCCTTGGGTACATTTTCTGTTCGAGCGATACAAATACAACACTAATTTCTCCACATTGATGTTGCATGCGGGTTTGTGGAGTGCTGGTGTCGGATGAACAATTGATTTTAGATATTAGATACTAACTTATTTAACAGAATATAAAAATAAAGACATAATTATTAATATCAAAGATTAATAAATAAGTGCGACATTCCGAAATTTAAAAATGATGTAGCATGTATGTTCATAGCAATTTATACAAACAGTTCTGGCGAGATATTTATAGCTACATTGGCATAAAATACTAGAAGTTCGGTTGAGGGAAATACTGCTATACAATAAAATATGCAAATGCCCTTAATAAATGCATACCCCAAATATATTATTGACGTTACCCATCTGGAGTAATTCGTTCTATATTAATTTTTGAACATATGTATGTACCTTCTGTATGCATATAAATTACTATGGTGATTACGGTGCAAGGTAATAATAATATTAAGTATTATAATTTATCGTCATATTCCTGCCCTTATCCCACCTAGGTGAGATAGGCATTGTTGAATGTTGTAAGAGTAATCATGTTGTAAACCTTTTTGGCTATATTTTTTACGATCGGCCTTTCTTCCCTCGGGAAACAAACTCCCAAATCCGAAACAGATATGTGTGGGTCACACAAATACTTTTCCCGTGTGGCAATCGAACCCACGAATCCCGACGCCGAAGCCAACAGCTTAGCAACTGCGCCGACAAGTCATTTGGTCTAAAAATGGAGCATTTGGACTTATCGGAGATTGTTGATCCCAGTTTCTATAACTTTCGTGCGGATCCCATAAAGGAGCATTTGTGCCTTGGCGATCGGGAATCCCACTGCGACAAGTAGTGACCGAAGTAAACATTCCGCCGCCGGTACAGCTGCAACGCGAAGGTCGAGTGTCCGGGCGGCACGGACGAGGCCGGCTGCGACTTCCGGTGCGCGCCGCACGGGCTGTTCGAGTGCCGGCAGCAGCTGGCGTGCGTCGCCAGGGCGATGGTGTGCGACGGCCGCAACGACTGCTCCGACGGCTCGGACGAGACGCCGGACGCGTGTCGGAGGGGTGAGTGGGGGGTCGCTAGGTTTGACTGTGTTTGGGCCACTGTAATGAGTACCAGTGAACATAAGCGTATATAGCAGGGGGCCGGGTGGGCCATGCCCACCCCAGTATTCTCGAATTTTCTCTACTATAATGTGAATAAGGTTTGATTTTTTTTGTAGTAATGGCCTAGGCCCACCCTGGAAAATGGCCCTAGATACACCAATGCCGGTGCATCATGCACCCGAAGGCTGGGTTTGATAAGACCCCAGACGACTTGACTGTGTTTGGGCCTCTATAACAAATACTGGTAGAGGTTGGCTTGGATGAGACCATGGACGCATGTCTTAGGGGTGTGTGTGCGATACCCAGGCGTGACTGTGTTTGGGTCACTGTAACGACTACCAGTAATACATCAACCACATGAAGGCTGGCTTAAATGAGTCCCCGGACGCGTATCGCAGGGGTGAGTGAGGGGTCGCCAGGCGTGACTATGGTTGGGCCACTGTAATGAGTACCGGTAGTCGTTATAGTGGCCCGTTATCACCTGACCAAAGATCATCACAAGATCACGGACGCCTGTCTTAGGGGTGAGTGGGGACAGGAGTTTGGGCCACTATAACAAGTACTGGTAGTCGTTAAAATGGCCTTTTTTGGTATCGGGGGTAAATTTTCGAAAGATACCCTGTAACCTTGATTGTACCCAAGATAACTTTACATGACAGGGTTATGTGGGGTTCTTAGCCACTAAAACCCCTTCGGTGGCCACCTTCTGTACATATGGAACGCACCGGTGTCCCTCGGTTCTACGCCTGAGCACGCATCGGAGAAGGATAAACCTTCTCCGATTCCTTCACCCTCTTGCAGCAGCACGAGACCACTTCGTGCTGCTGCCCATCCGGGTACCTTTTTAGTCACCTTTTACGACAGGCCTTTTATTCTATGAGCCCGGGACTACAGGGCTGCATTATAATGGCCTATCATCCACAACAATCACACGGAGATTGGAAACCTTGATATTCCAAAGTTTTGTAACTGAGAATTTTTTGGTCAAAAAATCTCAAATGCGCGACACTTGTATCCATGGACTTCCCGCATATTGCACCGGTCGTCGGGGGTCGTCGTACACTGCGATGGTCAGTACGCGTCTGCCACTCGAGAACCTTTCTTCTCCAACGGTTATGTATTATGCTCCAGCAGTGCACTCAAACAGGCTGAAATGATGGTGATGAATGATTACATTTCCGGCAGTTAACAAAACATTGTCCCACGGCGACTTTTATCCGGCGGCCGAGTGTCACAACGGCTACCTATGCGACAACGGACAGTGCGTGGAGTGGATCGAAGTATGCGACGGCACGCCGAATTGCTTCGACGGCACCGACGAGAACGGGATGTGCGGTAAGTGAATGACGCCGGAGAACGAATGACGGGAGTGAGTGGAGAATGAGTGAGGCATTCATTCAATGGACGCGCACGCGTAGGTACATTTGTTAACGCCCCCAAATATGTCTAATATTATTTCATCACAGGTTGGTCCGTGGGTTGTACCCATACTTAAAATCGTAATCAACTTTCGGCGCACTAAGAGCATCTTTTTATAAAAAAAATAACTTCCGTATGTTTGTGTCCACAAAACTCAAAAAAACTAACAGTTGGAGTGACTTGATATTTGTTCACAACGTATCTATTGAACAGGAGAGCGTTTTTATATACTCTTTATTCCGAAGTTGGAAGTGGCAACGGGGCATTCTTAATGAATGGGTACTCCGATGTTGGGGAGAAGTATTTCTTCTTTCACTTCGAAGGTTATTTCTTTATTGCTCTGTGCGATAAGCTCTGCCATTTCTCGTTTCCGACCTAGCCATTTCACGGGCTGCTTCTGTTTGCTCATGTTTTTGATATGTGCGAAGTAGGGGCCTACTTCGTGACATACTAACGCGTTCTTCCCGTGCGATTTCTCGTTCTTCGTCCATAGTCAAGAACATATTTTTTTTGTTTGTAGTTTAAATGTATATACCTAAGATGTTGGGACTGTTATGTTGCGTATTTGTGCAATAGATGTTCTTTCTTTCATTACTCGCATACCTCGCTGTCTAGCCACACTAAAGACTTGTGTTTTGCAGAGGCGGGATGCGTGGCACTGCGCTGCGCGCAGGGCTGCCACTCGACGCCTCGCGGTCCTCGCTGTACGTGCGCGCGTGGCTACCGCTTCCAGCCCCCGGCGGGCTGCGCTGACGTGGACGAGTGCGCGATGGCCGTCTGCTCGCAGGGCTGCCGCAACACGCCCGGTTCCTTCATCTGCTCCTGCCACCGCGGCTACGCGCTCAGGTGAATACGCACTTGGATAGACGCTCGTATCGCTTTATTAGGGTAGATAGTAGATAGAGCTACGCGCTCAGGTGAATATGCATTTAAATAATCGCCCGTATCGCTTTATTAGGGTAGATAGTAGATAGGGCTACGCGCTCAGGTGAATACGCTTTTGTATAGTCGCCCGTATCGCTTTATTCGTGCAGATAGTAGATAGGCTACGCGACCAGGCCACATTCTTTTAGAACAAAGACAAATTCAAAATCATCGCTCTCGACTTTGCGGCTGTGCATGATCTTAAAGACCGAAACAAAACTCGCTCAGTTCCCTCACCCGACCATTGTTAGGAAGTGTCCTGCTTTTACCCTGGCCGCATTGACCAGGTCGGACCGTCGCTCCTGCAAGGCGGTCCGGGGCAGCGTGTCCGTGGTGTACGCGTCCGGAAACGCTGTGCGCTCCGTGTACCCGGACTACAAGGTGCGCCTGGAGTACCACGACGCGGCGGTGGGCGCTATCTCGGACCTCGACGTCAACGTCAGGTGCGATGCGATGCGATGCGATGATATACCTTTTTTTTTGTGAGGGAAAAATCCTTTTTGGATTCCCTGCCACTGGATCGGGGGAGTGGCAGGGGTATGTGGGAGTCCCGGTGAGAAACGGGTACCCACTAAAAAACCCACGTTGCACCTGTCTCTGTCGCATCGGCCGGGGACACGGTAACACGTGGACGCAATCTTCGGCGAAGGTGCGATACGACCCAGCTTACACTGTGAAATGACATCGCGACAGTCATCAATCTCTGAAATGACGGACTGTCTACGCAAGTGGTAAACCGCATCACATCCGAGTCTTAAGAAATATTTTAATAGTAACAATATTAGTCTATTCACTCAAAGAGGCTGAAATGATGAATATTAGTCTATTCACTCCAATAATTTTACATAATAACTAACGCTAACATATTGATAGTGAATAGACTCGATTCCTCAATTTTACTGGTAGACTACCTTAATTTTACTGCTAGTCTCTACATTTAAAATGAAACCACTTAGCTTAGTGGCTAAAGCTTCTGGACGCGTAATCAGGAAGGCCCCGGCTTAAATCGTAACATCTACAATAATGTATTCGACAATTTTATAAATATATCTTCGACAATTATCTTCGTCCCCTTGTGTTTGTACAGGTGAACTGGGTAGACAATTCACCTAATCCTAATGTATTGTTATTACATTACCTTAAAATTTTAAGACATTTTAAGACTTCGAGTCCCGTTTTCCACACTTAGCAGACGAAAAATATATATGCTTCTTATTCTTCTATATGCCCCTCTTCTGCCTCTTGCGCCAAAGGGTGTGGGTGGATCCACACTACTGGAAAAATATTGCGTTATGAACATATATATGTTTTTTTTTATAGTGTACGGGTGTTTATATATCTATAATATGTATTTATTTACAAAACGAAAAGTACGTTTAAGTATGTTTATCAGTTACCTAGTATTCATAGTCCATAGAACAAGCTTTGTTTATTTTGGGACTAGATAACGTTGTGTAAACATGTGTGCCAAAATATTTTTTTTATATCGTTAAATGTCTTCAGGAAGAGTCTGTTATACGTGGCTTCAGCGTCGACCGGCAAGCTAATAGAAGTGAATGCGACGCGTAACGTCGTCTCCATCACTAACATCGGGCTACCGACGAAGGCAAGTCTCTTGACAATTCTCTAACGGCCGGTTTCTATATTCTACCTACAGATCGATTGGGTTACTAACGATAGGATTTGATAAATGCTCCAAAATTCTATCTCCAGTAACCTAAATCTATCTGTAGATAGAATATTGAAAATGTTTGAGTCCACAAAACTCAAAAGATTATCGATGAATTGACTTTATATTTGATCACAACTTAGCCATTGAACAGGAAGTGTTTTTATTCCGAAGATCCAACGGAAACGAAAAAAAGCCACAGGCGTTGCCGGGTTCGGCTGTCTCGTTCGTGTAGTGTTCTTTATGTTAATTCTAATTCAGTTTATATGTCTGTTTGATTAAAATTAATTTTGCTTTATTTAGATTAACGATTATGTGTCTAGCTTCAAGCTATAATACTCCTGCACACGCAAATTTACGAAATACTGACGTCGTCATAACCCATGACAATTTGCAACTTGCAGGTAGCGGTTGAGTGGATAACCGGCAACGTGTACTTCGTGGACAGCACGCCGGATAAGAGCTGCTTAAGGGTTTGCAATGTGCAGAAGAGGAGGTGCGCCAAGCTGCAAACGCTGCCTTCAGACACCGAGGTGAAAACTGTTTTTCTTTGTTTTGTTATGTTTGATTGTTTTCTTTAATTTACCCACAATACAGGGAGGCTTTTCTAAGTTTATTCATTTTTTTTTTATTAAATTCTAGACATAAATAATGTTATATAAAAATGATAAATATTTAAAATCCCGCGTAATTAATTAATTACATTCATTTTAAGTTATCTCAAAAATTGCGTGATTTATGGGCAACTCATTTATTTTACGCGCGATCATTTATAACAAACACGCACACAACTTCGTTTCAAAAGTATACGACTCATTTATGAATGACTACCGCATTGACAACAAGGTTTTTTAAGGAATGGAATGGCAATTTTTTTTTGAAAAAAAAAAAAAAAAAAAGGTTGGTTTTTATTTCAATAAACGATTATACTATCGAGTCTGAACCTCCTGAATTTGGGCACCTTTAAAAAAGCCACCCTGTATAATACAGACAATTGGAACAAATGATAAAAACACATCCAAAGGCGCGCTTAACCCTAAAGAGTTTGACTTTTTTTTTTTTTTTTTTTGATAAAGTGGCAAACGAGCTGGCGTTTGACCTGATATTAAGTGATAACCGCCATGGACATTTGCAACACATTTGCAGTAAGGTTGCAGATGCGTTGCCACCTTTCGACAAAGTGGGCCCCGGCTACCTCACTCACCAGACGAAACGCAGAAGTGAAACACTTCTTCTTCACGCCGGTCTTCTGTGAGGTCGTAGTACTAACCTGGACGAACGTGCCCCAACGTGCAACAGTGTTGCACACATCTTAAATCTTTTTTTTTATGTTTTTAGTATTTTTTGCTATAGCGGCAACAGAAATACAACATTACCTGTGAAAATTTCAACTGTCTAACTATTACGGTTCATGAGATACAGCCTGCTGACAGACAGAGGGACAGCGTAGTCCTAGGGTCCCATTTTACTGTTTGGGTACGGAACCCTAAAAAGGGTGAAATTGTCGTACACTATATTTATGAAAATTTCATACAATTATGTAGACTTTCAATAAGGACAAGACCAAATGGGTAAAAGGTTGGGTATATCAGACTGCATCATCATCCTCATCATCATATCAGCCGTAGGACGTCCACTGCTGAACATAACCCTCCCCCATTGACTCACTTCGACCGGTCGGTAGCGGCTTGCATCCAACGCGTCCCTGCGATCTTGGCTAGGTCGTCCGTCCACCTTGTGATACTGTCAGACTGCATACACACTTATTATAGTTATGAATATTCGTTCCTTTTTATAGTTTTTCACTACTATACATACCATCTTAGCTGAGGGATAGCCCTAATCTTAAACCTTTATATTCAACATAAACTTAAAAAAAATCAGCTCGCTAATGGCGATAAACATGATGTGTGGTCGAAAACATTTGCAAGGTGACCGCGCTGGTTGTGGATCCGGCGGTCGGGCGAATGTTCTACTGCCTGCGCTCCTCGCTGGAGGCGATCGTCAGGGGTGCCGCGCTAAGCGGCCGGCGCCCCAGCCGGCTGGCAACCCTAGCGAGCTGCACCGGGCTCGCTGCCGACCCCTACGCGCGCCGCCTCTACGCCGCCGAGACGGCGCCCTCCCGCCTCGTAGCTATGGACTACGACGGCGGCAACATGTGAGCCTGCCCTTATTTTGCTACAGCGTAGTTATCTCACCCTACGGCGTAGCAAACTTTCTTTAATTGGCGTAACTCGAGTTTAATTAAAACCACCTCCGCTGTACGGTAAATAACAGGAAGAGTATGACGTTAGCACTCTCCTTTCTTAAATTAAAGTTATTTTTAAGAACAGAGCTAGTCAACTGAATAATAATTAAAATATAGTGATACAATCTCCTCTGTGTGTTTTGAAGACTCACGCTTTACGGAATAGTTTTTTTAATGTGATATGTTGCCAAACGAGCAGACGGTTCACCGGATGTTAAGTGAACACCGCCGCCCATAGATATCTGGTACATCCGAGGGTTTGCAGATGCTTTGACAACCGTTTTGGAAATTGGGCTCCGGCTACCTCAATCACCAGACGAAACGCGAAAGTATTTGTCATACTTCCACTTTACGCCGGTCTTCTGTGAGGTCGTGGTACTTACCCGGACGAGCCTGCCCATTCGTGCAACAGCCGAGGCTACTGCGTGACTCTACCACCGATAATAGTAAAAGTTCTAGTGTAACGTGCACATCACGCAATTTTCTTTTCCGGATGAGGATCGAACTACAGTAGGTATGCGGCGAGACATATTGTGCATCGACATTTGGAAAGAAACAGTATATCTAATGCACACTTGCAGGACTACTTAAAGCATTGCATCACCCGTGCAGTCTGTTATCTGTGCAAAGGACAGTCGGTGACAAAAGTAGCCGTGAGAAATAAAAGATCTTTTATCTGAAACTAAAAAAACTAACAGCCTGTATACGTACAACTGCTGGGCAGAGGCCTCCTCTGTATAGAGCAAGGTCAACGGCGCGACTCCTCTGTTCTGATCGGCTGATTTTATCTTCGACATATTTTTTTATTATTACTTCGAAAATACGAATGTTTCCTCACGATGTTTTCCTTCACTTTGTTCCACTTGAAGGCGGTCTTCTGTGAGGTCGTGGTACTTCCCCGGACGGACCCGCCTATCCGTTCAACAATCCATAACACCCGTAAACCGTAACACGTCCACCGCGCCAAACGGGCGATGTAACACGTCGCGGGTGTTAAACTGGCGACGTAACACGTCACGCGTTCCAGCGAGACGGTGGTGAGCGACGAGCGGCACCTGCAGGCGCCGCGCGGGCTCGCGCTGTTCGAGGGCTCGCTGTTCTACCTCGCCGCGAACACGCTGAAGCTGAACCGCTGCCACGCGTGGGGCGCGCGCGGCTGCGAGCCGTACCTCTACCTGGTCGACGCGAGCACGTTCGTGCTGCGCCACGAGGCGTTGCAGCGTGACGACGTGTTCGATCCGTGCGCGCGTCTCGTGTGCGACGGCGTGTGCGTGCTGGAGTCGGCGGGCGCGGCGTGCCTTTGCGCCGACGGCTCGACCGCCGCGCGCTGCCCGACGCCGCCCCGCGCTCAGGTATATCGCCGTCACACTCGTTTTCTTCTCTCTCGTTTCGTGTCATATTCATATTGACATTTCCATGTTTCGTAAATTCCTTCATGACAAACATGCGTAAACATCTGGGGTTGCCTGGAAGAAATTGCTGTGTAGCAATGAGGTCGCCGTTTGTCGACCGATATTTTGTTTTTTCTTTTTTTGTGTACACTAAAGTGTATTATTATTATAATCATCATTGCTTTACCTTCGTCGGTTGCCTTGTCATCTCGCTCTGTATTATCGACGGATCTTCCCACACCTCACACTCTTTCTCGGTAACTTCTCGTTAGCACATAATCCTGTCATCACAAAAACCCCATCCCAATCTACCATATCACTCTTATGATGCTTTCAATTTCACTTAATACCACTGGCTCAACTAATTTCTACCACTCTACTTCATTGCTTTCCACTGCCACATTCACCTTTTCTTTTCATGTCGAGAAGAAGGGGCGATTATACGTTTAAATCTCCGCAGCGGCCGCCCTTGGGTGGGGTTCCAAACTCCTACGGAACCCCAACAGTGCCCCTTCGTACTTTGCATCAATGAGCTTGCCTCGAGGAAGGATAAACCGTACCTCGCTCCGTCGCTGTTTTTACAGTAAACCCAGACCGCTCCACGTTGCCGCCCATATCAGGTCTATTAAAATGGCTCATCAAGTCCTACCTTGATCATGCATGAACCATTGAGGCCACATTTAGTTGTCTTTTACTACCTCTAGGCGATATCTTATCACTATTCTATAAGTTTCGCATCGTTCAGTACTAACTTTACACCTTACTCCAACATTCCATGCTGAGGGTGATCCTACTTAACACGGGATGCACATGAAAAAGTTAATAAAAATCAATTTCTAATTAATAAATATACGTCTTAATATTCAAGTACCTACACATTACTTCAAGAAAAATGTGTGAAATGTTACTGAGAGAATGAATTTACTGTATGTCACACTTACCATTAGGAATGTCATGTTAGGCAGTATAGGCATGGATAGATTAAAGGAAAATAATATCATCACCTTCACCATCCTCACCGACAGCTGCCACTTTTCAACGGCTGGTCACAGCAGGACTACGAGAGCGCTCACCACTACAACTACACGCTGATCACCATCGTGTTGCTCCTTTTCGCCGCATACTTCTGTCTCTTTCTGTACTACCATTTCGTGCGCTCTCCGTCCAAAGGCCGTGCCGGGGAATATATGCAGTAAGTTTTCTAATTAAATTAAGTAACTATTATATTTCTCACCTTTACTTTTATTTCTCCTGTTGTTGAAATATCCACTTATTTAGTTTTTGTTTCTCGCCTTTAATACAAGACATACTCGTACAAATTATGGCGCATATAACTTTATCATTGAAGGTGGTAGGGCCACGCAGCAGCCTCAGATGTTGCACAAATGGGCAGGCTGGTCCGGGTAAGTACCACGACCTCACAGAAGACCGGCGTAAAGTGGAAGTATAATACTTTCGCGTTTCGTCTGGTAGCCGGAGCCCAATTTTTAAAAGGTTGTCATCGCATCTGCAAGCCCTCGGGTGTAGCAGATGTCCATGGGCGGTGTTATTCACTTAACATCAGGTGGACCACCTGCTCGCTTGGCAACTTTTCACATAAAATAAAGAATTAAAAAAAATAAAAAATATCAATAATTTGTGAACTTTATCAATATAACACGAATGTAGTCGCACGCCAAATTTACTTACGATTGTTGATGTTTTGTATCCAAATAGCAACCCGCCTCGGCTTCGCACGGGTGCAATGTATTATACATATAAACCTTATTCTTGAATCACTTTTTTTTTGTAAAAAAAAAACCGAATCAAGATCCGTTGCGTAGTTTTAAAGATCTAAGCATACATAGGGGACAGACAGACAGCGGGATGACTTTGTTTTATACTATGTAGTGATTAATATCGACGGCTTGTGTAGGTAGGGACTGGATACCAATATATTATATACAAATACGAGAAATAAATATTTATTAAACTTCTTTGCTAGACGATCAATGGCAATTGTCAATGTGCTACGTTATGGAGATTTTCAATTGAAGTGTCATTAATGCAGACCAATGACTCCGAAGTCTATCTTAGCAACTAAGTTAATTTGCATTTTTATATGTATTATTCATCTACGATCTGCATTCATTTCAGAGTAAGGTACCAAAATAATGCCTCCGAGGGCGTAACTCAACTTGGCCTGGATAACCCGATCATCGAAATGCCAACTGCGGGGTGAGTTTACAAATCGCCAATAACAAGACCGGTTTCAGAGTTGTGTACGATTATTTTACATCATAGTTATAATAAAGGTAAAGAAAAAAGCGCATCTACTAGCTGCTTCTGAAAATGGCCTGTAAGTGAGAGACCATTTTCAAAGGCCTGAAAGATGCATGCAGACATAGTTCGCCGATAATTCGCCGATCTAAATTGATCGGGAGTGTTACCGACTATTCGTTATTCCACCTATTAATTTTCTGGCATTAGTCATCTACCATATACAACCTATCAACTAGCACATAGGTATGTCATAATTAAGAGTAACATTTTTATTCCTCAGTGGTATCGCGCATGAATTCGTGAATCCGCTCCAGTTCGTCAGAGACATCTGGCGGCAGTCATTCCACAGGGGCCGTCCGATTGTAAGTCTTATAATGATTTAAAAATAACGCATTTCCCCGCATTTTTAATTCGACGGAACTCGCATAACGAAACGTTTAGAAGAAAACAGTTTCGTAGGTCTTGTTTTCGTATAAGTATATCGATCTATAGCAGATACGAAAGTGCCATTATCTTCGTAGTCATTTTCTTTCTTTTTAGTCAGTCTTGCCATTATGTAAAATTTTGTATACAGCGTTTGTATCGCGACAATAAATGAACACACATCTAACGCTACTTGCCAATAACCATAAAAAAATATTAACGTTAAAAAATCCATAATTAAAAAAAAATATTATTCAAACAAACTAATTAAGTAAAAAAGAAACAAAACTTGTAACACCTATAAAAATACAACTGACTGATTCATACATTCAGAGACTTTTTTATTTGTTGCCACAGCGTCGCATTACAAGCCTCTCCTTCTAACAGTATGTTTTGTATCTTTTAAATTCATTCAACCCATTCATAAGCTTTGTGACCTTTACAAATGAACTTTACGTTACAGTTTTATACGTAAGGATGTTCTAAAATTCTTTGTTTTGGAAAATTTAATAACTCAGTAAATATTGATGTTTAAAGAATGTAAATGTTTAATACAATTTTAAAAAGTTATCCTCTCTATGTGTGTTCATTTATTGTCGCGATGGTAAAGACAAGCTGTATACGTTTTGATATTTATTAAAAATGTTACAAATAAATTATAAATTTTTATGAATATATAGAATTTTACAATTAACTAAATAAATTGTTGTTATAATCTTAAGCAAATTATATGGCTGGTATATTAAGTTGGTATTTTTTAAAACGAATATTCTATTTCAGGGCACTGCTGGATTAATTTTTGAAACACCACAGTCGCAGCAAGACTCGGACACAGAATCAGATTTGGATGGGAGAGAAACAAAGAGAATAATGAGAAATTAATGTTTAATTTGTAAATTGCGTTTATATTTTTATAATCTGCGGGCAGATTTTCTTCTATCGTTTTTTCTCAATATGTATTAGGTATGAATTCTATGATTTTTTTTCTATATTGTCGCAACTGCTGGATTCAAGCAGCATTAGTTATGAGAAAGCATAATTAATGTCTGCTTTAATAATATTATAAGAGGTGCCATGTAATTAATAAATGTTTATTGTATAACATTGAATGTTTTATTTGCCACTTTTAGTATTTATTTCACACGCAACTTCGTTTTTGACACAGCAAAATAGATAACTACTACAGTTTAGTATGTTTTTTGCATGATAGCAAATATGTATAAAAATTCTGCATACTTATTCGTTCACCTAGTTTTTGTAAAAATCCCTGAAAGTATTATACTTAGTTATTTTCTCACAAAAATAACCTATTTGGAATTTATTACAGCTAACCAACTACTTAACTGCATATGCAATGTAAACCTAATTTTTAGATTGTAAAACCTCCATACTGAAATTTCCTTTTCAAATCTTAAGAAACCAACCAGGTTTATGCTAGTTTGGGGCGATCAGTAATATCAATACTACAAATAATATTGGTATCTAAATTTTGCACACTTATGCTGATGTTAAACAAAACTATTACATACATGCAAATTTATTTTATTATCAAACACCTGCTTCCTTTTTAAATGTACCAAGTTTCCTTGTTTGAAATTAGAAATAGTATGCTTTGTACTTGCAATGGAATATAACAAAATACTATTCATCATCTAAAAAAGTACTATTGAATAAATTCTTTAAAAACTTTACAAATATAGTTATGATGATCTTTTGTTTATAATAAATTAAGTAGTGCATTTAAGTCACACCTTTAATAGGGTTAAGCAATTGGTACTTAATGATGCAATAATAATATAATTTGTTTAATGTTTAAGAAATTTGATTACAATTATAACATATATCATGGTGCTAGAAAAGGTAAGTTTATTTATCTAATATATAAAATTCTTTTGTCAAAGTTATAGTGTTTATAGTATAAACTTTATACTCCCCCAAAACGGCTTGACCGATTTTGATGAAGTCTATATGTATATTCAGTAGGTATGACAATAGGTTTATAACTAATTTTTATACCCCTAAGTGATAAGGGTGAACCACCCCAAACTTTTTTTTCTACCTTACAAATAATTTTTATGGCAAAACAATGGCCGGGTCAGGATAAATGTATAATGGAGAAATTTGCAATAATTACTAAAAAGAAGGAAATATGTGAAGATCTATAAACAAATGAATAATGTGTAACGAAATAAAACATCAATGGTAATATGAAATCACTTATTAATGCACTTAATCACAAAAGCATGAATTATTAATTTAAAAGAAAACAGATTACTTCCATAATTTCTTAATAGACATATTCTTCTCGGAATCCTTCTGCATGACTTTAGCTACAGCCATTTCGAAATCTTCCTGAGTGACATGGACACGGCGTTCACGAAGAGCATACATGCCAGCCTCCGTGCAGACACCTTTGACCTCCGCACCAGAAGCTCCAGGCATGAGTTCGGCAATTTTACGCAGATTAATACCTCTGGTCAAGTTCATCTTTCTTGAATGGATCTTAAGAATATCCAAACGGGCCTCCTCGTTTGGTGGTGGGAACTCAATTTTTCTGTCAATACGACCAGGTCTAAGCAATGCCGGATCAAGGATGTCAATCCTGTTTGTTGCCATTATGACCTTTATGTTCTTTGTTGCTTCAAAACCATCTAGCTGATTCAACAACTCTAACATGGTTCTTTGTACTTCTGAATCGCCACCACTGCCAGATTCAATACGGGATGAGCCAATGGAATCAATTTCGTCCATGAAAATTATCGAAGGAGCATGCTCTCTAGCCATAACAAACAGTTCTCTTACCATTCTACTTCCTTCACCAATGAATTTTTGCACTAACTCTGAACCAGAGACACGGATGAAGGTGCATTCAGTGTGGTGCGCAACTGCACGAGCCAACAAAGTCTTACCTGTTCCTGGTGGACCATACAGCAATACTCCTTTGGGTTGAGCTATACCCAAAGCATCAAAGAGCTCAGGATGCTTTACGGGAAGTTCAATAACCTCTTTAATCTCTTTTATTTGTTTATCCAAGCCACCGACCATTTCATAAGTCGAATCGGGCACTTTCTCTACCATCATAAGAGAAACCAATGGATCTACTTTGTTTGGAAGAATTTTATGCAGAGTATAACTTTCATTGCGCAGTGCAACACGGCAGTTCGCGGTAACATCGTTGATGTCAACATTTTTATCCAAATCCACTACAAATTTACCTTCAGGGTGCACTTTTACTAGTACCTTTTTTTTGTCCATTGGCTTCACAACTTCCCCAACATAGGAACCCTGTTCTTGGAGCAGTTGCAATTCTTCGCGAAGCATACGTACTTTAGCATTAAGCTCATTTCGCTGGGCTTGTAGACGACGCAGATTCTGTGATTTTTCTGCAACGATGAGCTGCAACTCTTCAATTTTGGTTATGTAGTAAGGCCGAAAGCCTTCACCCTTTACTGGGTCAATTTCCATCTTTGTAATAGTCATGTTTAATATTTTTTATTCACATGAAAAGAAAAATAGTACTCAACGCTTGCTGTATCAAATAATTAGTGAATTTTTTAAAAATACGATATCGAAACTGACAGCGTTATTTGACAATGATATTGATATTTTCCAAGTCACTATGCCAGGATTGCCAGTAATAAAAATACCAGCAAAACCTAAATTTTTATTTTGGGATTGTAATTTGTAGATATGTTTTGAATAAAAACTCATGCCAAGCACCCTTCGCACAAGCGTCTAGTAAAATAACACTTATGATTTAGATGCAAACTTCATCAATAGAAAACATGTACATACGTCCCATAACGACATAATAATTTAAGTGATTATCCGCGCGTGTTACCGCCAAATGCTTGAAATCGCTTCAAGTAGTTCAAAACTGATTTTTTACCGGCTACAAAAGGAGTAGGTTATCAATTCGGATGTTTATATATATTTTTTATGTATGTTCGGACATAACTCCGACATATATAGACGGATTTGAAAAATCTTCTATTGTTTTATTCCAAAATGGTCCCATATAAATTTCATATAGATCTGATGATGAGTTTCGAAGATAGACAGCACAACACTTCAAATAATGACAAATATCATTGTTTTGCGCAATGCATAAATATGCATTGTTTTGCGCAATCACACAACATAACATCTATTTACATAATTAATACGCTGTTTTCGCGTTCTTAGTTATTATGTGTGCGTTGTAAGTTTCTATTTGTCTGACAGTGGGATAAATTTGAACTGCAACTCCATCTGGAAAATTTCCTATCAACAGTATTGCTTTACGTTCGCAAAGCGATTCAAGTTGAGCCTTTGTCAATTCGCCAAAGCGATTGGTAATGTTTGTTAACATAAGACAACAGTCTTCTCACTCTAACCCAGTGAAATATATAAATAAACTATTATTTTGACGCGATGAAATATGCAACTTTCACCACAAATTGTAAAGTTGCATGAAATATGCGTTTGTCATACGGCTTTTTTGTATGAATAGGGACCGTAGACTTCTTTCTTTTCTTCATATTTTGCACCTATGGTGGAAGGTAATTGCTGGGTGATGACTGACCTTCACTTTGAGCTTCAACTTGACCATCATCTTGAGGCTCATAAGTCTTAACCGTCACTCGAAGTATATACTACATTCATCAATGGCCGGACACCTTCACTTCCCTATTGGATTACTCCTTCACTTCCCTATTGGATTATTCATCGATTTTTCATTGGATTTCTCGTCAATTCGTGAAAGGTTAAGTGTCTAGGTTTAATTAGTCCCAGGTGCTTCTTTTTCAATTTTCTATCTTTCGTCTATAGGGGTCGCGGAGTTGCAGTCGAGCGGCTGGCCTCATCGTGTATAAGGTTTATTGTTCCATCCTGAGTCCGTCGGTCGTCAACCCATGATTATTTTCCAATGAGGCTGTCAAAGCGCGCCAGTTTAGCAGTTTACTACACATTCAAAAAGTCTATAAGCATATGGTACATAAAAAGTTTTTATAAACTTTTTGTAAGCCGATTTTATTAACGTTTGACAACAAATGTCAAAATTCATACCCATAAAATGTTGAGGAAGATTTAAAGGCAAAGTTTTTACCATTTAGAAAAATAAATTTCAGAAAGGAATTGATATACTCAATACACTATTAATTCCTTTGAAATGAAATAAGAATAGTTAAATTATAAAAATGAAAATTATCCGAGCTACGTACATCTCATACAAGTCTTCACATAAAATCAAACAATTATAATTTTAAAATGTGTATTGTGTCCACAATATTTACATTGATCGTGAGCACTGCGTTTGTAAAGACATTGTGGTTGATTCGAATGGGTTCCTTAGCACACTGGAGTTATTTGATTGGATCTTATTTTTATCCCCATAATTCCAACAGTAATATCATATTAAGCGCTAGCATATTCTCTTTTGTAACCGTCGGTGCTTATTTACCAAAGTTTTTGTTTCCAAGAATTAAATTTATTGCAACAATATTAAGTATCCCTCCACAGGTACATATGTTATTATTACTCCATAGAACTGTAGGAAGCACAATTGAAAATGAATCTTTTCGAAAAGGAATTAAAGCCTATTCTGCAATGACTACTGCTTCTGTGTTATGGACGGTAATTTCATTATTTCGATATTAATAGATAATGATAACTCAACGTTTTAAGTAAACGTTCCTAAATTTTTCATCGAGATAATAAAAGACTATAAACTAAATTCGAAAGTTTTTTATTCCCTTCGTATTTTGTATAATGTATTGAAGAAGCCCAAATAAATTGGGCTTCTTGGTGTTTTGTCACTTCTGAAGTGTAAAATTATGAATGAAAACAGTGTTCAACAAAAAAAAAACATAAATATGGAGAGAACATATATGGAAAAAAAAATCATGCAAATAAAAAATATTTCAACACAAGCTTGCTAACCATGTTATTATGTAAATAATATTTTTTTAACGTAGTTAAATGTAAATATAATGATATTTTATTTTACATATTGTATTCTACTGAATTTTTGAACTAGTATGTATAAGGAATGTTTATTTAATTTCTAGAAAAAAAAATCTGATAAGAGGGAGATTCTGCTATGCAAGTAATGTACCATACACTTTGTACAGACTAGTCTCTATAAGTCGGAACGCGAGTCGCGACGTTGACGTGAGTTGAGTTGTGTTGTGCAGCGAATAAAGTTGAACGGAAGATAAGGAATTTATTATCATTGTCATAGTGCCGCTGATAAAAAAAGTAAATAAAAAAAAGATTTGACAGGTAACCTTTTTAGTATCACTATTCAGTATTCGTAATTCGCGTATCTATACGATAAGTGCAATTGAATTTGTTATTTTAAGATATTAAATGTTATTATAATGTAAAAAAAAAAAGGATTTTTCCAATAAATAGCATACCGGTTATTCGGTATATCTAGTGAAATATTAGTTTTTTTTTAATGTATTTATCGTGTAAATAGTTCAGGATAGAAGCTACAGGTATTTTTTAACACATTAAACTAATGATTAATGTCTTTTTTTAAAGACACAAGCTGCATATGCCTATTTTTATGGAGCGCTTTTTATGGTCTTCCTTCTCCTGTTGATCCTAGAGGCCAAAAGTTGACAATGAGTTTTTTCCTAAGGAGACGATTAAGGAAAACTTGTCAGGGTTAATTTTACTCGTGATTGATGTTTTATGTATGTAACATACGTAGTGTTATCACGAGTTTAATTATAAGTTTTATAACGCGCTTCTTTCATGAAATTACTACTTAAAGAATTGTCTACTTTTTAAAAGTTGTTCGATTTTCCTAGATAATGCTTTATTTAATATACAAAAAATATTTAATTAATGATTTACGACAATTAACTATTTAAGAAGTTAACAATATTGTTAACTTTCTTTTTTTATTTAACTTTTTTTTTTATTTATTAATGCTGTAATACAAATACAACTTAAATAAATAAATAGATAATACTTAATGAATAGAAAAATTAACAGTTTTAATTTTATTTTTTAAATTAATAAATTACATATTTTTTCCACTTTGATAAATAAAATGTTATGCAGATGATATTTATTTATACATCAAACTTCAGTTGTTAATTTTTATTTTTATTTTGTACAGCAGAAATATATATATACTACATAATTATTTTCAATATTTATAGTTATAATGATGATTATGGGCAATGTTTGTTAAACAAAATTCACACAGATTTTTAAAAACTAACTCTGCAATGAAAGTTAACCAGCTATAATGTACATTATATCAAATCTGGTATTCAGTAACGTTATCATTATTCCTATCATTTTTACTATACATCACACAAAAATTTTTGACTTATTTTAATATCATTACCAATTTATTAGGAACATGAAACATTAATAATATAACGGCCTACATTGGTATCGGACTTTTGACCTGGATGTAAAACTTCCATATGTATTTTAACTTCCTTTTCAGAATGGGCAACACCAGCAAAAAATTGGCAGCGAAATGCACTCTCCTCACAAAGGACGAACAGAAATATGTGGCCGCAACATTCAGAGCGGCCAGCAAAAACTCAGAAAGGATACGGGAGGATGATCTCATCGTGAGTGGAAAAGTAGATGCAGTGTTGCTAGAAGTGTGTTCATTTTTTTTATTTTATTTTAATTTCTGTTATTTTTACATTCCCACTCGATCAGTGATTTGGTTTTTAAAAGCAAGTTAAAGCCCTGACATATTGCAATGACCCTTAGTTTAGTATAGTACCAGTACCAATACCTTTCTGTACAAAACCACACTCAAAAGATTTATTGCATTATAATAATAGGTTATTAACATAAATAGGTTTTCTATTACATAGGACAGTAGAAATAGGTAATTTAAGGCTTTTACAATTTTTTGTTTTAAATATTTCCTAATATTAGATTCTTCAAGTCACAAAAAGACAAATAGGCTAATTAAAAACGGAAACACATTCAAATTCAAAATCGAATTATATGTTTCGTATCCTTTCACTGCCGTACGGCGTTGAGGGACATAGTTTGAAGTAAACCTTATTTAGTTAAATTTACATAAAAAGTTGTTAGGAGGACAATTTTTTTTTTAATGAAACTGGCCAGTTCTACTCTGCTAATTTACTTGGTGGTCGGTATACCTACTTCTTAGCTGGCTGTTGAACCTAGGGATCGAGCGTGTTTCGTTTAAAGTGGCGAGTCATCACATTGCTCGCTCACAGAAAACGGTCAGCAGGTCACAAGCCGAGCTCCGCTATAAATTGCGCAGTGGCCGAGCAAATTTTCCGGCGGGATCGTAAACGCCGCGTTCGAAAATTGAAACCCGAACGCTTTATTAATAGAACCCGTTCGTTAATGACCTCAGTAAATTACGCCTGTCGATGGTACAATACGCCGACGACATTCCACTGAAACGTCTAGCGCTCGAATGTTTAAATCCCTACGGAGAAGGATGCGTGATACGCACACGTGCTAAG